TGGTTTGGCCTTTAAGGGAAATAACTACCGTATTTATTATAAAAAGTGAACTTGGCTAAATTTAACCTTATCTACATTCATGAACTTTGTAGTGAAATATATTCATATGGCAATGAAGATCGCCAAGGACTATCAAAATCAAACCGGGAGTTTTTATGTTATCATCTATTTCTTCATTCAAATGTCATTCTTTAAGGAACATAACAATACAAAGCAATGTTACAACTTACACACAACAAGTTCAAGTATATATGTTTTAATTGGAAAATTATTATATTAAAAAAATAGTAATATCTAGCTTTAAAAGGTACAAACTTTACATTTTTGATGCAAGTAGCCATGAGATTCTCTGTTTTCTAGTAATATATTGAATTTCCTTAATTGTTTTCTTGTTTAATTGTGTTGACAAGCTAAAAAGCTGTCAAAAACAAAAATAAATCTATTAGATTGAGTGACGGCATTTAAGTTTCTTTTTGTCAAGGGTCTACAATTTCTGTTATAATCAAAAGTTTTGAATAAGCCAACAACACGACGACAGCAACAACAATGTTGTGTTGTGTTGTGTTGTGTTGTGATGCTATGCTATGCTATGCTATGCTATGCTATGCTATGCTATGCTATGCTATGCTATGCTTTGCTATGCTATGCTATGCTTTGCTATGCTATGCTATGCTGTGCTCACTTTAAACAAAGCATGAATATATCTACTTGTAAACAAAATCATTTACAAGCTAGATATGCAAATATAAACATATATGCCAGTACATTTACTTGTATTGAAACACATTTATATACAACTATTAGAATACTGTTCCGCAAAAGTAAAGAGAATAAATGGAAACATTAAGTGGTGATTTTTACGATTTAGTATTAATCTTAGATTATTTATCTCTCTTATCACGTCCTTTTGGTATGTTTTGTCTGTCTGATGATGATTTATAAAACATTTTCCAAAAATGCATGTAAATGATTATCAGCAAATTTAAACATATACTGTCACAGAGAACAATTGAATGATATTTTTAGGAGAAGGTGTAACTGAGGAACTCAATCAAACTTAAAATGAAAAGTTTAACTATTATCTATTATAATAAAAGAATAACATGCGTTCACATTTACTGCGCATGTTTTACTAAAAATCCCCTACTAAGATTTACAAATTATAATTCAGTTGAAGTGCCATAAGAACATTAAAATGTTCGCTGAAATATACTTCTGTTATCAATCATAGGACGTTTGCCACGTATATATTATAAACAAAATAGATGGAATGAGAACGAGATTAAGAATATAGTACACGTCAATGTTTCCAGGCCAGAAACAAGTCAGAATGAGAAAAGTACTCAAATTTATTTATACACTTAACAAAGCATTTCTTATAGGCATATTGGACAATCGTACACATCTGCGGACGTTTCAAAATTCCAAATTTTACCAGTTCATGTTAAATATGTTGACTATTGCTTAAGCCGGTATTAGGGGGCATGGACGGTACTTTGCACATTCAATTACCTTCCATGCACAGGCTCAACCCGAGCCTGCAACATTTTAAATTTTGTCGTTTTGTACGTTCTTTAGGGATTCTTTATTTCTCTCTATTTTACTGGTGAAACTAAATAAAATTATTTTGTTTTCAAGTAAAAGGAATGTTGTTTTGATAATGTGGTCGCACAATTTTCCTCAGCATAATACATAACATTTGCTAACATTTGATTATGTCACCTTCGTTAGAGATATTCTGTCGTTATTCGGTAAATAGATGGAAACTGTAATTGGATGTCAGACAAATTGCTACTGTATAAATCAACATCTTCTACAAGCAGGCTTACAAGAACGATTTTACTGATATTTAGTTGACTTAGAGAAATAAACATGATTTGATTGAAGTCGTAATGGAGGAACCAGTAAATTAATTTTCTTATCTTTTGTTCATATACATTTTAAAGTAGTAATTTGACATCAAGCGTTTATCGTGTCATTTACAATGCCTTTACTCTTTTCCGTGAGTAACTGATTTGAGAAATCGTTGATCGATCTTAAGGCCGATGTCGTCAACTACTCTATACAATAAATATGTAACACATTCCATTAAGATAAGGATATTTCTTACAAATAAATATACATAAAGACTGAATCATTCACTGGGAGTTTTCGATTTGATTTGCAACGATGTTCAAAGTGAATAACTATGATATGCTTGACATTTTACATAATTAAATGGTAAATTTGGATACTAGTAGTTAAATTTCTTATGTCTTTGCTTATGAAACATTGTAGGAAAATCTCTAGTATAGATTGCCACGATTACACCATTTCATGCCGACTAACGCCTACAGTTAGAAGTAAGGCTAATGATTGCATAATCAGATTGCAATAAATATATTCTTCTACATGTAAAATGTTTGCCACCCAATGCCCACCTTGTTTCAAATTTAACCATGGTTGAATCACATATAACTTAAGTGTGGTAACTCATTCTGTGACGTCAATTTCAATTTACCATTTGTCATTAATAAATCACATTAGTCTACGAACTAACTAGATACATAAAATAGTTGGAAAAAAAAACTTAATATAGTTCATTGTTTGTTAATTTTAATATGAACATTAGGAACTATAGATTTCATATAATTTCTTTGTTAGATGACTAGACTGTTAAATAGTTTCTTTTATATGATGGCACAACCACGTATATGTGAAGAAAGTGAAAATACCTCATTTACAGTTATGGAAATTTGATTTTCGTGCTGTATTGGTTCCAAATATGTAAAGTAAATTGTGTCTATTTTACGATGAAGGGGTGGCGATATCAGACTTGAATACACGGTTTACCAATATGCAACGATTAATTTGAAGCATCAAAATACAATATTAACCGTTTCCAGGTCTCCCAACAATGTTTAGAACAACAAATATGGTCAATTAACTGTCACAGCTGAACATGTCATATAACATATGTCAATAAATTGTTAGACCTAGGGCAATGTCATTGGTCATCAAAAATGATGAGAAAAGCTATTTTCGTAAGATTAGCGCCTAATTTATTTTTTCAATATTTCCAAACAATGTACTGAAGTTGTCGCCTAAAGGCCAGTTGAGATATATAATGTGCAGCTTAGGGGAAGCCTGTTTTAAATAATGAGCTTTTAATGAGCCGAGATGATGAGGAAGATAAAATTATCTATAGTTAGACTTTGTGTGTGAAAAAAAACTGTGTAAACAAGCGGGCCATTTATGTTCGAATTGTTTCAGAATTGAAAATTATCTTTCAATTACATGAATTAGGGAAGGGACCTATTCATGAAACTTGTCCGAAACACATTTCTTCTATGATACAAAGTTAGAAATTGTCACAAAACATCATTTCTATTCAAGTTGTGTTGCTTTTTTTAATTTTTGATGACTAAGCAATTAAAGGATCTAAGGAATCCCAAATTTGCATCCTTTATATTTTATTTCATTCTCAACATTTCTGCCAAAGGAATCTTTAATCAGTTCAGAAAAAGCAGACCAGAAATCTATAAAACAAAACTTGAATCTATACATGATGACTAGGTGTGCCCTTGATTAGATCCGAGGCAGCTCAAACCACTGCACATCATCTCACTATGACGTACAATTCTGGGAGGTATTTGCTGTTCAAAAGATTTACAGCAGCCACGAAGATGCAAACAGACTGGCATTGCTTTTTGAAAAAGAAAAGCAGTTGAAATGTTTATCTGGCTATACCTAATGATGTCAATGGCAGAAACCCTCAGAGTAAGTAAACCCATAGCTGTTGTGAACACACGAGAATAAAAGGTATATTAGCCCAGTATTGTACAAGGTGCCTAACGCAAAAGAAAATATAAAGTTGCATGCTTGCAGATGATCACAATAATTTCAAGAAAATTAACTTTGAAAACAATGTACTCAGACTTTAAGAACGGTTAAAACATTTACAATTCAAGTAATTATTTACATGTTATATGCAAAGAATAACTGATTTTTTGCCATATTTATCACTATTTTTATTGCGTGACAAACGCAGGACTTTTGCATAGTTGTAATTTACATAAAAGTGCCGTTTGCAATTTGTAAATTACTTTCTTTGTTCACTTGACAATATATGTCTTCAAAATGAATCGTGGGGGGGGGGGGGGGGGGGGGGGGGGCTGCTTATGTTATCAGTCTTAAAATGGACAAACCCATGTCAAGGGGAGAGTACTCAATTAGTACCGTAAATATTTGTCACCAACAGTTACTGCTCCTTCAATTGATTTAACACTGAGTGGATGAGTAGACATTTGCAGTTTTAATAGAAATACGGAAAAAGTGAGCCTAAACAGTAAAACTGAGAAATATTCGAAATAAATTATTTTCGTGACAACAAATGACTATATTGTTTATACTTTTTGGTTGAATTTTAGGTGGTACCAACACAGAATATGTCATATGGCGACTGTCCAGGATTATTGGTGGGGGGAAACCTCAGGTGCCCCTGTACATTATTACAGGCTCAAACATGCAACTGAGTAGAACTACGGAAGTTCCGTAAGCTAACTGGATAAATTCTTCACATGAAAGAGTCCAAGTCCCTTGCGGCATTTGAACTCACGGCAGTCAGGGGCAAACGGTTTGAAGTCAACGACCTTAAAGACTCGGCCACAGGCGCCCAATATTTAATTAATACATGTCCTCAAACATGGGCAGATAATTCAACATACAACATGTAAATTTCCCGATTGTTCAGCAAATTTCAGTACATGCGTCAATTATTCACTGTAATTTTATTTTAAAATGATATAAGTTTGCTATTTTGAATAGCTTTTAGTTAGACGAAATCAATCAAATTTTACAAAACTTGTTATTTGATATATTTGATTTATTACATAAAAAGTTAAAATAATTTACATTAAACGCATTTACAAACTAGATAAAACACTCCAATCATGAAATCAAAATGATTTGTTTGAAAGTGGGGATTAATTAAACAATAAACATTAATTTTGGTTTTAAAAAATTACGTCATGGACGTTATGATGACTTTTCTATGGCGTCGTCTCTAAGCCACTTAGTCGACAAAATATGATCTACATTAGGTCGTTTCGTAATACTAGGATCCAATATTTCAAATATTAGCTTTTTGCAATTCTCACTAATTTTACTGCTTACTCTAGGTGGAAATTTGATATCACGTGACAACTGCTGCTGAACAAGTCTGGTAACATTTGCATCTTCAAATGGCATTGTTCCGCATAACATTGTATATAATATAACTCCCGTCCCCCAAATATCATTTACTCTTGGATCATATGGAATTCCACGAAGTAGTTCCGGTGATGCGTACGCAGCACTTCCGCAGAATGTCCTGCACATCAAACCGCTTGAACTTGTATCAAAAGACCGGGCAAATCCGAAATCTGTTAAAGCGGCGACATTATTTTTAAATATTAAGATATTTTCACATTTAAGATCCCTATGAGCAATGTTCAAATCGTGTAAATATTTCAAACCATTCATGACGTCGTTGAAGATATTTTTGCTTTTCACCTCTGCAATAAAACCATGGCTATGAATCATTTGTAGCACGTCGCCCTTTTCTGCATACTGCATGATTTGAAATATGAATTCCTTTGTTTCTATGCACATGAATGTCTGTATCACATTTTTATGTTTTATACGTTTGATGATTTCTAATTCACGCGGTAAAAACTTAGTTAAGTAATCCTTTCTTGCTTTTTGGCGATCAATGATTTTAACAGCGCACATCTTGCGGTCTGCGACTCTTTCGACGGTTCGAACTTTCGAATATGTTCCTTCTCCAAGTTGGTGTCCCACTCGATACCCCTTTGCGGCTAGAGTGTCCGCTATTCTCATGAATTTTTTCGGTGTTGTACGCTCCATTCCGCAAGTAGGTTCTTAGAAACACACCCTTCATTGAGACAAAAATTATTTCTTGTTAAACCTGTAAGTGTTATTTTAATAACATTCTGTAGACTGTATTCGCGAGGTGAGATTTTAATTCATCACCAAGTCCGAGAAATATCTCAGACGACGCTACAGAAAACAGGATATGTTCCTTGTGTTCTTGCCAATTCTTTTTAATAATTCGAGAGGTAATTCCAATTAATACACGGATTGCATGATGAGTTAATTGTTTATATCGATTTGCGTTGATGCGCAACGAAGACAATCGCGTGTCAAAGGTTAATTATTGTGACGTCATGCGTGACAACGCGCGTAAAATCAATGCAACGTTACGATATCTTAATATTTGTGAAACTAAAGACTGAGGTAAATATACTGTGATAACTTTGAACAAATATTTGTTCTACACAGATCTATGAAAGTTAAAAAGCTATAAAATTCGAGATGCGCTCATTAATTCAGGTTTTATTTTTGACATTATCATTGAGATTAAATATGATATTAAATAATAGATTGTACCTGTGTTTTCAATACTTTATTTGTACTTATAGGGTAACATAAAACTTTCGAATTTTTATTTCAATTTTTAAAGTTGGCCGGTAGATAAATGCTTGTTTATAAGGCAACGACAAACATTCTATCCGGGGATATTTCTATGCAAATGAATACAAAAGATAATTTTGCATACAATTATTTTTCTATTCTAAGATCTACTGTACCTCCTATTGAATATTTATTAAAACTTAATAGATTTTATTTTCATGAAATAAAATCTCTATGAAATTTCCCTTTAAATTTTCAGAATATATTTCAAAACCGAATATTATTTGTTGGCCTTTAGTGAACACCTATAATTATTATTCTACAAATAATAGAAAATGCACCTTTGCAGGGTACATCTAGATATTTTCTGATGATTAAGAGGTATGACTGAAAACTATCTTAAGTTTGCAATTGATGTTTTAGAAATAGAATTGTATTGCGTTATGCCTCCAATTTTCTTTCTAAACTAATGAGATGAAATAAAGCAACGATTTGCTTTAACAAAAATACCAGCGCGGGAGCCAGATTTCTGCATGTCAATAATAAAGTCATTGATATATGACAACACCGATCTATAAGATACGGGACGTGAAATCTAATATTAGATAATCAGATAAAATCAGTAATTAATTGATATCCAGCTAAATTTTCCCTTTTAACAGGCTTTGATAAAGACATATCCTATATCCGTAATGAACACTTAATATGTGGTATTTATCATAAAATTCAATACATCTTTAATGTTAAAAGGTACCATCATACAAGGGGTAATATTTTCAACCAAGTTAAAAGAACTTTCACTAAAAATATCAGTTACAAAAGAAAGAGAATTAATTATGTAAAAGAAAAAAATCCATTTTTACGGTATAAAATACGGTCTCCATAAATAGACGTTTGGCGTGACTGGCCTTTTATTGCCGGATTTAGGTGGATTTTATTTTCTTAATCACTTGCCATTCTAAATTATACAGGTTTTACACTTGTGTATAATTAATATTAAAGCAGCATGCCCCTACATTCATGCTAATTTTCATGAAAAATACTGTGAAGTGAACATTGAAAGTATTTTACAGATTGCAAACGGCAATTACCAAAAAGAGGTCAAAAATGCATAAAAACCTCTTTCTGCGTTAGTAACGCAACAGAATAAGAGTGATTGATACTGCAAAAGCAGTCATTAATCGCACCTAACATGTAAATAATTAATTAAATATTGAATCTTTTTACTTTTCTTAAGATTCTAAAGATTGAATTTATTGAAATATCTTGGTTCATCGAGAGGCATGCAGCGTTAAAGGAATATTTGATCTCTGGGTTTTATATGTCATCTCATGTTGATTGAATAAATATTATATCAAACAGAAATAAGAAATGGTGAAGTTTAAATAACAGAAATGAAATACTGATATTCATCAAGTTTGAATTATTAGAACGAAAAATTGTTGTCTTTTATAATATTACATGACTATGAATCATCCCTAAGCTGGTTTGGATCCATGCTGGTCGCAAACCCACTATGTTGGTTTTGTCGTGACGCGGCTCATATATTCGAGAAAGAGTATTCATTTTATAAGAAAAAACACTGGTATTTTACCTTGAAATGGTACACAGCATAAATTGAGCATGCATGCACTAAAGTACAACATAAACTTAAACAATATATATATAATTATATAATATATGATGTATGAAATGACTTTATTGTGTACCATTTGATAATAACTTGTGTGCACAATTTCAGATCAGCTTTATCAGAACAACAGAACAGAACAACATTTAAACTCAATACGAGTTGAGAATAACACATATAAAAGAATGATTTTCAATTTAATTACGATTTAATATTTCTGTGCCGTGTGAACACAACCGCGGTTGTTTGTAACCTCGATATTTAACAATTGTCATGCTATTAGGCATATAGCCTGGGATTCAGGCATTGATAGTTTTTACTTATTTATAACATTTTTTTTTCTTTATTCATAACAAATGCGCTATTCCGTATTCGTTAGTCGTTTTGATTGTCGATTTGCCAAACAGAAGAGACCCATAAGAAAAATCGACAGACTGGAACCCAGGCTAGTAGGCGTAGAGAAGCTTGCACGTACCAACAACGTCTTTGAATACTATTATAGATTAACTAACCCCTGTCTTAACATTTTTAATTTTGCCGTTTTGGGCGTTATTAAGGGATTACGTTTCCCTCTATTTTCAATTCAATTCCTTCAGTCATACAAAGATATTGCTAACTTAAACTACATATTTGTTGACAATTAATGCGAGTTAAAATTAACAACAACAAACAAAAATTATGTTCGATGATGGAATAGGAAAAAAACTAACATCATGGATTAATCTGTAGTGTAGAGAACTGAACTGGATTTGTCATATTAAATGAAAATTTAAAACGAATTATGTTGACAATATTTAATTGTAATATATAACTATAAATACAAAAACAAAATCATTTCAGAAATTGTGTGACAACCAAGATACACACAAATTGCGTGATAAGCACGATACAAATCACGCGCTTTTTATACGACATTTTATGCTGATTATTCATCATCAATAACTTGCTCAAATCTTGGTACAGAAAACATACTGTCAAGTTACCTTCATGGAAAGTGTTGTTTGTTACTTGAAGTGTATGTTCTTAGCTCAACTAACTTGAGCTGAATTACACACAAACTGTCCTCTTAATAGCTTCACATTAAAAGGTCTATGTAATATACTTCATCATACAATAAATAATTAAGATACGTTAACCTATGAATCTCCCTATACTACTGATGAACCCATTGTGTTTATTGTTCGGGTTATACTCGGAGTTATGTTCACCGAAACATATAGCTGCAGCCCTGTCACACTGACATAGCTGAACACCACACGGATCTTCTGTATCTGAAATTTAGAATAATGGTGATATTGATGATGACTATTATTATAATTATGACAATGATGATGAATATGATAATAAAGATGATGATGATGATGATGATGATGATAATGATAATGACGATGATGACGATGATGATGATGATGATGATGATGATGATGATGATGATGATGATGATGATGATGATGATGGAAAGGAAATTCGTACATTAATCTTATAAATATATACACTTTTGACTCAAATCATCACACGAGCGTGTTTTGCAAATTGGTATGGTTCTTTTTTTTTTTTCAGGCGGTACCAACACCGAAGTCATGCACAAAATGTATTAAGTTATATTATTACAGTTACTTACTGCAAGTTATTTGTCCAGATTTAAATGACCATTTATACTGTGTTGTATATATCTTGTATTTTAACAACGTATCACAGTCGCCATTATTCAGTCTTAAATAGCATTTGTCGTGAACTTTGCAGCATCTGAAACAAAACAGCATAGATGGTAACTTTTATACAAACAAAATAGAAACAAGTTCGCAAGATGGCTCTAGCAATGGTAAATCAAGGCATGGTCACCAGAAAATAGCTATTTATAGTATAAACAGTCTGGCCAGTTTCTATACTGTCGCTAGCATTTTTAAAATTCAAGAGATTCGTGTAGGACAACTTCAATGTAATTGGAAGAAAAATCTTATTTGTACAAAGGGTTTGCTATAAAAATCATTTATTTTAATAAAGACATATATAACGCGCCTTTTCAGTTTCGCCTTGTTACTGACACTACTTTTCAGAGACATATACATGTACATGTAGTCTCCTAGCGCTGTCGTCCTCATTGGAATATATTTAAAACATTTGAAACAGAGTACAATTATGTAAAGAGTGCGGCATTTGACACTCGATATATCAATTAGTAACAAATTTAATAACTTACTGGTCAATTTCATCAACTACTTCACCGCTACCACCGAATCCACACCAATTTCCGTATCCGTTAAAGTCCATCGGGTTTCTGTCGGCGGTCAGCAATATCATCTCACCAAACTCGTCAAGCCGGCGGCGCATCCGTCGGCCATTGACAGCTAGGAAAACAACTGTATATATAATAATCATAAAGCATAATATTTTGAAAATTAAATTAACTTGAGCGGCTGTTATTTTAAATGAATATGCCGTTCCGAGAAACGAGAAATTGAGTCTTATGGAAATATTCAAAATTTCACATCTAGTACAATATAAACAGTGCACTTTCAGCATTTGCACTACGTGATGTTCAAATTAAAGTCTTTATTGGATCCAATCTTAACAATTTAGCCTCCTTTTCATTTCCGGAGTCCAAAAATCCCATATCAAATATACCACACCCCATTATAGTCTCAGTTTCATTTCCAGAGTCCAGATGATTTATATCAAATTCATATCGCCCCCTATTTGGCCTCGTTTTCATTTTTGAAAGTCCAAAATTCTTATCAAATCCTTATTGTAACTGAAGTAATTAACTTCTGTCAAAATGTCAAAAATGGTGAAATAGAAACATCATTAAACAGGGTCGAGTACAATACTGATTCTATTGAACTCGTACAGAGCTGCAAAACCTATATCAGACTCGGCTAGCTCCCCTGACGTCTAATGAAATTCAGTATTGTACTTAATGTATAATAATGTATAATAACCTCATATTATATATAGCACAGTATCAGATATATATTTGTTAACTGCATGATGTGGCTTTAAATCAAATGTAAGTAACGAATTTATTTCTTCAGCCACATGCAGTCGCGGTGGCGTCCATACTCTATCGTAAAATTTAATGTCATGACCAAACATCACTTTAGGCGATAAATAGTTTACCGTATACACAATAATGATATATAGACCATGACAGTTAATAAAAGTTCAGAAAAAATATCTGCAATATTGATGCTTGCGGGATATACGGAAGAAAAGAGCTTGCTTGGTTTACGCCACTCCTCAAATGATTAACTAAGATTAATTACAAGTCTTAATATGGAGACTCCTGAAACAGTGTAATGGTGTTTTACACCAATCAGTTGTTTCTCTAGCAATGTAATTGTTTCTGTATCCTTGACTCCAAATAAAAATACTAACATGTTTATTCTTGAGTGGGTCACTCATGTAGATTTCCGATCAGGGAAATTATAATTATACACGTATAAAATATATGTCGATCCTGTATGTCAGATGTACCCGGTGTTAGGTAAAACAAGTCTTTGAGATAAAAAGTATGGTGAAAATAAATTTAATACTGATAAACTTACCAGAGCTTAGATAAAAACACAGCACGATGGTCATCAGAATAATGCGCAAGGCCTTCATCTGTTAAATGAATATAAATATATATATTTAAACTGCAATTTGACACCTCAAGATAAATGTGACTTAATTTAAAATAAATGCAGATCAAAGATGTTTTATATATGAAACATGAATTAATAGAACTTTGTCTCTTTTTTATGTGTCTGATAATTTGGAAAAAGAGGACTATAGGAAACATGAACCGCAAGAGTCACACGTGTGGGGAAGTTAATAGTTACTTGTAAGGGACGGAGTCAAGATATTGTGTCAATATAGTTACTATTTTTCTACTATTATAATTAAACTGAGACACTCCTGAGCCCTTATCGACTGCAGAAAAAAAAACTTTGCCACATTAATTTTGTTATTATATTACAAATATACAAGGAGTGTACAAACTAAAACTCGAAACTTTTGACCAGAGGCTTATCAATGCATGCTATTGAGGTCATATAAATAGCTAATAAAAATAATCCCATTTCAATAACAAAGTTGAGCGTTAAATTTTATATGAAATGATTGCAAAAGTCATTTTGGTTAGTTAACTCGGTTAATTTTAGGGTTGATTAATATCTCCCATTTTTAATCATGACTCAAAGTAAAATTTATCATCATTTAAGGTGTCGCTGTCAACCAAAAGTGGGTTAGGGTGATGAATAACACAAGTGATTAACTAATGTTTTCTTCTAGATAATTCTTAGTATACAAATGAGCCGCATCCGCGCAGTCTGATCAGGATCCATGCTATCCGCTATCAGTTTCTCTACTTGTTATAGGGTTTGTAAGCGAACAGCATGGATCCTGATCAGACTGCGCGGATGCGCAGGCTGGTCTGGATCCATGCTGGTCACAAACCCATTATGTTGGTTTTGTCATGACGCGGCTCAAATTTATTTCGTACAAGAGAAAGAGTAAATACACATATCCAGTGTTCTTTTTCCTGTATCACATGTCATAACTTTTGCATTTAATTCCTTACAAATGGTTAACAGTGACGCTTTAATGTCTCGATCATAGTGTGCAAATACTGATGAAGCATGGAACAGGCATAAACATAGAAAGAACTTATATAATAAGACTAAAATCTAAACTAGAGAAAAGGTGACATAGTTGTTGGTTTCACATGTGAATGAATATATGACTTTCCATAAACGTGACCTGTAAAAGCATTTTCGTGTTATGTTTTATTCTTCTGTTGCTATAGCACATTCATACTATGTGAAAAGAGTAGCTGCCCCTAAATAACCATGTGAAAACAGTAGCTGCCCCTAAATTATGCTACCGCTAAAGCATCTTTAGTCAGATTTGTCCCAGAATGAACATGTATATGTTATTATGTCGCTTCTTTTGAACAATCAATGAACAATGAAATTCGGTTATAAATTGTTTAGCGGCATTGTTTAGCTCTATTGATATACCACTCAACGTTTTAAATTTAGCTGTAAATTTGGTGAAAGTCATGAAATAGGTGACCGAGTGAGTGCGGCCCCGACACAAAAAGTTTATAGAGGAGGGGGCGGGTTTATATCCCGACGATTGCAAGCGTAGGAGCTGGTAGAAAATAAAATGTTATGTACGCAGTTGATATAAGTGTCGCACATAGAAAATTGCTGTAAATTGTAAATAAATTATCTTATATCCATTCAATGTGTTTGTTTATCTGACAACAAGGAAAACCCAAGAAGCACACCATACCCATAAGTACTGGCTTGCAGTATCTTCGAGGTAACTAACAGTTGTTTTACTTCATAGCAATGTCTTTCAGCAAAAAACGTTGTCAAGACATAGTAGCTACAATTACATTTTAAGTGAATTGGTCTATAATGGAAGGTCTGCAATACCATAAATAATTATGTTGATAGTATTTAGCTAGTATAATACATGGAAACAAACCACAAAAATCTACAGTATATATATGGAAGTTGTTACATTGCATTTCTATATATATATAGCCGGTAATAAAGTTTGCAAGAACAAAATATTATTATTCATTATATGAATACCGTTATACTTAATACTAAGAACTCTTTCAACATAATCTTTTCAAGGAATATTTCATAAGAATGTAATGTGTTTCTAATGTTGTTTTTCTTTCAATATTTGAATTACTTATGGAAAATGTGGTCAGTGACGGACCTCTGTAACAAAGCATACATTGGCTACATTATTGTTATTTAATATAAAACATATGGAACACAAAATGTCTCCCCCTTGTATGAAAATGCGAGATATGTCTATGCGTGTTATATATGCCTCTATATAGTTTATTATATAATATATTACAGCTCATATTGTCATGTCATTCATGAACTGATAATTAAATAAACTTGTATTCTTGTACAGTTATTAACCAATGCACTTTAAAGGTAAACACAGTTCAGCCTATATATACATGTATCGTCAAGTTTATTTTTATGACGAATTTCGTCAATGTTTCAAGTTTCCGAGAAGTGGAAGCTAGTGTCTGAATATGGTAAGCATTACATATAAGATTATATAAAACACATTACCTTTGACATCAGCATTCTATTGTATCCATTTAATCACGATAACTCCTCATTTTTGCGACTGAAACGTGCGTGTAATTTATTCTTATGTAACGGCGTTTTATTAAATGCCTTCGGGTATGTTGATTTTTGAAGACACTTCCGTGTTTCATATTGACCGTGTAAACTGTACTAAAGATCAAATGGTCCCCGCCGATCATAATGAAATATAATTGTGTCAAAATATTGACAAAAATAGTTACAATACATTCTAGCTTTAGATTGAATTCTAATTGAATAATATCAAGCAATAAATGATTAAAGTGGATTGGTCTACAATGTGTATCACATTTTCCCTAAGTATTTCAAAATTTGATAAAAACAACAACAATGTGTCATTTGCATATTCTTATAAAATACTTCTTAAAACAAAATGTTAATAAAGTTCTACAAGTATTTTGTATCAACATAATATATGATGAATATTTGTATTTGTTCTACAACTCTATTATCTGCTTTTAATTGATATGTCATATCGGATGATGTATCTTACAATTACCAAAAACATCCATATATAATTCTTTCTTTGTTTATAGTCATGCATGATACTAAATAATACCACATCAATTATTGATGTTATAACATAAATTATCTTCCAATTCACTTTAATGGAAATCTTGTACATGTATTAACAATAAAAAAGCAGATCATTGTCAATATTTAAGATAATGTTTGTATTAAAGATTAAGATATACCATATTTACAATTCACAATGAAAATAGAATTCTGTCAGAAGGTAGCTTATAATTATAAGCGTATATTAGAGAAGTATAATATATAGAGTGAAAAACACATACGGTAATGATCTCTTTAATTATTCACGAAAGAAAAACACATTGCATTTCGTGAATTAAAACCAAAGTACATGTTTAAATAGATGACCTGTTAGGTACGGAATGCCGTTAGGGCCATCGCCTATGAATGTGTTGATCTAAAACGCGATAGTCGATAGTACGATGGTGAAAACACGAAATCACGAAACTACGATGGTGAAAACGCGATAGTACGATGATGAAAACGCGATAGTACGATGATGAAAACGCGATAGTACGATGATGAAAACACGACAGTACGATGGTGAAAACGCGATAGTACGATGATGAAAACACGACAGTACGATGATGAAAACGCGATAGTACGATGGTGAAAACGCGATAGTACGATGATGAAAACGCGAAATCACGAAACTACGATGGTGAAAACGCGAAATCACGAAACTACGATGGTGAAAACGCGACAGTACGATGGTGAAAACACGAAAGTTTATCGCATTTTCATCATCGTAGTATCGTACTGTCGCGTTTTCATCATCGTACTATCGCGTTTTCATCATCGTAATTTCGCGTTTTCACCATCGTAGTTTCGTGATTTCGCGTTTTCACCATCGTACTATCGACTTTCGCGTTTCAGATCAACACATTCATAGGCGATGGCCCTAACGGCATTCCGTAGTTAGGCGACAGAACGTCTACGCACGGCTTAAAAATTCAATTAAAACCGTGCAATTAAAGCCGTGCTGAAATAGATGATGTATGAGGTTGAATTTTTAGTTCGCGCGTTGATTTATTTGTGGTACATATACGCTAGTCACCCACTGTATGCAAATTATTAAAATTCATGTACAAATGTTTACAATGAATTCCCAGAAATACGGTTATAAAAACTGCACAATCAATCATATATATCGTACATGTAAATTTTATTACTTGAATCTTGATTTTTTTTTTACTTTTCTTCAAACTTCTCAAGTTTGATCTTCTTGAAATATTTTGGCTCATCTGGAGGCATAATTATGCTGTTTTAAGTGTTGTAGTGGACATCCTTAAAGACTTGTGCCACAGCTTTAAGGTAAAAATGCAACACAAAACTCTGTAGATTTGTGATTCATATATCAGTCTTAATCGGATATCCATTGTTTAGATAAATCAAACTTTTAGAAAATGCAGTTACATGCCGATCAGTTCTAATTAATTCACGTTAGTAATCAAGATTTGTAAAAATAAGCCAGCTATTGAGTCATCAAAATAAATTTTCAGCCATTACATGTACTTTACATTATATATACACGAATGACACAATAATATGAAAGTAAATTGCGATGACAACGATACAATGTTTTATTCGAACATGTTACACAGGAGGGTGGAGAAATGGGTTGCATTTCTATTCAATATATGCAAATTGCAGATTTTCTAACATGACAGGCAAGTTTATTTGTTCTAAATGCTATTTGATCGAAATTTGAACAAAGAAATGCCATTCCTGTATTTTAATACCCGATAAAATTCGCGATTGCATGGAAAGAAGGCGTAAGTGTTTAACTTTTCGGATAATGATTTTCTGGATATAAATTAAAATTTAGAAGAATGTTTATATCAAAACAAAGTTTTACGGCATACAGAATTCACATGATCAGATCATGTATTTAATATCTTTATGGAATGTAATATTTTTATATACAATGTAGTAACATTGTAAGTCAAGATATTATTTTTATTTGGACCTGGTTTTTACATAATTTTACATATATTTGCGTCAAAGTTGTGACATGAACTTCGTCTGCAGAAACAGTCTGATTGACATTGTAATTTGTATATCCCGAAAAAAATGTAAGCTGTCAATAGTTATGGCTTTTATTTTTCAGGTAATTTTTTTAAAAATTTGATGATTTTAATTTTGCAGGTTGCATTTCCTAGATTTTTTAATGAAATTGTTCCAAACTCTATGCTTCTTACCTTAGCCATTTCTAAACCAATCAAACTTGCCCTCTTTATCCATGATCTTGATATTAGAATTTAAACAAGAACAATGCGACTTAACAATTTTGATTGATATTGTTGTCTTTTTTAAGAAATTAAATAATCAAAGAAATAAAAGGACCTGTGACATCATGAGTTCAGTTCTTTTAGCACAGCTACTTCTGACAAAGAAAATTAATATAGCTAGTTTATAAATATATGAGCCGTGTCATGACAAAACCAACATAATGGGTTTGCGACCAGCATGGATCCAGACCAGCCTGCGCATCTGCGCAGTCTGATCAGGATCCATGCTGTTCGCTTACAAACCCTAGCTATAACAAGTAGAGAAACTGATAGCGAAGAGCATGGATCCTGATCAGACTGCGCGAATGCGCAGGCTGGTCTGAATCCATGCTGGTCGCAAACCCATTATGTTGGTTTTGTCGTGACGCGGCTCATACATATTGCGCATTGCTCAGTAACTAGTCTAGCCAGCATCTCAAGGTTGAGGATTTTGGGAAAATTGAAATCTTGTAGAGTATACATGTGTTTGTGTGATATCATTATTTTATAAAGTCAGTACTGGAATGTATCATGTAAGTCCATACAAAAAGAAAAACAATAACACTTTAAAAAAAGACATTTGTTTTCAGTTTAATATTTTCTCATGTAAAATTTTACCATTCAATATACGGGTTTGCCTAAAATACGAAAGTGAGATTTTTGACGAAAGTGAGCGAAAGTGAGCGAAAGTGAGCAAAAGTGACTTTTAGAATTTGAATTGTACTGTTTTAATAGAATTTTACAGTAAAATTGATGTTTGCATACGTATATTATTAGCAACTAATAAAATATATTATAATAAATAACCATAATCATGATTTAATCGCCATTTATTGGCATAATTTCTATAAACAAGTTCAGCACTCTTCCTTTCACTTGCATATAAAAATACGAAAGTGACTTGTAAAGTATTAAATATAGAGTTTAAATTGAAAATGTACTATATCTGCAGTTTGTAAACGTGTATTATAAGAAATTACTATTATTTATTTTCTAAATTAATCATTATGATGATTTAAAGTTTTATACCCCATTTTTTTGCATAATTTCTATAAATACACATCAGCGATCTTCCTTTCGCTTAAACTGAAACATACGAAAGTGACTTGTAAAATATCAAATATAGAGTTTGAATTGAAAAATGTACTTAAATTGCAGATGGTAAACATATAACATCAGAAATAAATAATTTGATATTCAACACTATATTTCAATTAAACACTATATTTTAGAAGTCACTTTCGTATTTTCTATGTGAGCGAAAGGAAGATTGCTGAACTTGTATATAGAAATTATGTCAAATGAATGGTGATTATAAGATCATAATGATTATTTTTTAAAATAAAAATTATAGATTTCTGATAATATACGTCTGCAAACTGCAGTTTTAGTATAAATTTCGATTCCATATTTAATAATTTACAAGTCACTTTCGTATTTTTCAAAGTGAGCGAAAGGAAGATCTCAGAACTTGTGTATAGAAATTATGCAAATAAATGGCATTTAAATCATCATAGACTATATTAGTGATTATTTTTGAAAAGAAATATTATAAGTTGCTAATAATATACGTCCACAAACAGAAAATTCACTGTGAAATTCTATTAAAACGGTACAATTCAAATTTTAAAAGTTACTTTCGCTCACTTTCGCTCACTTTCGTCAAAAATCTCACTTTCGTATTTTAGGCATACCGTTCAATATACTTCCAGCATGGTTATGTGACCTTACCACAGCAGACAAAAGAAGTGTTACTGTAATGTTTAGTGGATAAAACATCAGCATTACTACTGCAAAACAGGTACAGGTATAGGCAAATTTAGGTTATTAATTAAACAATAATTAATTTTTCATGAAATTATTTGTTTTTGCATATGGTTTAAACTTTTAAAAATCTTGCGAATACTTTAGTAGTTACTTTATTTCTATACAAAAAGATTTCTACACAAAAAGACTTATAATCATTTTAGATTTACTTGTTCTGTTTATACCTGTAAAGAATTATTTTGCAATTGACTAAAGTTTGCTTTTTAATTTTACAGAAATAAAGTAACAGAGTAAATTTTCTGAAAAACTAAAAGATGGCAAAGGCAACATTTTGGACTCAGTTTAAAGTACTGGTCTGGAAAAACATACTGCTGAAAAAACGAAACAAGAAGCAAACAATTCAGGTATTGTAAAAACAAAACATGTATATTGTCTAGTATGTCTACCATTACTTATAAGAATAGAGTATGAATTAATGCATGCACTTTCATATAAAAAACAATAGGTACAGTAAATGCATATCTGTCTTTATTTGTAGATACAAATGTATGTTTGTATAATTATGTGTATATTTGGATTTTATTTTTCAATCTTGAGTCCACTTCCTGGAACTTCATTACTAGTACTGGTGTCATATGAGGAAACATGATCATGACCCTGGCAGGGCTTGAACCCACAATACCAGGGTAAAAAGGCAGTCACATTAATGACTAGGCTACCTCTTTCTTGAGTAGGCATACTCTGGATGAAATATTCAGACTAAACTTCAGTTAAACTTTGAATTATGATAATATTTATGTATACAAAACCACAGCAGGCGTGGCCAAGTGGTCAATGCATTAGACTAGTAATCGAAGGATTGCTGACCGCGTGGGTTCAAACCATGTCAGGTGCAAGCAGTTGTTTCTTTGAGCAAGAAACTTTACATTCATTGTTTAGTACTGGTTGGTTCAAGAGCGTTTCAAGAAGCTTATAGCTTCCAATACAATCAGACTAAGATAAATTTATATTAACTAAAACACAGCAAAATCTTGTTTATTTGTGTAATAATATATACATGTAGAGTATAGTTTCTCTGAATTTCAGGAGATACTGATGCCTATTTACTTCATAGCTATTTTAGCTATGATAAAATATTTTGTGAAACCAAAGACGTGGCCAGAGATACAGAACTTCCCTCCTTATCATCTTAATGACACAAAAACATTCAGTACAATCAGTGGAAATATTTTAGTCTCGCCAGACTCATCTCAATCTCATAGAGTAATGAAAGAGGCAGCAGATATATTGAAGGACATTTACAGAGATAGCGTGTTCAATGTTGTATTCTATAACAACACTGAAGATTCTACAAAAGCTTATAAAGCATCTCCCAAAAATGTTGTAGCAGGAATAATTTTGAATTTTGATGTGACTAAGCCAACTGATGATTTGAATTATGCTATAAGGATGCCGTATACTGATATAGCTAACTCAAACCCAAGCAATATATATCAGGACCAATCCCAATGCCGTGGTGGTAATGGTCTTGATAAATCTAGTTGTGTAGTAAATACATATATCTATACGGGGTTCTCGGCCATACAACTTGCCGTTGATACAGCTTTAACAAGAATCACCTTTAACAAATCTGACATTAATCCACCTGAAGTCAGTGTAAGAATGATGCCAAAGCCGAGCTTTATTCCTGATACGAGTTATATTCAGATATTAGCGTCTCTGTATTTTATCATAGCATATTCGCCATTTATTAACTTTCTGACGGTGAATTTGGTGGCGGAGAAAGAGAAGAAGATCAAAGAAGGAATGAAAATGATGGGACTTAGAGATGCTGCTTTCTGGTAATAACATTATTTATTTAAGCCGCGTCACGACAAAACCAACATAATGGGTTTGCGACCAGCATGGATCCAGACCAGCCTGCGCATCCGCGCTGTCTGATCAGGATCCATGCTGTTCGCTTACAAACCCTATAACAAGTAGAGAAACTGATAGCAAACAGCATGGATCCTGATCAGACTGCGGGGAGGCGCAGGCTAGTCTGGATCCATGCTGGTCACAAACCCATTATGTTGGTTTTGTCATGACCCGGCTCATTTATTTATGTAGATTGAATTGCTTTTGAATAAGAATTGATTTTCATTGGTTTTTAGCTTGACTGTTAAAATGATAGGGAGAGTTATTACACTTATCCAGAAATCGGCGTCACACTTTGGTTAATTTTTTTTGCATGCGAGTTTGCATCTCCAAAACTACTGAAGGGAATAGGTTTAAACTTCAGACATTTGTTCTGTATGATTATCTTACATGATTGACAAAGGTCCCATATCTCTGAGTAACCTATTTATAGAGTTATGCCCCTTTTCTTACTGTCAAGCACTGAGAATGGTCAAGCACTCTTTTTTTCAGACTGCTCTTGTTGGGTTTTGGACAGAAATAAAAAAATAACTAAAAAACTTTATTTGTATGATTCTGTTTGATCATTTTTGATGAATTCAGTTCTTTTATAATGTTTCTGGTAGCATTGTAAAGAATAATAACATATTATGCATGTATGTCTAAAACATTTCACAAAATATGATATCAAGTGAATGATAATGGCTCTTTATAATATATTAAATCTGGTGTTTCATTTACTTGCACACAAAAATAAATGTTTTATTTTCAGGGCATCATGGGGATTTGTATATTCTGTGATCATCATTGTAGTGACTTTGGTTGTCATAGTGATTGCAACGGTTTCCAAGTTCTTCGCCAACAGTAATATGTTCCTATTCTTCCTGATGCTTGCCCTGTATGGCCTGTCTATCATTGGAATATCATTTTCCCTAACACCATTCTTCAGTAAAGCTCAGGTATGTAACACCATTCTTCAGTTAAGCTCAGGCATGTAACACCATTCTTCAGTAAAGCTTAGGTATGTAACACCATTCTTCAGTAAAGCTCAGGTATGTAACACCGTTCTTCAGTAAAGCTCAGGTATGTAACACTGTTCTTCAGTAAAGCTCAGGTATGTAACTCCTTTCTTCAGTAAAGCTCAGGTATGTAACACCATTTTTCAGTAAAGCTCAGGTTAGAACACCATTCTTCAGTAAAGCTCAGGTATGAGGTCTTTAACATCACAAAAAGTTACTTTTGTGGATACACTCCCTCTGACCAATGGTTTAAGTTTTCTACCACTGTAAAGCTATTAAAATGACATTACAAATGTTTGTATGTATTGAAAATTAATTCTTAAAATCTAAACTTTCTTGAACAAACCACTGATCTATCTTCTTTTTTTGCACAATAATGTTCAGTAAAGGGGTGATTATAGGGTAGGTTCTTGAATAAATCACTGATAAGTCCTTAATTGTTTACTTTCACAGTCAACAATGTTCAAGTGTGCATGATTATAGGGTCTATGTTAGGGAAATCCTATCTTGCAACTTCTATTTGTAACTTTTAGACCATAAATGTTTCAAATGATGTTGAATTATTTCATATGACATGTATGAGGTAGCTATCCTGCTAGGTACATGTAATGGAAGAATGTGATGACAACTTGGTGTTTGTATTATGCCAGAAACTTAACACAAATATACATAGTGGGTTGTCCCCTAAACAGCTAAAAGTCTCCCTGATGTCAATCAAAAACCCAAGGCTCTAAAAACCTTCTGTTCAAATTAAGTTAGGGTTATTTGTAAAATAATAAATGACTGAATAATGGTATGGAAAACTCATGAATGGGTGCTTACTGTATGTTCTTTTTTGACTTATTTAAAACTTTCACATATATGTCTGGGCAAATTTATAATACATGTATGTAGGTAGCACCCTTTCTTGAGTTTTCCATATCATTTTACCATTATATCAAATAATTAATACTGCTTATGATAACTATGTCCCTTTTTTACATTATTTAAAACTTATGTATAGTTATGTATTATTTCTTTAAGAAGTATATTTTTACAATTTTGATAGGTAGCTGGTGTTATAGCAAGTTTATCATCAATGATGATCAGTCTATTATACCTGATAGTAAGTCTGACCCGCACCTATACCTCTACAGGTGTGCAGTACACTATACCAGTGTGGGCAAGATGGTTGCTTTGTCTACTGTCACCTGTGTCACTGGCTTTAGCTGTAGATCAGGTGAGTGACCCTTTTTAAAATGTGGATAGATTTTTCACATACCGTTCCACTTTTGTAACTCCGTATTGCATGGTATTGATATAAAGGTATTTGTGTTATACAAATATAGCAAAAGGACAAGCTTTATGTTGGTGTCCCTGTATAGGTGTGTCAATAACAAAAAAGGATTATTTTCAATGTAAACAGTTCTTACGTTAGTTATGTGATAAAAAGTATATGTTATTTTGGTTTTGGAGTGATATATGCAGATTTTTACCTGCTAAAATTTTATATCGGCAAGGGTGATATTTAATCTTGGCAGGTAATATATCCACATATATCACTCCAAAACCAAAATAATAATTTTATTACCCTTCCCCTGCTGAGTAAGATGTTTTTAAAATGAATCAGTGCTGTTTCAAATTAAACGTCGAAATAAGATTTCCTTTAGGGTACCACTTCCCCGCAAAATGATGTCACCGGAGCGTAAAATCAAACTGTACACGCATTGTGACAGCGCATATTGTTTACAATGTGGTTACCCAAAGGGGATATTTGTTGTGTATATTACCTGTCTGGCTTGGTTAGATCAATTTCTTTTGGCGGATCAATATCCAATCCAAAAGGGGGGAAAATGGAAGGGTAGTAAAATATTATATTTGTGTAGATTCATTAATTTATTAAATTAGTTAAATGAAATTATGGAATGTCGGTGGTTCTACTCGGGTGCTCTGTCATTATTCTTGCCTGAAATAATGCACAGAAGGGCACCTGAGGTCTTCCTCCACCAGTAAAGCTGGAACGTCGCCATATGACCTATACTGTGTCAGTGTGATGTAAAACCCAATGATGAATTGTGTCTGTAGTTATTTTTTAAAAAGGTTATGCTTGTGTGTATTCTATGCTTTCAGAGGGTCCGTCAGCCCTTTCAGGCACTGAGAGTACGGACTCCAGGTTATACTTGTGTAATTGGATATGTGCATGTATATGTACAGCACTTCTGTATAAGACAATTTTTGAGATTTTGTTTTAGCAGTTTATGTTAAGAGCTGGTATTTATACATAAATAAAACACAAACATTTATGCACAAGTGCTCATACAAACAACTATTGACTTTAAAGTAACTGCTATTGGCTGTTTATTCAGATACAGTTACTTTTCCTGACTGTTATATAACACCATTCATTTACAAAATATGATATATTTTTACAGGCAATATATCTAGATATAGTAAATCCGGATGGTATGACGTTTTCTACCATCACTGAAGGAGAGTTCCCTCTACTTGGTCCACTACTTATGTTAGTGGTAGACACTGTGTTTTATTTCTTACTGGCTATCTACCTGGATAATGTTGTTCCAGGTAAAACATCATGTTTTTTGTTGTCGTTTTTTTTGCTGTCTACATGGATGATGTGTTGTCAGGTAAAACACTGTGATTTATTTTAGCTGGTTATGTACCTTAGAAATATTGTTTCAGGTAAATTTCTTCAAACTAAGGAAATATTAATATTGACATAAATGACAGGTTTATTGTGATTGTGATATTTATTATTATTTCACACCTTACAATTATAAGATGTAACCAACTTCGAGTGTTTACACCATGTGATCTTCAAATATAAATAATCATTGGATCAAATCTCATCAATTAATCTGTGTTTTTATTTTCAAAGTACAAAAAATCTATATCAAATCCATATTGTGTTCTGTCTAACCTAGTTTTAATTTTTCAAGTACAAAAATTCCATATCATATCCATATTGTGCTCGAATAGATATGGGAAAAAATATAGAATTCAAATGCTGATAGGTAAAATTGAGAATATAAGCGATTGAAAAAGTTTGTTGAAATGGATGGGCTTTTTTTTATATCAGGTTACTAACCTGATATCAAAAATCATTATCAGGAAAGTGTTACCATGCAGTTGCCATGGCATTTGATTGATAAAGTAACATACTGATCCTGTTGGATAATCACAGCTGTAAAACCTATTTGGGACTTGACTACCACCTCACCCAATATAAGTTTAAAATCTAGGACTGTACTAGTCCAATATAATTCAGTATTGTACTCAACAATGTATAATATCATTATATCTCCCTCATACTATCAAATTATCAAAGTCTGAAACATTTTAGAGAAAAAATGAAAGAAAAAAATCAATGAGCATGTAGAAACTAAATCATGTTTGATAATGATTTAGTTGAATTATTATATTTTTCATTTTAAAGCTTTGATTTTGATTTCAATATCTTTTTGAGCTTAGAAGTTTGTGTATACATGTATTGGTTGTCAGATTGACTTGCCAATGCCCCAGTTCATATGAGCTGCATCATGACAAAACCAGCGTAATGCGTTTCTGACCAGCATGGACCCAGACCAGCCTGTGCTCCCATGCAGACTGATCAGGATCCATGCTGTTGACTCTCAGTTTCTCTACAGATGTGCAGGCTGGTCTGGATCCATGCTGGTCACAAACGCACTATGATGGTTTTGTCGTGCTGGGCTCAATTATTTGGATTTTAAACTGACAATAGCCTGTTCAAAACCTCGAAGCGGGACTGACTTTTTACCCCATAAAATTGCAGGGTTGAAGTTTATTACTTTCTTCAGGCTAGCATAGATTATTTGAAATTCATATCCTATATTGTACATGACACAACTTTATTTAGTAAAAACCTCATTGCATAACATTTCTTACTCTAATAATTTCAAGGTGAATATGGACCGAGGCAGCCACTATGGTATATATTTTCTCCATCTTACTGGTGTAGAAAGTCAAAGGCTTCAATTGCAAATTCAGCTTTTACTGGTGTTGTCGAGAGCAATGATGGCAATAGGAATGTGGAGAGGGTATCTGATGACATCAAAGACAAAGTTGCTGTCAGGTAAATATAATAAAATGCTGTGTATTTTTTGTAAAATGATTTATACAAACGTATATTTTAAACAATCAGTGATATTTTCATTGATGAATCTGAAGATTAAGCTAGATTTTTATTTTTAGCTTGGTGAGTTGAACAATATTGATGGGGGAAAAGTTAAATGTCTTTTAAGATAATTAAAGACAAAAGATTTGATAAATGGATCACTTGCCAATACAGGATCAAAATTCCTTGTAATAAGTGTCAAGATTTGAAACTTTTCCTTTAACATAATGTAGATTTCTAATTTATAATATTTAATATGTTGACTTTCATATGAGAATATGAGCATGATATGAAACATGGACATCTATGGCCTAGTGGCTAAGGTTTGATCTTTGTTTGATGGGAAGATAGGACAGTACATGTGAAGAGGCTATTTAGGTTGGTGATTCTTCTTAAGTGCTGGCTTGTGCTTGAAACAGTGATTGGCAGCGGTATTGTGGGCTTTGATGGTATATGTGTGGTACAGAAAAAAAAAAAAATTGATATATATTTTCTGGTTTCAGTATAGACAAACTTACTAAAACATTTACAACAAGTGATGGCAAAGTGACAGCTGTAAATGGTAAGAAGTTTCATGTATGGTATGTAGATACCTGTTAAATATAGAAAGATTCTAAGATTTGAAGCTGATGTTGTATCTGAGGTAAAGCTACAGTTTAATATAGATTGTTTGAAATACATTTTAATAGTTAGCATCTCAAAGCAAGTTTAGAGATAATGTATTTATACTTAAAAAAATCCCAACTGATCGATATTTTCTGATTTATTTCACAAAATTAATGATAATGTGATAATAACTCTTGTAAATTCAAATTATTTTATTTTGACCCTGGCATTTAATGATGTGAAGTATTGATTTTTTCCATGTCTTTGGATATGATTTGTTGAATTTTTGATATGATTTCTACAGGAAAGTTATTGGCCAACTACAGACTTACACTAAAGACCAGTCACCACCTCCAAATAAAAAAACTCCCTGTAAATAAAGATCACTCGTAGACAAACTTTCATTGGTAAAATTCAACAGAGTAAACTCCTATTAAAGACCACTTGTCTGTAAAGGTTCTCCTTTATTCACAGGTTTGACTGTAATTACTTGTGTCACAATTATGTTTACCAGAGTTTGAAGTTATGTAAAATTATATACCTTATGTTTTTTTCTGTTGCAGACCTTCAAGCATGTATAAGCCTTATACTACATGTTTGCGTAAATTCCTTTAAATATTTAGTCTGCATTGCATACTTCATTGCTGTATGATTTCAGAGTTAAGCTTGGATATATATGAAGGTCAAATAACAGCATTACTAGGTCATAATGGTGCAGGGAAGACAACAACCTTAAATATACTAACTGGACTGACTGGACCTACTTCAGGGCTAGCTCAAGTGTCTGGACTGGTTTGTATCTTCATAAATAATTTAGTTTTTATATTTGATATAAGGAAAGTATAGATCATAAGGTAACTTGTTTTTAAATCTTAATAACTCTGTTATTCTGTTTGTTTGTTTTGCTTGCCTTTACACCAATATTAGCACATATTTGTTCATATCTTGACAATTGCTCAAACTTAGACCAGCTTTCCTGGAAAACTTACCTGTAATTGACAATTTCTCCACCAACTACTTATTCCACATGATTTCTGATTCAGCAATGAGAGACAAAGGCGTGTCTGTGGCCAAGTGGTTAAATTTGTTAACTTGCCCCTCAACTCTGTGGGTTTGAATCCTGCAAGGGAATTTGGATCCTTTCATGTGAGAAAGTGTTTGGAAGATAATTTTGTTTCTTAATACAATAATATATGAAAGTTTTTGACAACTATTTACTTATTATATATGTTTTATTATTACAGAATGTATCTGATGCAAATGATATGGCAGAAATTCGCAGTATGACTGGGATATGTCCACAACATAATATCCTGTTTGAAGATCTGACATGTTTGGAACACCTTCAACTGTTTGCTGGTATCAAAGGTGTAAAAGGTGATGACAGGGATAAAGAAGTAAGTGGGCTAGTCAGACATGCATCAGTACCATGAGTAAAGTACTTTAAGTACCAGTGTTTGTCAACTTATACTGTGTCAGTACCAGATTTAACAAGAATTTAGTTCAATACTGCAGTATCACACCTTTTATTTCGGAAGTAATTAAGTACCAGTACTTCCATTTTTTCATCTTATTTTGTCAAACAACAAAAAGATATAACAATATTGTTTATATATGGACAGTCTTTATATCGTATATTTTATCAACAAGATAGGTATTATTGGATAAAAAGAGTTGCTAGTTATTTAACCTTTTAAGATTGTTATACCTCATTGAGTTGTATACAATTTTTTGTTTGGATAAAACTTCAACTATATTTGTCTGTCATAGTACAGCATGTACATGTATTGCAATGATTGAAAAGACAAAGATGGTATTGTCAAGATGTTTTTTATTTTATATGTTTATGTATTATATGTTTATCTGTTAAAATTGAATGTTTCTATACTATCAGATAGAGGATGCCATTAACAGTGTAGGCCTGGCTGAGCAGAGGGACATCAGATCTAAAGCTCTTAGTGGTGGACAAAAACGAAAATTATCTGTTGCCATAGCAATTATTGGAGATCCTAAAGTAATGATTTTATGTTTTATTTTCTGATATTGTGGGGTCTTGCTGACTTTAAACTAATTGCCTCTCATCACTATGAGTCTAATGCCATATTTCATATTAATTTATAAACTTGCACTACAGTAGGAAGTATAACAAAAATACCGAGGGCTCTCCTCAAGTTAGACCAGTTATCACCATTATTGTATTAGTTCATACTAAAGGTATCTTCTAAAGCATCTATCCTGATAATGACTAAACATTGAATCTACTTCAAATGATGCAGAGATTATGAATTATTCTAGTACTATAAAGTGAGCCATTTGTCTTGATTTGTACACTTTTCACTGTTTGTTTTTGAATAGTATAATCAATAATAATTGCTTTTCAAATATATATATATTTTTTTATTTTAAATACATGAAACTAAAAAAATGTATAGAGCATATTATGTGATATAAGTAATGATTGTTCTCAATATAGATAATCTTCCTTGACGAGCCTACTGCTGGTATGGATCCGTTCTCGCGGCGCCATCTATGGTCAGTTTTAAAGGAGAAGAAAGTTGGCCGTGTCATCTTACTTACAACACATTTCATGGATGAAGCAGATATTCTTGCTGGTATGTTGTACTCACACTTATGAAGCATTTAGTATTGATGACTCACTGTATTAATTATTTGTTTAAATTTTATAGAGAAATGAATGTTAATGCTGAGGGTTCCTATTTAGTTGATTAAATACCACTTTCGTTTTATAATAAATGCTTATAGAATTATATAAAATCTTATAATTGTTGCTTCCATTTAAATGAAAATAGCTCTAGTTTGATTTAAACAGTTTCTAAATTGTCATAAAAGCTTACATGAATTTGGAGGTCTTTTGGTTTTTAACTCTCTTGTGAGAAAAGCTTAAGTCCATTTCAAAGTCTGTTGCCACTGCTTTTCAAGATAAACCAGTTTGGGTGTGAAATTGTGGTCAGGACCCTTAGGTAGTGCTTGAACCAATATTCCCTGGATTGAGAGGCAAACACTTTCACCACTAGGTCTGCAAATTCTGTTTCATGCATGAAACTTCTTAAAACCTCTTGTTCATTATCAATATTTAGGATTAAGTGTACATGAGAATTATAATTGTTTTATTGTTTTACAGATAGGAAAGCAATTATCAATAAAGGTTCATTAAGATGTTGTGGATCCTCTTTATTTCTGAAAAACAGATTTGGTATTGGTTATCACCTGAAGTAAGTATATATGTGGGAAATGCTTTATATGGATGTGAGTAAACTTTTAATTGCCATATAACAATCACCTAGCAGTTTGAGTTGGATTAATTTACAATCATTTATACTTAGTCATATCACCTGTTGTTATAACTAATATAATACACACTGTATGTGGGGTATCAATAATAAAACATTTAACTGAATTGAGAAAAAAATAAATCTGGAAAGGTGATATAACTGAATAGAAGGATACCATATTTTGATAAATATTGATGATTTTGTTAATGTTGCCAGTTGAAGGAACTTCTAGTAAGTTTCTGTCTGCAAGTATCTTGAAAAGAAAGTAATAGTAAAACAAGGAAAAAATCAATTCATGTCAAAATCTGTTGTAAATATGTCCACACTTAGATACATTTTATGAAGAAAAGTTGTGTATTAACATTAAATATAGCAATGAAGTACATTTTTAGCTTGATTATTCAAAGAATAGTGGGGCTATTCTACTCAGCACTACTCATCATTATGGTAGTGGATCAGGAAAGGGGATACTGATAGTAGATGATTTTTATCATCTATAGTATGGTACTGGATCAGGGCGATTTCGATGGTATACATGTATGTTTTCTATCATGTATAGTATGGTAGTGGATCATGGAGGGGATACTGATGGTATACATGTATGTTTTCTATCATGTACAGTATGGTAGTGGTTCAGGGAGGGGATACTGATTGTATACATTTTCTATCATCTACAGTATGGTAGTAGATCATGGAGGGGATACTGATGGTATAAAGAAACTTGTGAAAGATCACATTCCAGAGTGTGAAACTAACAGAGTACATGGTCAGGAACTAGATATCACACTTCCATTGTCTCAAGTGTCCAAATTTGCAGGTACATGCAGGCAAACTGACATACACTTAAACATCAATGAAATAACATAGCATTTGGTTCACAATTTGAGATCATATTTTTAATTTCTTAAAATCGATTACAATGTAAGTGGCCAAAGTGATATGTCAATAAACTTGTTCACATTTTAAAGATGCATTTGTTATATGAAAAAAATAGTGAACCAACTGTTAACTATTGAAATAATTAAGAAATACCAATTTTACAGAACCACAAAAATCAAGTTTTTATCATCGGTACTATAAGTTCTATGGGAATATACTATATTGAAATACCCCCTTAGCATGGAAAATGCATGTACCGGTATATCAAAGCAAGTATTTAACGAAATAACCATTTATTTTTATTCATTACTAAAAAATCATCTGACATAAAGCAGGACATCGGAATCAAATACATTTTATTAAAGCTATTAGATCAAATTGATATATTTTAAGATATTGATTTTACTTGTTTAGGAAATACATTTATTAAGATTATATTTCAATCCTTTATAGGTAAGATGTCATCTTGAATGGTAAACTGTAAATATTGTATTGTTATATTTCCACAGATCTTTTCAATACACTAGAGGCTAGAATTGGGAACACTGATGACAGTAACCTTGGTATAAGTAGCTATGGTATTTCTATGACAACCTTAGAAGAAGTCTTCCTGGAACTTGGTATGTGTTGTTTGTTGTTGTTGCTGTTGTTGTTGTTGTTGTTGTTGTAAAGTGACTTCTCTATTGAGGATTTTAACCATATATCTGTGGTTTACCATCTAGTAGTCTAGTTATAAATAAAGAATTACTGAATTGTAATACAGTTGAGTTCACACTATAGGTTACACAAAGTTCACTTCATGTGCACTTCTAGTGCACTTCATTTTGCACCTCTTTGAAGTGCACTTCTAGTGCACTAGACCCTTCATGCACTGGGCAGTGTTTCAGTTTGTTTGAATAGCAGTTACCTTTAATTTCAACAAACATCTTTAGTTGATGTACCAGCAAATAATCACTATCTCTTCACAGTACATATTTAACTTTATGGATGGAGTTTAATTAGTTAAGCCTTGGAAATATTAGACAGAATCATTAACCTTGCAGAAGAGTAGACTTTATGCTATGTAAATTGAGGTTAGTAGCAAAGCCTATGTATAAGTCATGAATCAGGTAATGGAAAAGCCTACATGTGTGTGTGTGAGTCAAGAATCTAAGGTGACGCAAGAATAATAGTAATATTTCATAAAGTTCAATTATTGCCAACCATTGCATCAGATATTGTCAAACTAAGATTAACCAGCACTTTTTGATATTATTGAATATTATTGCCTTATTAAAACATTAGAAAAAGAAAATTGTTATAGAATATTATTGCCTTTTTAAAACACCAGAAAAGGAAAATGATGAGACAGATGTTCAAAGACAAGTATTTGAGACTAACACTGTACTTATAAATGAGACAGAAGAAGAGGTTAATGATCTTATCAATATGTCACCACTAGGTAGACAGGCAAAAGATGGCGGGAAACCTTTCCAACAAGGTAATAGAATCATTGTGAGGCTACACACTGGGAGATCATTTAGTTAGGGTTTAATGCTAATTATGGGCTTCATTCCTTTCTCCTCTACCATTTTTCTTATAAGTACAAATTTCCTGACAAGAAAGTTTTAAGATAATAAGGAGATGTACATAAAGCTTAAACAAGAAGTATACCAAAATAAGCTTTTGATAATTTATTGGAATATTGTTTGCACTAAAAGTATATTGCACTTTAACCCAGTTATAATGTTAGGGTTCAAAGTCTCAAAACCGCATTATTAGTGGGTTCTGATATGTATTTGCTCATCACAAATTTATGGCATTACCCCACTCTCCGCCAATACATATAACACTATGATGTTATTCTTTTCAGCCAAACAATTTAATAATATAAACATGTATTATTTTATGAAATATTACTATTTATGTTATAATAATATATTATTACTAATTATATGGAGGAAGAACTCAGGTGCCCTGTCCTGCATTTTTTCAGGTATGGGCAGGTACCTGAGTAGCACTGCTGGCCTTCTTTAAGCTAGCTACATGTATATCGCTTGCTTACATGACAAAAATCCAAAGTCCGTGATGAGAATCGAACCCACAGCAGTTAGGAGAAAGTGATTTTAAGTTGGTAACCTTACCACTTGACCACTTGTTTATTTCATTTGTCATTTACCTCACGGTTTGTACAGACCTTGCATAATTGATCTGAATATAAAGTACACATGTAATATAAAGACTATTTTTAATTAGAAAAATAATTTTGTTTTGTTTACTATTTGTATTCTGCAGCAAGTGGCAAGTATCTTATTGTTGTATTTGTACATCTTAAAGATAGAATAAATTTCATCTTACATTGTCTATAGATAAAAAAAATATGGAAGATATATTCAATATTTTTTCCAAATATAAAGAGGTCAAACCACCATTTCAATAGATTTTTACATGGAGAAACATGTGAGTCTTAATATTCATTTGTTCTAATGCATGGTCAATAACTGTATATGATATTTAAAGTAGGTATAATGATTACACTGTAAGCTTGCTGGCGGCAACAGCATCTACCCGTGCAGCCAGTGCTGACCAAGATCAACCAACACATCTGTGCAATATGATCATAGTCTAGACTGTTTGCTTTTCAGAATCTCTGCTTCCTGATCATAGTCTGGACTGTTTGCTGTTCAGATTCTCTGCTTTCTGATCATAGTCTAGACTGTTTGGTATTCAGAATCTCTGCTTCCTGATCATAGTCTAGACTGTTTGGTATTCAGAATCTCTGCTTCCTGATCAAAGTCTAGACTGTTTGGTATTCAGAATCTCTGCTTCCTGATCATGGTCTGGACTGTTTGCTGTTCAGATTCTCTGCTTTCTGATCATAGTCTAGACTGTTTGGTATTCAGAATCTGTGCTTCCTGATCATAGTCTGCACTGTTTGCTATTCAGAATCTCTGCTTCCTGATCATGGTCTGCACTGTTTGCTATTCTGAATATCTGCTTCCTGATCATGGTCTGGACTCTTTGCTATTCTGAATATCTGCTTCCTGATCATCGTCTGTTTGCAATTCAGAATCTCTGCTTCCTGATCATGGTCTGCACTGTTTGTTCAGAATCTCTGCTTCCTGATCATGGTCTGGACTGTTTGCTATTCAGAATCTCTGCTTCCTGATCATGGTCTGGACTCTTTGCTATTCTGAATATCTGCTTCCTGATCATGGTCTGGACTATTTGCTATTCTGAATATCTGCTTCCTGATCATCGTCTGTTTGCAATTCAGAATATGTGCTTCCTAATCATGGTCTGCACTGTTTGGTATTCAGAATCTCTGCTTCCTGATCATAGTCTAGACTGTTTGGTATTCAGAATCTCTGCTTCCTGATCAAAGTCTAGACTGTTTGGTATTCAGAATCTCTGCTTCCTGATCATGGTCTGGACTGTTTGCTATTCAGAAATGTGCTGTTTTATATTGTCTGCACTGTTTGCTGTGAAGTGTTTGTTATTCAGAATCTGTGCTTCCTGATCATGGTCTGGACTGTTTGCTGTAAAGTCACTACATTTTTTTAGATTTTTCCCTAAAAATGTTGAATGGTTTTCTTCAGATTGAATGATGGACAAGTGCATGTAAGGTCTCATATTTAGTTTGGTCAGGGTGAAACAAGATTAAAGTTGATACATATGTCAAAATAAACAAACTTCTCTGTGAAATGTATAGTAACACACACATGGTATTATTATGTAATCCATTCCTATAATATATATTTTTAGCAAAGCAAAATAACTTTGATAGGATATTCACAAACAACTTTACAATAATTTTATAATAATTTTATACATATGGTGCTTATGTTGAACTTATATTGAGACTTACATATTTAGAATGTTGTGTACAGAAGGAAATATTTTGTATTTTGTTTTAAAATCTTTTAACAACTTGATATACTGACAGTGCCAATCATTGGGATTGAGGGTAAGATATCTAGTAATTAAATAAGGTGTATAAGTTACATAGAACATTGGATTTCTCATCTATCATAGTATAGTATATGATTATCATATACATGTAGTGTCATTTTTATAACTGCACACACTATATGGAATGCCATAGATAATGTTTCTATGTTACACTCCTTACATACACACATGTAAACATGATTATGTCTTTTATATTTCGAGTTAAGGATTTTCTAGTTTATTCACATACTCAATTGATATTTATTAAGTACAATGATATTTCATTCTTACGTAATTCATCTCTGAGCATCAGTATGTTCATTTTGTCCTAGATGTATTGTTAATTTAAATCCTTAACCTGCTGAAACTAAAAATGATCAGCCTTTGACACCAGTATAGAGCAAGGCCAACCTGCACATCTGTGAAGTATGACTAGGCTCTATACTGTTGGCTCACTTACTTCCCTAAATTGATATTAAACAGTTATAAAATTGGAAGCTGGAAAAGTCTTTTTAAGAAATTCAGAATGTTAAAGGTTAAATTTTCCAATGCTTATAGTAATAATGATTTGCCATTGCAACCAGTATGAAGCCTTCATATGGTGCATGTCCAAACTTTATAACATTATATTGCTTAATTGTAAATATTGGTATTGAAACTCCTTAAAGAAACAACCAAATATTAATTCAAACTGACAGCAGTGCAAAAACATAATACAAATGTATCACCACTGAATGGGTGAATTGGCTTTGAGTGGAAAACTTCACCAAGCAATGGTTTGCATAATGTCAAAATGTTGCACTGCATTATGATTCAAGCATGTCAGAGTGAATATTTACTTAGAAAAGAAAATAGATAAAGTATGATTTTCTTTGTGAGCTTCTCCCAGAATGATGCCTGTATATTAAAAGATAATCATAGTTCTTGTTGTTTGAAATATTTCTTTCAACTTGCTAGCATGGTGTTTAGAATGCTATAGGATTTGCTTTACAGAATTAAACAATACTTAAAAAACTTCTATAACTAATTTTGATAGAACTTTTTATTACCATTAATTTATTTTAGATAATTTTTATTTTATGCTATAATTGTTTATTTTAGATAATTTTTAATTTTATGCATTACTAAAATTAACTACGTAGCAAGTCATTTAAAACTTCAGTTCTTTATTTGTAACAAAGCTTATTTGTTTTGCTTCTGGTATGGTACAATTTCTTCACTAATATTTCAGTTTTCAAATTTTGATTGTTTGTATCACTTGGTTATTGTTTATTGTAGGATCAGCTTTATCAAGGCAGAAATTTGGGGCATTATTAAAGATAAAGTTCCTGCGGAATAAACGGAATGGACAGCTATTGTTTTTCCAACTGATTTTACCTATTGTACTAGTGGTTATTGGATTGATTGTTAACAAAAATTCTAATAAACCTTTGGAGGTAAGAAATATACATATATACATTAGACTAGTATTGTAATGATCCTGGTAACATAATGAATATTTAGACTTCATACCATCTACTCATTTGCCATCAATAGCAAAAAAACAAAAACATTTCAACAGACAGTTTCTATTAACCTTTTGTATGATTATGAATCATATTAAATCCAATTAAAATGGGACATACATAAACCATACCATTACTCTGACAAAATGTTGACAACTCAGTCAGTGTGAATGTTTTAACTTAAATCTAGTCTAAACCTATTAATTAATTAAGAGTACTGTAACATAACTGTGACATGTTTTAGGAAACATATTTGACAATTTTTGTTGAATATTTAGGGAAGGGATCCCAAGTCACTAGAGATTGGAGCATATTACTACAGTAAAATGAAGAACAGTCCTTCAGCACATGGAAGATTTGGACCTATACCTTCACTGCTAGTACATGATGATGTTGGTGAGATAGTGATTATTTCTTTGTTGGTTTGTTGAGAAAATATGTAACTATGTGAAATATTTAGTCATTTTCAGATTTCTTTTGTTACTACTGGTGCAGTTTTGAAACCTTCTAAAATTTATTTAGTAATATGTACATATCTGTTAGATTTATAGTAATACTTTCTTTGCATATATCAACATTGAAAAGATTTTGTGTCAATTTTTTAACGTTTTTCTCTGAAGTAATTGCCATAATTCTAAGTCAAAGGTCAAAAAAGGTAACACATTTCAGTATGTCAAAGGTCAAATAATGTTAAGCTATAGGCATTTTGTTATTAAACAATATTTGATCTTTTTTCAGATTCCTTATCATCACGGTTGTTCCTAGGGAATTTGTCTACCGCATTTAATGTAGAGACGTTAAACAGTTATGGATCACTTATGGGTATAGCCCCACACTATCTAGGCATTAATCTAACTCAGTTCAAAATTAATGCACAGGTAAAATTTTTAAGACATTTGTAATTTTATTGGGTTTTCAATAAAAAGTGTTTTTAAGTTAAAACTCATGGCTTAATTGTGATTTTTGAATAGGATGAGTTATCTTTCCATCTTTGTTTTAACATTGACACTATGGTCATATCTCTAAGAAACTAATGTTAGATTCATTTTGGAGTTACTACATTTTATCATCTTGCACTGCTGCAAATTAATTATTATCATCATCATGGCCTAAGCTAGTCTCTTTCAATATAGCTTAGAATTGAAAAATAAATATAAAAAAAAATCAAACAACACTTTGAACAAGCCAGTCACTAGATGCTGACAAAATTCAGACAAAATATTGTCAAAGGTTTTTCTTTAAAGTTTATAGGTGCACTGTCTTTAACCTTTTGTAATGGTCATTAGAGCTGAAATGATAATGTTATATAGATATTGTTAAACAAGTTCTTGTGAACCAACAGATGAATTGTCACCGCAGTGGGTTGGAATCCCAACAGGGACTTTGGACTCTGGAAACCATCCAGCAAGGTTACAGAATGTTGGGGGTCCTATTCAGGTGCTGGTTTGTGCCTGAAATAATGCAGGGAAGGAAACCTGAGGTCTTTCTTTGCCAGTAAAACTGGGAAGTCCTGATTTGACCTATATCTGTATGTGGACACGTAAAACGAAACCAAACAAAAAAGATACATTGTTAATAAGTTGTTAAAAAACATCCTTCAATTGTCCTATCATTGCCTTTTTGTTTGAATGTTTGACATTTCTTACCACTTTTATGAAATATATTCACTGTGCTAGTTTTGATGATATTATTGATTCCTTTTTTTCTAAAATCACAAGTTTATCATATTTTACATTAATTTTTTAGCTCGACTATTCGATAAGAATAAGTAGAGCTATTGCAGTCACCCGAGCGTCGGCGTAACCACTTATGTTAAAGTTTTTGTAATAGTTCAAATATTTTCAAAGTCCATTGACATATGGCTTTGAAACTTTGCACACTTGTTCACCATCATGACCCCTACCTGTAGACAGGAGGAGGTAACTCTATCAAGCATTTTGACAGAATTATGCCCCTTTTACAACTTAGAATTTACGTTAAAGTTTTTGTAATAGTTCAAATATTTTCAAAGTCCATTGACATATGGCTTTGAAACTTTGCACACTTGTTCACCATTATGACCCCAACCTGTAGACAGGAGGAGGTAACTCTATCAAGCATTTTGACAGAATTATGCCCCTTTTTCGACTTAGAATTTACGTTAAAGTTTTTGTAATAGTTCAAATATTTTCAAAGTCCATGGACATATGGCTTTGAAACTTTGCACACTTGTTCACCATCATGACCCCTACCTGTAGACAGGAGGAGGTAACTCTATCAAGCATTTTGACAGAATTATGCCCCTTTTTCAACTTAGAATTTACGTTAAAGTTTTTGTAATAGTTCAAATATTTTCAAAGTCCATTGACATATGGCTTTGAAACTTTGCACACTTGTTAACCATCTTGACCCCAACCTGTAGACAGGAGGAGGTAACTCTATCAAGCATTTTGACAGAATTATGCCCCTTTTTCGACTTAGAATTTACGTTAAAGTTTTTGTAATAGTTCAAATATTTTCAAAGTCCATTGACATATGGCTTTGAAACTTTGCACACTTGTTCACCATCATGACCCCAACCTGTAGACAGGAGGAGGTAACTCTATTAAGCATTTTGACAGAATTATGCCCCTCTTTCGACTAAGAATTTACGTTAAAGTTTTTGTAATAGTTCAAATATTTTCAAAGTCCATTGATATATGGCTTTGAAACTTTGCACACTTGTTCACCATCATGACTTCAACCTGTAAACAGGAGGAGGTAACTGTATCAGGCATTTTTTTTACTATCAAGCACGAAGAATAGTCGAGCGTTGCTGTCCTACCGACAGCTCTTGTTTTAGATATGATGACATGTTAGTTAAGTAATGTGTTTTTGTTTCAGGGTATTGCCACTGGATTAACAGCTTTATACAATGACAGTGCCTCCCATGCAATTCCAGCCATAGTCAACCTGATGACCAATAGTATCTTTAAAATTGAAGAGTACCTGGCTGGAAAACCGGACAATACTAGTTTCATTCGTACAAGCAGTCTGCCATGGCCTGCAAGTTTTGAGAAAGTAGTATTCAGTAATGCAGCATTTTCATCTGTGATACTATTAGCAATGGCATTTGTAGTTATTCCTTCTGGGTTCGGTATAGACATTGTGAAAGATAGACAGGTAAAGTTTTACTCTTTACAATGTAGATGTTTGTTATTTAATGAAAAACTAGTTGCCAGTGATGGCCTAAATGTGAAATCTACCTGTTAGAAAAGAGTTGATAACTGATGACATAATTTATGTTATATTACTATGATCATATTATATCATATTTGACTTTTTTAATCCTTAACTTGCTGAATTTTGTGTTGTATTCACACAATTTGAATGTTGAACAGTCTATTAAATTTTAAGGCATTTCAATACTGAGCTACCAACTGTTTAGAGCATGGCAAGACAGCCTAGATGATGTATCCCTTTCATGTTTTTGATAAACATATCTCAGCCCTGTTACATGTATATTTATTTATTTATAGACTAAAGTAAGAAGTCAGTTGAGAATAGCTGGTGTATCATACAAGATTTACTGGGGATCTTATGTTGCCATGGATATCATCAAATACATCATTCCTGCTTTATTGATCATCATTATAACTTTGATTATGCAGGTAAGTACTTTTGTTTTATAATATTTTAAATATTTATGGTAGTTCTTTTGTTCCTTTAATTATGGTATCCTGTATTTTACTCAGATGTAAGAATTATAATGAAGATTTACTATCATATATCAGGTAGACAGTTTACAACAGAAAGGAGCAATGTTTGTGTTTATACTGATGGTAGTTACATGTATACCTGCCAGCCTGCTACTGTCCTATGTTGTCTCGTTTGGATTTGATAAATGGGAAACTGCACAAGCTGTACAGCCTCTTATCTTCTTCTTTGTAAGTATTTATATTATTGAAGTTATAAAGATTTTTGGCAAGTTATATGGCCCTATTATAAACAGTTAATAGGGGCGTCCGTGGCGGAGTGGTTAAGGTCGTTGACTTCAAACCACTTTCCCCTCACCGCTGTGGGTTCGAATCCCGCCAGGGACTTGGATTCTTTCATGTGAGGAAGCTATCCAGCTAGCTTACGGAACGTCGGTGGTTCTACTCAGTTGTCTGTTCGTGCCTGAAATAATACAGGGAGGGGCACCTGAGGTCTTCCTCCACCAGTAAAGCTGGAACGTTGTGATATGACCTATACTGTGTCGATGTGACGTAAAACCCAATCAAAAAATAAAAATAAACGGTTAATTGCCTATATAACCAGATCCATTAGACAAGAGTTATATTGCAAATAACCATTTATATGCAGCAACATAACATGTCAAGAATCTTGATATCAAAGTTATAATACAGCAGACTTCTTTTTCTAAAAGTAGGTAAGTAAGTAAGTAAGTAAGTAACGATTTTATTTAATGAGGCAACACAGTTGGGCAAGCCCAGTCTTCCCTGTGAGCCTCAACAATGTACAAAACAATTTATAAAATAAAATACATCAATAAGAGATTAAATAACTACATAAGTTGATTTCATTATTATACATTCAACATTGAAATATGTGAGATCAACCTCAAACAACAAAAGACATGTGTTGATAATATACCGGTATACAAATGTTATCAAAAGTGAAAATTAACATATATATAAAACAAGCATATTTAAACAAATAAAAAAAAAATAAAAAAATAAATAAAAAAATATAAAAAAAAACAACAAAAAAACCCAACAAATATTTACGTTGCATTTAAGCAGAGGTTTCCACCAGAGAACCACCATGTTAAGTATGTTTTTTTGAATTGTGCAAGACTGTTTGATTGCCTGATATGTAATGGTAATTTGTTCCAGATTTTAGGCCCAGAGTATCTAGAGTAACTTAATGAATCTATGTAAAAAAACTATATTCTTTATTTGAACATTATGATTATCCATTGAAATGCGATGTTATAAATGTGCAGTATTATAATACTTTATTATTGTAATAAAGCTAGATCTGTATCTTAAAGTACTTGTACTAGACAGGTTTTATGTCATGTTTAATTTGATATAAATATTTCAGGCAGGTTTCATGCCATATTTACCTCCAACTTTGATTGATTTATGATATTATTTCAGGCAGGTTTCATGCCATAATTACCTCCAACTTTGATTGATTTATGATATTATTTCAGGCAGGTTTCATGCCATATTTACTTGTAGCTTTGATTGATTTATAATTTTATTTCAGGCAGGTTTTATGCCATATTTACCTGTAGCTTTGATTGATTTATAATTTTATTTCAGGCAGGTTTTATGCCATATTTACCTGTAGCTTTGATTGATTTATAATTTTATTTCAGGCAGGTTTCATGCCATCTTTACCTGTAGCTTTGATTGATTTATAATTTTATTTCAGGCTGGTTTCATGCCATCTTTACCTGTAGCTTTGATTGATTTATAATTTTATTTCAGGCAGGTTGTATGCCATATTTACCTGTAGCTTTGGTTGATTTATAATATTATTTCAGGCAGAATTTATGCCATATTTACTTGTAGCTTTGATTGATTTATATTATTATTTCAGGCAGGATTTATGCCATATTTACTTGTAGCTTTGATTGATTTATAATATTATTTCAGGCAGAATTTATGCCATATTTACTTGTAGCTTTGATTGATTTATAATTTTATTTCAGGCAGGATTTATGCCATATTTACCTGTAGCTTTCACTGATTTACAATTTTATTTCATGCAGGATTTATGATGATTTATAATTTTATTTCAGGCAGGATTTATGCCATATTTACCTGTAGCTTTGATTGATTTATGATTTTATTTCAGGCAGGTTTCATGCCATATTTACTTGTAGCTTTGATTGATTTATAATATTATTTCAGGCAGAATTTATGCCATATTTACTTGTAGCTTTGATTGATTTATAATATTATTTCAGACAGAATTTATGCCATATTTACTTGTAGCTTTGATTGATTTATATTATTATTTCAGGCAGGATTTATGCCATATTTACTTGTAGCTTTGATTGATTTATAATATTATTTCAGGCAGAATTTATGCCATATTTACTTGTATTTATAATTTTATTTCAGGCAGGATTTATGCCATATTTACCTGTAGCTTTGATTGACTCTATGACAAGTGAATCTACAGCCAGTCTTTTACATATCATATTCTGCTGTATTCTACCACCTTATACAATGTTTGGAGGTCTGTTTTATATTGATAAAGTAAGTATCTTATTAGAATATGACAAATATAACTATGATTAAAAACTTAAGCCTAGTAGGACCATCTCTCGAACAATAATTTCAGTTAATTGTAATTCTTGTTAGGTTGTTAATTTTATTTAATCAGGTTGTTAATTTTATTTAATCTATGTAAAGTTCTTGGCCGTAGCTGCTTGTATTGTGTCTGTTTTTAAATACTTAAAATTTGTTTACATGACCTTTGTTAACGGCTGTCATGAACTCACTAGGGTGCTTGATTAGTAAAAAATATTGACCACTGGCTACCAATTATCGAACCAAGTCATTAATAGTGTACGAATAACATGAAGAGATAGGAGATAACTTAATATATTAACACTAGAATCATGAATTAAGTTTTTCCTCATGATTTTCTTTTCTCTAATTTTATTTTTATGTAGACAATCAAGTGATGAACATTGTCTGTATTTTCCAGGTATACAGAAGTGCTGCAATGCATTTGGACACAGAGAATATTCACTTCAAAGATTATCTCACAATCAATATAATAGCTGCAATTCTTATTGTAAGTATCAAAATACTGGCATTTGTTCAAATCTGTTCTGTAGGGTGTGGGGTGGTTCCTCCATTTGTGAGTATGTATAAAGTTTCTGACTCCCTCACTGCTCTGTGTTTGTTTTATGATAGGGACTTCGAAATTTTTCATGTGATGAAGGGATTTTAAGCTACCTGTAGGGTAATAACACATATGGAGGCACTAATGTGTAAGTCTTCCTTATCTGAAGTGCTGTCGCATGCCCTTTATTGTGTAGCAGTAATTTGAAACAACAACATCTGTCCAGATTTTATGTACTAGTATTTGACATAAAATTTTTGAAGCAATTACACATACAATTATTGGGTATATCTTGTTAGCTTAATGGCCTTGAGGTTATGAAACTTTTATCTGAGTTCTGTCTGGAATTTTAGGAGTTTAATTGGTCAATATACATTCTTTGTTTGTAACTGACCAATCAAATACCTGAGATCTGAGTTTGTGCTTGTTAAATTCTTTTATAACCTCGGACCCTGGACTGACCTGTTGAAATAGAGTTGAATGGTCTATTGGAGTCTATAGAAGTCAACTCCAAATAATGTTATTACTGTATTTCTTATTCAAATATTACAATGTTTTGACTTGGAAGTCTTCAAGTGGTAAATCGAAAATAATGTCAGCATCATACATTAAAATTCTGATAGTTTGAATGATCTGACTTCAAACCTTTTAAACTTCTTCTTACAAATGAATGGATAGATCATTTTAGATTAACTTAATATGCAGTTACTTCTATATAAGATAAATTTCTCAGAAACAATTGACATTCAGCATTTAATCTAAAATTCAGTTGTTTCTCAAATCATATAGAATTATTTGCTGGTCACTTGCTGAGAAATTAGTTATTACTGGTTAGTTATCCAGGGAAGCGGGTTAGGTAGAGCAGCCACCGGGATATGACCAAAAATTTGCAAAAATCAGCAAGAAATACAGCCAGTTTTGTATTTATGTTTTTGAATGAATTAACTACATGTATCAACAGAGATAATAAAAAACTGTTTTATTATGAAAAGCTTGACATGAAATGAAAGATCTATTTTGTTTCTTTTGCATTCTTTTAAACTATGGAGAAGCATGGATAAAGTTTTCAAATTTTGATTTTTCTTAATCATCTTCTTTCTTTTCAGCCACTGCTTCATGTGGTGCTGAATTCTGTGTTATTGAAAATACTAGACACCAGGGAGAGTGGAGGGAGTGTTAGTGAAGCACTTGGTTGCCAGGCAACAATGACATCAGGTGTATCACGTGATGGTGTTAATGACGTGGTAGATGAAGATGATGATGTGAGAACAGAGAGACAGCGGGTACAGGAACTACTTAAACAACCTAAGGTACATCTTGTCTTAATTCATTTTTTGAAAATCAGTTAAGCTCTTTCAACAGTGTAAGCAAAAACACACACAAAAAAGTAGTTTTTATTTTATCTATGACAAAGTGACTGCTAAATTATTATTCGTAAATGAACAAATTTTCGTGGACAGATCAATCCATGAATTTAAGATCCAACGAAATTTCATTTTGTCTGCTGTAAGATTATTTTGCATCATATTATTTACATTTTACCTTATGGAAAAATAAACACTTCATGAGTTTAAAGAACCCTCCAAAATGTTCTTTGTGACAAAACCACGAAATTTCATGCCCATGAAATTAAGTGAATTCACAGTACAAGTTTTCAAATGTCAAAGAATATAAAAATCTTTGGTTGAGATTTCACTGACAAAATTGATCACCATAAGAACAGTAATGATATGTGTTTGATGAAAAAATATACAGTGAAACCAAATAACTACCCATCTTAATTGACATCATTTTATAAATATAATATAAATATTTGAATAAAGTTTAACTGGTGTGACCTTGAATGAAATGGAATTTTTATGCCCCCGGGGCATATTGTTATTGAACCGTCCGTATGTCTGTCTGTCCGTCCGTCTGTCCGAGCAAACATTTTTGGTTTAGGGGCTATATAACAGTAAAGAGAACAAAAGAGAACAATAGGTTCATTCCGTGATCAAAGGGTTTACGGGCTAGTATCCGTTAAGAAAACAAAGAAAATAGCAAAGAAAATAGCCCCTAAAGCCAAAATGTTGGAACGTCCGTCTGTCCGTACGAGGTTAACCTAGAAAGGCAAGTTGGATTTTTCTTAAGTTCTACCTGTACCAATGGCTTCATAGTTTACACACTTACTAATCCATACAAAGTATATGATCTGGGCAAGTTACATAACTATGGCTTCCATTTGCACCAAGTAATGGCCCTTTTCAGCACTTAGAAAATGAATAATGGTTAACCTAGACCGGCAAGTTGGAAATATCTTATGTTCTATCTGAACTAATAGCTTAATAATTTTCACACTTACTTATCAATACAATGTACATGATATTGCCAAGTTATATAAATGTGCCATCCATTTTCCCAGTAATTTCCCTTTCTATCACTTTGAAAATAGGGCATTGTATGGTTAAACTATTCCGCCAAGTTGGATTTATCAAAAAAATTCACCTAATTACTTAATTTATTTAATGATATCTTTCATATTTGGTAGGTGGATACCTTAAAGGGTCCTCTAATTTTTTTGTGGCGTTAGGCGTCTCTAGGTCAAGGTCAAGGTCACTTGTGTAAAAAAATAAATCTAAACATTTCTGCTCATACAACCTTTATTTTTAAGTTAATGTCTTTCATGTTTATAATAGTCATACCAAGGGAGGTCCTCTTCCTTTTCCTTTAGTAAGAGGTCATTTGGGTCAAGGTCACTAATGTCAAAAAATTTTTTTTTTACACTTTTACAGGTGTATTAACCTTATTCTATTGACAGATGTCTTGTATATTTTGTAGGAACATAAAATTGAAGTATTCTGATTTGGATGGAGGTAGGGGTCAGTTAGGTCAAGGTCACCAGTGCTAAAAATAGATTTTTACACTTTTGCTCATACAGCTTTTATTTATTGACAGATTTGTATTAAAATTGGTAGGAAGATAACTTACATGGTATTCTTCCTTTGGATGGAGTTAGGGGTCAGTTGGTTCAAGGTCAACAGTGCTAAAAATAGATTTTTACACTTTTGCCCATACAGCCTTTATATATTGACAGATTTATTTCATATTTGGTAGGAAAATAAGTTGCATGATATTCTTCTTTTGGATGGAGTTAGGGGTCAGTTTGGTCAAGGTCACCAGTGCTAAAAATAGATTTTTTACACTTTTGCCCATACAGCCTTTATTTTAAATATTGTTACTGACAAGAATCTGAGCCGGGGGCATTTGTGTTTAACAAACACTTTCTTGTTAAAAAAGCAAAAACAAAATTACCAAGAAAAGATCAATTATTTTGTATGTTATTTTGCCAAGATTTCTTTCTAGGTGCCTGCTGCAGTTGTTTGTAGTCTTAGGAAAGAATATAGCAGCAAATCTGGATCCACTGGATGCTGTCAGACTGGATCTGATAGGGAAACATTTGTTGCTGTGGATAATTTATCATTTGCTGTTGATATGGGGGAAGTGTTTGGACTCCTTGGACCTAATGGGGCAGGCAAAAGTACCACACTGAATGTGATGACAGCTGATTTAGCACCCACCAGAGGGCAGGTTAGATTTAGGAATTAAGAAACACTGACTTTGATATATAGGGGAAGTGAAATTCAAAGAATAGTAAAGGCGTATTTTAATCTTTGTTCATATTTGTGTAATGTTTGAAGACTATTACCCCTGGTTGTTGGTGTTACTAGTATATATTCATCGATTAGTCATTAGACTTTCACCCATCTGAAGGCAACTCACATTATGGTACAATATTGGACTTATACCCAATCATACGCCAAATGTACACATTTTCAATTTGGTGTGATGTGAAACATTACAGGGTAAATTTCTTGCTCAAGGAGATTAGCAGTGACCTTTATATGTCTTAAAACTGGGACCTCTTGACATTGGTCATAGATCTTACATTTAGACCAATGCAATCCAATAAGAAAATTGGTAGGTCTAAATGTGGTTACCTCATTTTTACAAAGAAAAGAAGAGATCATATAAGTGGTATGTACTTATCAAGAAGTTATTACACCTTTTAAAATAGGAGTCTTTGTTTAATTTTTTATGTCTCCAACTTAAACTACAAAACGTTAAAATATTCAAGTGTTTTAACATCCTGGAAGCAGGTGAAGATGATCTCTTGCTTATGATCTAGATTGCCAATAGAGGCTTTCAAATACATGGCAAATTAATTTAACTAGTATACATGATTTTAGCTTTCTATAGACTTTAGAGTTTTGTTTTATTATCCCCTCCGAAAAAGCGGCGGGGATATAGAAATAGTCTCCGTACGTCCGTGCGTCCTTCCGTCCGACATTTTTGTCCGGAGCATATCTCAAAAAGTATTTGAGGTATCAACTTGAAACTTCATAGGTGGATAGACCTCATTGAGGAGAAGAGCAGTGCACAAGAATGATAACTCTACCCTGCATAATTTTTAAGTTTTTGCCCTTTGAAATTTTTCAAAATTAATTTTTGTCCAGAGCATAACTCAAAAAGTCTTTGAGATGAAGAATGATAACTCTACCTTTCATAATCTTTGAGTTATTGCCCTTTGATATTTTTCATACTTAATTTTTCACCTGAGTGGAGCATAACTCAAAAAATGTTTGAGATGTCAACATGAAATATCATAGGTGGATAGATCTTATTGAGGAGGAATGCTGTGCACAAGAAAAATAACTCTTCCCTATATAATTTTTGAGTAATTGCCCTTTGTTCTGTTTCATACTATTTTGTCCGGAGCTTATCTCAAAAAGTATTTGAGGTATCAACTTGAAACTTCATAGGTTAGGTGGATAGATTTTACTGAGGAGGGGTGCAGCACACAAGAATGATAACCTACCCTGCATTATTTTTCAGTTATTGCCCTTTGTTATTTTTAGCCGTCAGTATTCACATAGGTTTCAAATCTGTAATCACTTCAGCCATGAGTTTTCATTACCAAAAGACCTCTTTAAATTGAATTATTCTGCTCTACTACATATACATTCTTCCAATGAGCAAACACATTTGGCGGGGGATGGCCAAGTTGACATGGCTCTTGTTTTATTATGGAAATATACAATATTAAATTTTTTTATCTTTTCTCTATTTTGACATGTTTGCTTTTGAATTTGGAGTATTGTAATCTGGTATTCTTTATACAGGTTTTGGTTGGTGGACAAGATGTGAGATCAAAAGCTCAGCACACATTTAGTGCCCTAGGATTCTGTCCCCAGCTAGATCCTTTATGGGAGAGTGTAACATTAAAAGAACATCTACAGTGTTATTCAAAGATAAGGGGCATTAAACCTAATGAAATCAGCACCATAATTAATTTGTAAGTATTTATGTAGATCTGTTAAATCATACTAACAAATGCAATAGTGTTGAAAGTGGTTTTATCAGAATGCCCCTGTTTGACAAGTAGAAGGGCAGCGTCATGTTTTGTCTGTAATAATTATTCAACATGCATGGACACTGTTTAGTATTACTTGAGACAAATGTTCATCACCATGAATATGTGTAATTTTGAATTGACGGATTTTATGTAAAATATTCATAATCATAAGACTGAGTCTTGCCAGAATAACTCGGGTCAATATATGCACGGTCAAGATTACTAGAGCTAATGAAATGTTCAGGTTTGTCTGAAGCACATGCTGTACATGCATGGAGGGATCTTAATATTGCTTAATATAAATGTTCACCACCATCAGAGACGGACATATTGTCACAAGGCTTGAAGCAGGTCTCAAGGTTGATGGTCAAGGTCACACTTAAAGGTCAGAGGAAAAATTCTTGGTGTTTGCAAAACTGCTCCATGCATTGAGGGATTATTATATAACATTAAACAGGATAAAGTTTTCACAAAATCCCAAACCTTTATGGAAACTATTTATTAATACAGTGTAACTTCCGAATTCCGGAACTTCTGAAATCCGGAAACTTCTAAAAACCGAACAATTTTTTCGGTCCCGATTTTTCCCTTCTATTTTCTATTAATATAATTCTTCTGAATTCAGGAACTTCTAAATTCTGAATTCCGGACGATATTTTCGAAAAATTAGAGTCAAATCAATGCAATTTTACCTCCAAAAACCGGAAATATCCAAAGGTGTGAAATACATTGTAAACCCTGCAGGAAGATTTAATCTCCCTATCGATTGTTTACTAATTAGCGGTGATCGTGTAATTTGACACGCGTTAAAATCACAAACTGAAATGGTATGTTTGAAGTGATGCGGTTAGTCAAAGTAATTTACGGCGGTCAGTTAATTTGAAGTGTTTATTAGCGGATTAAATGACAATTAATGGGACAATGTATGCATCAAACGTCTTTAGGGATTTTATTGCATTTGATGTAATAATTAATTAACTAGCATCGGACGATATGTAAGTTTATGCAATTAACAACATTTTTACAAACTGATATGATATTACAGTAATGGCCACATCGTCCTTGACATTTAGTGGCTTAGTCTTGTCCACATTATCATAAACCTCTGAATTCCGGAAACTTCTGAAATCCGAACTTTTTGACAAGTCCCATTGGTGTTCGGTTTTCTGAAGTTACACTGTAATATTTTTTATTAAGAAACACAGTTGTAATTACTTTCCTTCCTTATTTATAGTTACATGGAGCACCTTCAGCTAAAAGAACATGCTGACAAACATTCCAAAAAACTATCAGGAGGCACTAAGAGAAAGGTATTTACATGTATATAGATATTATTTTTTTAATTCTGATGATTATGATAAAATGCCTCCCTTAAAGAGTCTGGTCAACCTGGATATTTATGTCATCTGACCAGGCAATATACTGTATGTTACTGAAAACTCATTAATTTGCATATTCTAACTAATATGAACTGTTCTGACTTTTTATACTAACAGTGTTTTTAGGACAGATTGAATCTACCAGTGTCACCTTCATCTTGTCATTTTTTTCACAAGTTTATAGTGCTTCATTGATTGAAAGATATTTTGGATGTGTCATATGTAGGTTACTTTGCATTGACAACTGTCCTTCAGTGGGAAATGAAGTTAATTTGGTCAAGGTCACTAAGGCTATAAATACATTTCTCAACTTTTCATCATAAAGTATTGACGTTTATTCATTGGGTAATATTTTAAGTTAACTTTGCATGAAACTAAATTTTTGGATGGGGTATGATAAGGTCACTTACACTAAAAATTTTTATTTATTATACTTTTCCTCTTGGAGCCATTTTGTAAAATATTCACATTTCATCTTTTTAGGCTTTTAGACTTCCGGTAGGAACTTTTTTTTAAAAAACTTTATATAAAGAGAAGCCTAATAAGTGATGTTATATAACTTTAGCATTTGTTTTATTTAGCTGAGTTACTGTATGAGTATGTTGGGACAACCAAAGTTTGTTCTACTGGATGAACCATCTACAGGCATGGATCCACAGTCTAAACGATTCTTATGGTATACAAATATTTCATAAAATATTGATTTTTAACTTGAGTAAGTTTACAATAGCCATTATGGTCAATGGTAAAATGCAGTAAGTTTACAGTAGTTATAATGGTCAATGGTAAAATGCAGTAAGTTTACAATTGTTATAATGGTCAGTGGTAAAATGCAGTAAGTTTACAATTGTTATAATGGTCAGTGGTAAAATGAAGTAAGTTTACAATAGTTATAAAGGTCAGTGGTAAAATGCAGTAAGTTTACAATAGCCATAATGGTCAATAGTAAAATGCAGTAAGTTTACTATAGCCATAATGATGCTTTTTGTTCTATTCTCTAAATGTACATGACTTGTTTATGCCACTAGTATATCACCTGTTTTTATGCTCCCGCCATGTAATGGCCGGGGCATATAGTGTTACCCTGTTCCGTCTTTCCGTCATTCCGTCCTTTCGTCCTTCCGTCATTCAGTCATTCTGTCATTCCATCATCATCAGTTTCCGTTCATTATCTAAGTAACGGTTGTACATATTCAACTCAAATTTGACATATGGATATGTAATGAGAAAATACAGGTCAAGTTCGAATTTGGTCATGGTTCTATGATTTTTGGCAGAGTTATGCCCCTTTTACTTTGAAAATAATATGAAAATGTCAGTTTCCGTTCATTATCTCCCCAACGGTACAACACATTCAACTCAAATTTGACATATGGATTTGTTATGAGAAAATACAGGTCAAGTTCGAATTTGGTCATGGTTCGACGATTTTTGGCAGAGTTATGCCCCTTTTACTTTGTAAATAATATGAAATTTTCAGTTTCCGTTCATTATCTCCCCAACGGTACAACACATTCAACTCAAATTTGACATATGGATATGTCATGAGAAAATACAGGTCAAGTTTGAATTTGGTCATGGTTCGACGATTTTTGGCAGAGTTATGTCCCTTTTACTTTGAAAATAATATGAAATTTTTAGTTTCTGTTCATTATCTCCCCAACGGTACAACACATTCAACTCAAATTTGACATATGGATATGTCATGAGAAAATACAGGTCAAGTTCGAATTTGGCCATGGTTTGATGATTTTTTGGCAGAGTTATGTCCCTTTCACTTTGAAAATAATATAGATACATCTTAGGAATAAACAGTTTAAGTTTGAATTTGGTCGTGGTTCAATGATTTTTGACAAACTTATCTTTCTTGAATATTGGAAAAATTTGAACTTTCAGTTTCAGCACTCATACTTTTGTGGAAATGTATGTAGCCATTATTTTGGCTACAAATATGAAATATGCTATTTTCAAAAGGTAAAGACTGAATAATTTCAGTGCCTTGAACATTTTATGAAAATGGTTTGTATTAACACTGAAAAGTTTTAAGGGCTTTGAACTTAAAATGAAAACAATAATTTGTGCAAACAAATTTGGAACTAAATATTATAACATCTGAAATTTTGGCTGCATGCGGGGGCATCCGTGGCATGATGACACATTTCTAGTTTTTTTGGTTATTGGTTCATGTAAGCAATTTGATATGAAAATCAATGTAATAAAAAAGTTAAAGTGAAGTGAGTAATTTAAAGGGGTGATGTTGTGTTGTAAAGGTATATAACATTATGGATGGCTATGATAGATTAGAGAATAAGCCATCTTTATTCATACTGAAGTATAACAATACTTTTTTCTCTGTTTTCAAAACACTTAAGAGGGCATTCCTGGCCAATGAGTCAAGGTCATTATTATTTTATCAGTTGGGCCCCAACACTTTGTGTTTGGATTGTGGTAACAGATTTTAAGAGTTCATGCAAGCTATACAGTGACTATCTAGCTTTCAAATGTTATTTCTAAATTTTAACAAAAGCAAATTAGTGTATATACATGTATTTACAATAATGATAAGGTTATGGAAAATACCATACAACTGAAAGGAACATTCAAGAGAACTACACCATCATTTTCTCTTTTTCTTGCTTTTAAATTTGAACTTGGATATAAAACCATAATTATTTTAGATACCAGAATTTATTTTGTTATGAATTAAAGAGTATATGTATTTATTTATATCACTTATTTGTGTGTGTTATAGGGATACAATATCCAGCAGTTTTACTGCATATCAGAGGGGAGCTGTACTAACTACACACTACATGGAGGAGGCTGATGCTTTATGTTCTAGAATAGCCATTATGGTCAATGGAAAAATGCAGTAAGTTTATAATACATGCAGTTATAATGGTCAATGGTAAAATGCAGTAAGTTTACAATAGCCATTATGGTCAATGGAAAAATGCAGTAAGTTTATAATACATGCAGTTATAATGGTCAATGGTAAAATGCAGTAAGTTTACAATAGCCATAATGGTTAATGGTAAAATGCAGTAAGTTTACAAAAGCCATAATGGTCAATGGAAAAATGCAGTAAGTTTATAATACATGCAGTTATAATGGTCAATGGTAAAATGCAGTAAGTTTACAATAGCCATAATGGTTAATGGTAAAATGCAGTAAGTTTACAAAAGCCATAATGGTCAATGGTAAAGTGCAGTAAGTTTACAATAGTTATAATGGTCAATGGTAAAATGCAGTAAGTTTACAATAGCCATAATGGTCAATGGTAAAATGCAGTAAGTTTACAATAGCCATAATGGTCAATGGTAAAATGCAGTAAGTTTACAATAGTTATAATGGTCAATGGTAAAATGCAGTAAGTTTACAAAAGCCATAATGGTCAATGGTAAAATGCAGTAAGTTTACAATAGCCATAATGGTCAATGGCAAAATTCTGTAAGTTTACAAAAGCCATAATGGTCAATGGTAAAGTGCAGTAAGTTTACAATAGTTATAATGGTCAATGGTAAAATGCAGTAAGTTTACAATAGCCATAATGGTCAATGGTAAAATGCAGTAAGTTTACAATAGCCATAATGGTCAATGGTAAAATGCAGTAAGTTTACAATAGCCATAATGGTCAATGGTAAAATGCAGTAAGTTTACAATAGCCATAATGGTCAATGGTAAAATGCAGTAAGTTTACAATAGCCATAATGGTTAATGGTAAAATGCAGTAAGTTTACAAAAGCCATAATCGTCAATGGTAAAGTGCAGTAAGTTTACAATAGCCATAATGGTCAATGGTAAAATGCAGTAAGTTTACAATAGCAATAATGGTCAATGGTAAAATGCAGTAAATTTACAATAACCATAATGGTTAATGATAAATTGCAGTAAGTTTACTAAAAGCCATAATGGTCAATGGTAAAGTGCAGTAAGTTTACAATAGCCATAATGGTCAATGGCAAAATTATGTAAGTTTACAGTAGCCATAATGGTCAACGGTAAAATGCAGTAAGTTTACAATAGTTATAATGGTCAAAGGTAAAATGCATTAAGTTAACAATAGTTATAATGGTCAAAGGTAAAATGCATTAAGTTTACAATTGTTATAATGGTCAAAGGTAAAATGCAGTAAGATTACAATAGTCATAATGGTCAGTGGTAAAATGCCGTAAGATTACAATAGTCATAATGGTCAGTGGTTTGTTTGTTTGGGTTTTACGTCACATCGACACAGTATAGGTCATATCGCGACGTTCCAGCTTTACTGGTGGAGGAAGACCTCAGGTGCCCTTCGGTGCATTATTTCAGGCACGAATGGGCACCTGAGTAGAACCACCGACGTTCCGTAAGCTAGCTGGATAGCTTCCTCACATGAAAAATCCAAAGTCCCTGTCGGGATTCGAACCCACAGCGGTGAGGGGCAAGTGATTTGAAGTCAACGACCTTAACATGTTCAATGGTAAAATGCAGTAAGTTTACAATAGCCATAATGGTCAGTGGTAAAATGCAGTAAGTTTACAATAGCCATAATGGTCTATGGTAAAATGCAGTAAGTTTACAATAGTTATAATGTATTCAACTTCACCCTTCTGGAATGGAAATAGGTTAGCCTTTGTGGCTAGTATAGAGCCAGGCCAGCCTGCACATCCTTGGAGTCTAACCAGGTTCTTCCTGGCTCTATACTGTTTAAATTTTCATCTTGATGTCCCTGGAATGAATGATAGAAATGGATGTATTTTTTGCTTTCTCATTTAGGTGTATTGGCTCAAGTCAACATTTAAAGAACAAATACGGTAGTGGTTATTTACTGGAGATAAAGCTGTTACTGAATGAAGACACACATGGGTGTATAGAAAATGACAAGAAGATTCTACATCAGTTCATACTTCAACATTTCCCTGATGCTACATGTACAGAAGAGTTTAGTGAACGAATGCAGTACAAAATACCGAGACAAAATGTCTCTTCTCTAGCATTAGTATTTTCTGTTCTGGAACAAGGTAAATATATACATGACATCCAACATGTATTCTAAGATACATAAAAATTATAAGAGAAATAATGAAAAAGATAAATTTAGTTAACTTTATATACTTATAGAGCCCCTGTTTGTGTTCTTTTTGAAGTTTCTTGTGAAATTTATGATAGATCTGTATTATTTAAATATTAGTTACTGAAATTATTTAATTGACTCTTCACAAATGTCATTTAGACATTATTGTAGATCTTTAGTTTTATTGATTCAGAATTATTACCCCTCATTATGTTATATATAGAGTTGTCTAGTGGTAATTTATGAAATAATCATGACCTAGTGTAACTTTATAGTTCACTAGAGGAGCATGTGATAATCTGTCCTCAGTCTGTCACCCATTGTCTGTCATACACACTTGCTTCAAATGAAATCTCTGATACCACAGTGCTTAATTTAATATATAACTAGCCTGGCATATAACATAAAAGAAGAGCTTGTTTAAACTATTTCAGTCCCTGACACAAAAGCTAAATATAGATTTCAAAAAGTGAAGTATTAAAAGATATTATTTTACAAAATGCACAACCATTAGCTTTTTTACAAATGTATAAGGCATGTGACTTTATGTAGTTGTTCTCTCAAAAACTGTTCTTAAACCTTGTCTTATATTTACAGCTAAAACTCGTCTGAAAGTGGAAGAATACAGCTTTAGTCAGTCAACTCTTGAACAGGTATAAAATTATAATTGAAAGTCTACATGAGAGTAGGTTTCTTTTTTTTTTTGGGGGGGGGGGGGCAAAAAGGATATGTATTATATCAGAATGCTTGATAAATTTTGAATATCTTTCATTGATTGTTAATTATGTTAGTTATAATGAAATAGTGTGTTGCTTGCAAGACCTGGGTCAATAGATCCAAGTTGAAGAGCAAACATATAGGATAAAGGTGAAATATAATAATGGGTCATTATGAGTGTGAGAAAACACACATTTTAATGTCATATGATTGTCATAAAGTTGGTGCTTCTTATTATGTTTTATGGACACAATTGTACTGTATGACTTTAAGCCTTATGGTAAAATTACTGACTTCTGATAAAATTGGCCATAAATGACTTGCATATTGATAACCTAATGATAATCTTCTACATGTATTTCATATCTGTTTACATCATTTGGTGCTTAATACAATGTAACAAAAAAAACAATAAAGTTTTCACCATTTGGAAATTTTGAAGATAATGACCTGAGGGGCAGGTGGGGTCTTGTTCAATCAGTTAAGTTGAAGTCACAATATGCACTTTACAGTGTTTTTGTGTCTAAAAACCAAACCAAATAACTGAGATAATTGTGAGCTATTGAAAGTTGGGTGAAATCAATAAATTTTGATGCCTGACTTAATTCATCAGACATATAGTCTCATTGCAAACTGTTGCATGTAGTCAAATCATAATGAAGGAAATTGATTTCATGCAATCATAATTTTGTTTTTCTATTTCATTTTTGTGTGTCTCCTTGATTTAAACCTTTTTTGTTTTGTAGGTATTTCTAGACTTTGCCAAGATGCAACAAGATGAGGGAGAAAAGTTAAAAGACAATAGTAAATGAGATGACTGTTGAGAGTGTGTGTTTTTTTATACATATTCAAGAATACATTGTGCAATTTTATATGAAAACAGTGTAATATCTTAAATGACACTATGATGTAAATCTAATGTATGATCTTAACGGTGTACAATATTTATTTATTTATTTATTCTTTATATGAAATAAAAGATATACTTTAATTAATAATTTTGTGCCATATGACTTTTTATACCCCTTATACAATGACTGTTATGAGGAGATATACAGGTTTGAGGCTATTCATTATTTCAGCCAGCTTTTCCAAAACTGTTTTACCAATTTTAATAAAAATTGACAGGAGTAATTGATGTGAAGTCTACTTGTAAATATCATAAGGAATTGACATTGACTCATAAATGACCTAAACATTCAAGGTAGAGACAGGTTGAGTCTTTGAATATTGCTGAAATTGGCTATGATTGGCCATAACTTTCTTCTTTATTGATGAAATGAATTTATACTTGGACAAAATAACCTTTTGGAAAATACCCCCAGGTTGGTGAAACAAAATTTGACCTTGATCTTTATATGACTTATCTTTATGGTAAAATTATTGAAATAAAATTGTTATAAATAAACATGTTGGATTCATACTTAGCCTAACGTACTGTCATGTTGAGCAATTCAGGTATGTCATTGACTTTAAAATGACCTTGACCTAGAAGTCAAATTATTGAAAAACACTGAATTTAGCCCTTAATTTGTTTTAATAGATATATTGTATTCATTCCTGGACACAACAACCTCTTGGAAAATAACTTCAAATAAGTCAAACTGAAAATCTTTATATGACTTACCTTTATGGTAAAATTATTGAAATAAAATTGTTATAAATAAACATGTTGGATTCATACTTAGCCTAACGTACTGTCATGTTGAGCAATTCAGGTATGTCATTGACTTTAAAATGACCTTGACCTAGAAGTCAAATTATTGAAAAGCACTGAATTTAGCCCATAATTTGTTTTAATAGATATATTGTATTCATTCTTGGACACAACAACCTCTTGGAAAATAACTTCAAATAAGTCAAACTGAAAATGACCTTTCTCTTTATACGATCTTTGTGTTAAAATCATTGATATCTTTGTGTTAAAATCATTTATATCTTTCTGTTAAAATCATTGATATCTTTGTGTTAAAATCATTGATATCTTTCTGTTAAAATCATTGATATCTTTGTGTTAAAATCATTGATATCTTTCTGTTAAAATCATTGATATCTTTGTGTTAAAATCATTGATTTCTTTGTGTTAAAATCTTTGATATATTTGTGTTAAAATCATTGATATCTTTGTGTTAAAATCATTGATTTCTTTGTGTTAAAATCATTGATTTTTCTATATTTTACAATAATTGTTTTTAATGAATGGACTTTATTTAGGTATTTTTACTGAGTGTTGACCGTTTCTGTTGTATATTTACTTGTTTCAGTTATCCTTTATCTTTACTAACCTTTTGTTAACACAATGTACATTATATAGATCTATCTACATATATAATTTTTCATAATATATGGTGGTATTTGTGATATTTTAAGTTTCAGTTTAGTGAATATACATTAATACACAACCAGAATGGCCGAATTTTACACAGACTGCAAAGACATTTATGTAACATTTATATTTTATATTTGGATGGCTTACTAGCACACAAACTAAACCCGAAGGATGGTTAATATATTTTATTATATGTGTTGCATCCAAGTATACACTCACAAACTCACAAACATCAAGTAAACATATATACAGTAACATTAAGACTTAATCTATCATAATTGTAGACTTGCTAACTATAATTCAGACAGGTTGACCAATATCTATTCAGATTTACAGGCTAGCCTGATTCTATATATACATCATAAACATTCAGGCTAGCTTAACAATTAACTCACACTTGTGATTGTCAATTAACCTGGCTTTGGTGCTTTATTCTAACTATTGCTCAATTGTAATAACTTTTTATTGTTATTGTGTTTCGTTTATTTCATGTGTTTACATTTATACATTTTTGATTAAGTTTTGTACATGTTTATTAATGTCTATATTTCAACCAATTCAAAGTCTTTGTTGTGAGAAAATGGAAAATAAACTATATATATGTATATATCTGTGTGTATGTTGTTTGTTGTAATTTCATAAGAAAAAAGTGTGAATGAAAAAATTCAACCAAACAAGATCATCGGGCCATAATTCCAATTTGGACATGACGTGCACCCGTAAACATTTTTAATTTGACATTGTTCCCCGAATGACCTTCATCGTCAATGTCAACTTATCAATATATGATATTAATAGTGAATAGGTTATTCCTGCTCCATTCCTGCCCGGTTTCGTTTAAGATTTTTTTCTTGCTTAAAATTTGAAAATGGGTGATTTTAGTCTGGTTTTTTGATGTATTTAAAGTGTGTAAAGCTATATCTGATGAAAAAATTTGTAAATATTTAAAAATGGCAAAATTACTTTGTTTTTAATAACCGTATGGTGATTTTTCGAAAAAGTTGTAACATAAAATAACTGTGTCAATTATCACAGGAATATTGTACGTAAATTAGAATAAAATGTTCCGGAACAAAATATTCCCCAACTATTTTCACTTGGTTTTTGTATTTTCTGATCGCAAGATCAGTAAATACATAGCTAACATCCACGGTCTAACACAAAATTTCCTAACAGACCTAACAACACAAAGTAGTTCTCACTCAAAACTGCTTAAAAACCAGCAATTTAAAAGACAGAATAATTTTTAATGTAGGCATTTAACAAATTACAGTGCATTGAAAGTTCAGATTATATGAGGTTACAATCACAAATTTCGCGGATGAATATCATTTTAATCAATGAAAATGTTATTTTTAGCTATGTCGATTACTGAGATTATACTCCAGGGCGTAGTACACAAATAAATCTGACTGCCGAGTAGTGGAATATATACATGTCGGACTGTTTTGGCGAGAAGATTTTCGCTAAATTATTTTTATCAGTGTTAAACAGGTTTATCGTGAACAAAATACCTCGAAATTGATAAGGATTACAAACACAAAATGGAAATTCTCAATTTAAATTTTTGTTTTTATTCAGGCTACATATTACGTATTACTTCACCGTGGTGCAGGGGTATCGCGCTGGTATCGCGCTCGTTTAGGGTGTGAGAGGCCTAAGGTTCAAATCCTAGTCAAGGCAACTTTTTTTTTTTGAAGTGTCTTTTTTAAGGAAGTAGCCACGATATGCAAGGATGAAGTGTGGCTGTCATAAAAAATGATTTTTGATGCAACTCTAGTCATGCAAAATTCCATATGTATCAATCTCAAACTGTTATAGAAAAAAATCTTAACGCAGTTGCTGCGTAAGATGTATTATAGTATATAAAAATAAACTTATATAGGAAAATACATACAGATAGTCAGTATGATTTAGATTGCAAAGATCAGAAAATACCACAGAGCTTGCAGCCCTTTGATTTTATTATTTAGGGCATGTTTCTCTCAATGTAAATAAATAAGTAGGTAATTGTCTTTCTTTTCTAGGTATTTTGTATCTATTCTGATCATAATATAAACAAAACTTTTGTAATCATAGCACATCAAAGATATAGCTTTATACACTTTAAAATTTCTTTGGAATGTATATTTTATCAACTGATTTTGTTTTATTTAAAGTAATTGATAAGAACAGTAATGCTGATCAAATAATTTGACATCCAATTGGCATATGGTGCTGAATATAGTATATGCTAGCATTATTTACATCAGACATGGAAACGGTTTTATCTGAATATCATCAGTTACAAATTCAATGTACATAATTTGTAAAATGTAAACTGATAATTGATGTATAATTCAATCATTCTAGACTATTTTGAACTTTTATTATAAAAAATATATTGAATTCCCTAGAGCTCTATACTGTTGATTTAAACCACTTATTATTTTATTTTAAGCATACTGAGTAAGGTTAAGTTTATTAGTACGTAGTTACAAAATTAAATGGGTGACAAGTATTAAATTTTAAAGAGTTTTGTACTATTGATTTAAACCACTGTGACAATGAGAATTATGGTTAAATTATGTGAAAGCTCAGCACGATTGCCGTCTGCTCCGTAATTAAAATGCTGTTATATCATTGACATTTGCTCTTATGTGTTCTTATCCAATTTTCATCTGGTATTATTTATTACTTTTAACTAACTTTATGGTTTGTGGCACAATCTTGATACAACATTATGTAGTTTTCTCACTAATTTATCATGTACACAATACAATAACAACATCCCTTAACTTAATTTGTTTCTAAATAAAGTATTTTTTTAAATTGTTGATTTCTGTCTAGACACGTTCAAGTTATTTATTACATATTTTTATTGCCCTTAAAAACAAACGGCATATGGTTGTTTTCCCTTTGTGCTGGTAAAGAAGAACGGGATGGACCGCTATATAAGCAAGAGCGGAAAAGTTAAACTTTACATCCAGAATGACTTCCTTATATCCATTCGCACTTTTCCTGACAGTTTTTGTCGTCGCCGGTAAGTCGCACTTATATATTTTTCATTGCATTTTTTGTTGTTCTTTTTTGTTTGTTTGTTTGTTTGTTTGTTGTTTTTGTTTTTGTTTTTTTTTAACAGTTTAAATAGACCATCATATATGTTCCATCGTCGCTTCAAATAAATATATAATAGCACAGGCTTTAAAAATCATTTTCTGTTGTTACACATCGAACTTATGTGGATTCTTTTTTCATCATTTAAAGAGGGAAATTCATTGTCCCGTATAATCGGCGGCGTAAACGTTCAAATGAGGGATCACCCATGGCAAGCCTCACTTCAAAGGAGCGGTAGTCACATCTGTGGTGCTTCTTTCATCGACAACAACTGGCTCGTTACGGCCGCTCACTGTGTAAAGTAAGTACTTCTCAAGTTGTTTCTATTAAACTTATGTTTATTGTTTTCAAAGAAAGTAATGCGAAGATTGTAATGTTTGGTTGGTGTGGTGGAAACAAAATACAGTTTGATTGGAGAAAGCACGTGCATGATTCCATTCGATTGTAATTAAATTTTGGTATGCATTTACTGCCTACTGTTCTATGAAGAAAGTACGGTTCATACAATTTCATGAAATAATAATTGTCTTTCCAAAGTTCTATGCATCTTATATATGTGTTATGTGGTGAGAGAAAAAAAAATGTGCAGTCTTACCGGAACTTGGATCCGTGACCCTTAATTCCGTTCCGCGGCTATACTGACTGAGCTATACGGCCGCTTACTCGTCTTTTCTCCTTGATTATAAGTGTACTCGTATATACGGATTTGTGACATAAGGAAAACAATATGCTTTATTTGATTTTTGGCTTTTGTGGGTATATACTTTTCGGTTGTATCTTTAAATATGTGCTGATATAATTGATATAATGTACTGTTTTTTTAGATTTGTAAATAGTAAATGTTTTCTTAGAATTGTTAAAGTACTGTTTTCTTATAAAATAAATGATCAGATAACTAGCCTTTTCACGATATATACATGTAAGTAAATGTTGTTTAATATATTATATTAAATAATAGATTGCGTGAGAAAAATCTATTTCTAAATATTGGCACACTTAGATTTTTTTGCTTTAGCTGTGCTTATTGTAAAAAAACCTTTTGACATTGTTTATTATTATTTATTAAGCAACCAGAACATTGGGTCGCTTACAATAGGCTATGGACATGCAAGCAGAGGTAGCCACCGTTCGGCTACTATACAAGAGATAATTATGGTAAGTTTGATATGTAATAGATTATAATAATTCATCCACAGACATAGCATCTTTGAGACATGGTCCAGCTGTTTCTCCGTGGTCCTAGGATTGTAAAACGCCACGTATTGTTCCACAACGAACGTTCTTGAAAATGCCAAATGCCAATTGTTATCGCAAATCTTAAAAAAATTCCCCCCCCCCCCTCCCCGCCCCCTTCGAAATTATAACATTTTAATGTTGCCCATGTTTACTTAATTGATATCTTTAATATTATGATTGTGATACATGTAAAATCTTATACACATGGTATACCATAAAAATAACTGAAATATTTTCATAGATGACTAAGAATTTTAAAAAAAAACACCATTAATTTGACATTTTTATTGTCAGCACCCCGAGTATACAGAAGATGGCGCATCGGGATATCCTCATGACATTGCTCTTTTACGGTTAGCAAGCCCTGTTGTATTTGGCTCAGAGACCAACAAGATAGCTCTGCCGAGTGAAGACATTAATGCGCCACTCGACAATTGTTATATAACAGGATGGGGCTGTAGCAGTAAGTTAGTTGTTTATGTGTTCAACTTTAGCGGTGATTCTATGGGTCAGGTTTCAAACAGTTTAAATAAAAAATTAAACAACCTACAAATCTTTATTAAGATTTAAAGTTGTGTCAAAGCTTTAATGTCTTGAAAAAGAATATTGTAGTGTTTCTGAAACTAAACCGAAAAATGATGTGTGTTTCAAGTAGTTGGTTTGCTTCATTCTTCTGTATTAAGTTATTGGGACATGTGTAAGAAAATGTGCCTAGCTCTGTGTTACTATTAACAGCTGGTTATCTTTAATGTAATGTGGCGGGTTTGATCCTGTTTTTTTCTTGTAAATAAAGGATAGTTGTATTAAAAACACATATCACTCTGTTGTGGGAAGTTTTTCACTGAAATAAATAATGTATTTGGGGTTTAATTTGAGGCCCCCATCTATACACTGTTACACATTTTGGGTGAAAATGCCCTTGAAACTTTTTTGGTCAAAATGCGATATGTAAAACAAAAGGGCATAACTCTATTTACGTGTTATAACAGCACAAACAAAACGATTAGAATATTATCGTGTTGATGAAGGATTAAAATAACGTCAAATACGATATCAGATGTTGTTTTGCTATTATCTTTTGTTTGAGAACACCTTTTTCAATGGCTCGTTTATGTGAAACAACACTGTTGTACGATAAGATACATATATGTATCTGCATTTTGCATTTTGTTTTTTCTATTCTCTTCTTTTAGGCATGATATTGGGAATTTGTTTTACTACACCAGACCTTTTGCAAGGAACCACAATTTCTGTGTTAACTAAAGAAAGCTGTAACTCGGCCTGGACATCTATAAACATCTTAGATGTACATGTCTGTGTCACCGAGTCAGGCAAATCAGGATGCAGTGTAAGTTTTAACTCCCTAATTACTTTTTGCGTTATTTATTTTGTGTTCCAAATGTCCCAAATAAAAGGATGATCACAATTATTCTGTCAATCCAAATTATTAGTATTTCTCAATGTATTTTATTTTAATTTGCGTTTTCTTTTTCTATATATATACTTGTACATATGTATTTACTCTAAGCCCGATTGTAACGGAATTTTCCGGTATTTTGTGTTAGTTACGAAGATCTAATATATATTATTAATTAAAATAATGTCTATATGACTGTCTCTATATCACACATATTATTTACACAGTGGTATTATTGTTACACAGAAAGTGGAATGTAATGTTCATATATAGCATATCACATTTCTATCCTCTATGATATCAAACTGTCCACGCCGAATTTATGTTCTATCTATAGCACTTAATAGTCGCAAAAAAATCACATACCATGTTTAAGACTTTTGGTATATTAAGATATTTAATTATGTTTTACATCTGTGTCATGAATTAGTTCTTGTCACTAAGATATTCTCCATTGTGTGTACTTGCGTGGGTAGACACATACCTCTTGATGGAATTGAGTCCAAACTTGGCGTTATACATTTAAAGGCACTCCATTGAGTCCCAAAGGCATGAAAACACAACTTAAAATTGAAAACAAATCTACAAAAAGATAACAAAGTTATACCACGGATTTATATTACAAAAATATAAATCCGTGGTTATACTCATAATTAAATTTAAAATTGACTTTAGCGCGACTTGAATGAGTTGCGATGAGTCATTTTTGGCAATTTTTTCTATAATAAAAATTATTCTGTTGAAAATTGAGCGAGGGAATGCAATGAAAATTTGCACACAAGTTATTGGTCCAGGCTGTAGTAATTAATTAAGTATTTCTTGTGTCTAATTTGTCTTTTTAAATTACTAACTGAACAAAAGACACTTCCAATTGCGTTTTATCATTGAATGATTAACATATAAATGAAGTTCTAAATGTTTTTTGACAGGGTGATTCTGGTGGACCGTTGTCATGCCAACAATATGGTACTACAGTACTGGGCGGAGCTACATCCTGGGGTTCATCCACCTGCTCGACAACTCTTCCAACCGTGTATACTCGTGTTAGCGAGTACGTGCCGTGGATCCGTAAAACCACCGGGCTCCAGAAATAAAATTAACATCAAAGCAATTCCTAGATCTTGGATCGTTTGAAAATAAAATAAATCAGCATATTACTTTCTTTTGAATGTTTTTATTGATAAATGCCCTGTTCCACGTTTTTTGTTGAAACTGTGTCGTCCTATTTAGTAAGCATAGACCTGTGCATAAAACAACACTATAGACAAGCCTTACAAATAAATAGATCTAGATAAAATTAACCATCGTGCATTAAAACATTAATTCGAACGACCAAAACTTCTCGCATTAAAAAGATAACTTTGTGTTAAACTTGAATAAAAAATCATGTGTTTTTGTGTAATCAGCCGGTACGTGTTGGAATTGGTTTTTATACACCCACGTTCATGTGCTTATTACACTGCTGAACTTTTGAAATTGACTCGCCCATCTTCTATTTTTGGAACTGTTCATTATGAATTTAGGGAATAAGACATTGAAAATTTAAAGTTAGCCAGTTGGGAAACGTCTTGCCAGTTAAAAGAATCTGGTCAATATATATGCACGTGCAGGTTGGCCAGGTTCTTTACTGGTTGCAAAGGTCTATCACTTGTAGGCTTAAGAAATAGTATACACTACTTATAGAGCCTCCTATAATCAGTCTACAAACAATAAACGGATTAAAACCGACGAAGGAAATTTCTTTCCACAAAAAGGGGTAGAATGTGACGTGCGTTTGAACTAAATGTAGCAAATTTGCTATCTAATCTAATAAATTACCCCATCCCCTTGATAAACTGTTGCGACCGATATTGATTTTCGATTTTGTTGATATTTTCCAATAGATTTGATTTGAAATCTTTTTATGTTTACAATAATGCTCGCCAAGCCATTCTTCATCACTTGGTTTAAGGCAATTGAATAATTATGATTCTTATATCATGAAAATCAATTTTGCAAATAACGAGCCGTCAGATATAGCTAGCTTTACAAGCAATATATAATGAGTTCATAAAAATACAAAAACGGCAAATAAATTGTATTGCAAACCAAGTTCACGTAAAACTTCGATATATTCCGTATGCTGAATCGTAAGGGGAGCGGTTGCCTAGTGTTTAAGGTGTCTGCCTCTCAACCCAGAGATCATGGGTTCGAGCCCTACTCTGGTCAAGACCATGTTTCTCCACATGACACCAGTACTGGTTGGTTCCAGGAAGCGGACTCAAAGTGATTAACGACTCGAAAGTGATTAATATAAGTTGCAAGAACTTGTTTCGCAATCGAGCTTAAATACATATGTTTAAACCAATCGTAATATTAACCAAGGCGCACACTTTGTCGCCATCGGAACGTCCTCGGCTATTATCTATAATATCCGAAGACTGACGGAAAGGGCCGAAAAATTCCGACTGACTTTCCAGCTCATATGATTCTTGTACAATATATGTTTATAGTAGTATTTTAAGTGAACTTGATAACAGGGTGTTTCTAACTAAGGAAGACACTGCTTTCAAAATTATAAAGAGAAACAAAAGGTTCTGCCAATTGCCTGTAATGATATATTGGGCCGGCAGTCCGCCTTTGGGTTTAAATTTGCAGTGTCTATAATAAATATAATTACGGGTGCAGTTTACCCACAATTAAATGTATTTGTGATACCGTCGACGGATTACAATGCAGTAATTTAACTTCACTTAATAATTAATATATCACCCTGGAAAAAGAAAGGAGGAAAAAAAATTCATAATGGGTGCAGTTTACCCAGATATATTTTATAATGGGTGCAGTTGACCCAGATATATTTCTATCAGATTATCATATTGAACATGGGTGCAGTTTACCCAGATATATTTTATTATGTGTGCAGTTTACCCAGATATATTTTATTATGGGTGTAGTTTACCCAGATTTATTTCTATTATCATATGGGTGCAGTTTACCCAGATATATTTTATTATGGGTGCAGTTTACCCAGATATATTTTATTATGGGTGTAGTTTACCCAGATTTATTTCTATTATCATATGGGTGCAGTTTACCCAGATATATTTCTATCAGATTGAACATGGGTGCAGTTTACCCAGACTTATTGCACTTTTGGGTGCAGTTTACCCAGATATATTTTTATTATGGGTGCAGTTTACCCAGTTATATTTCCTAATTTTGAACATATATGGGTGCAAATTACACAAGGATATTCATGGAATTTTGAACATTTATAGCTGCATTTCCCCAAATACAATAATGTAATTTTGTACATTTATTGGTGAATTGTGGCCAAGTATTGGTACATTTTTTCATTGCAGATAATTCACGTAAAAATTACCAATTAAAAATAATATTTTATAAAATTGTATCGTTGTGAAGAACAAATTCTTTATAACAATAACATGTTTAAAAATAGGTTTTCTGGTGATCCAATCCCTTGCATGGTGGTTGGCTCATCTCTAGTAAAGACACTTTTCATTAGTTTTTCGTTTTGTGTGGCATGTGCTCTTGTATGTGAAGTTTTTGTGTGACATGTGTATTTCATTTCATAGAGCCTACAATTTAGTATCTTCTTATTTAAATCTACCTGCATATTTGCTTGAACATTACGGTGTGATTCAAATGGGTTCTTCTTCGTCAGCGACTGCAGAGGAAGAAGAAACTTTCTTTTTAGCCTAGATAAATCTAAATTTTCCTATGGTTGTGCAACATCTTTCCAAGCACTTAATTAATTCAGTCTCAGATTTGTTTGCGACATTCTTATAGATATATGGCTGTTCTCTTTGGTGGAACGTATCTATAGTGACATACAAAATAGTACAAACTTTATTAGAAATAGGGATTGTTGATAAAGTCTTAAAACCCCGTGATCTTTTTGAGTAGATGGTGCCATTAACTCCTGTCTGGTCACAATACTACGTTAATTAATTAAATTTCGTTCGTGGTGTATGCTTAAACACACCAGTATCTGCAATTAAATCGTCATGACTGAGTCATTTATTTTGGTTTATGTTAGCCCGCTGTTGGCGGAAGGCTCTCTCAATTCTTCGAGACCCTTTTGGCGAAAATCTAACATAAAATTACAGGTTTTTTGCAATCGATGACGAAGCAAAACCTATTTTATAATATTCTATTTTATATAAAGGTTCAAACTCTATTAACTTTATGTTACTTAGTGACCAGTCATGACGGAAATTTTATGCCAACCATAAATAAAATAAGTTAAACATATATGTTGCATTTATTATCATTTGTTCCTTTAAAGTGACTATGTTGGAAAAATAATATTCAGTTTAAGCGCTTGAGTTTAAACTCTTTATTTTTACACTATACGTCACAGTATTTTTGCAATGACCTGTATATTTGGCTCCTCCTCCTAACAAGTCATTCAATCTGGTTCGCGCATGCTTAGTAGACTGGGTATATAAACCGAGCACGCTTCTGCAAATTCCTTTTCGATCCAGTCTCCGAGCTCCAGAAGCTGCCGTGAACTAACACGGAAAAATACCCACCCGCCCTTCCCATTTGCTTTGCTGTTGTCTCTTTTTTCTGTTTTCAGGTAAGAATGGCCGCCGCGATACTTAGCCCTTCTTCGTCATGGCTGGAATTATCATTTCAACAGTCAATATTTGTTTTGCGACATCCGGAAATTTACCAACGTCGACTGCCAGACCCCTATCATTTGAATCCGACGTCGGTTCAAAATTTACATTTAACTGGCCTGTACATAACCATAAACATTTCGAACACCTGTGGGATGCAACTGACTTTCGGATATTTGTAGAATAGTCATTAGATAACCTGTAACCGATGTCGGTACAAAACAAAACACCGTTAATTAACTTAACCCATGTGTAAATAAAACACATATTGTCTTTAAAAAAAGTATTGATATAATGGTTATTATCATATCATTACATTGTTATACATGGTTTCAAGCAAGTTTACTTACATTATATATCACACTACTATTTGATTAAAATAATAATTTTTCTTATAAAGAACATTTCTCTTTATTGAGCTGTATGTATTTTGTATTTTATATGTTTACTGGCATATCTGAGCAGGTCCGTTGTTCTATATTCCGAGGAATAGTCTGAGGAGGTTTCCTCCGTGCATGCCAACGGATGCTACGGTTCCTCTTACAAAAGGGGTTTTACGTAGGCGGCCAGTATTCCTAAGACGAATATACGATCAAACCTGTTGAGTAATTGTTCTGGTTCGGAATGTCCTAGACATTCTATGGCAGTTTTGATCGTGATATGCTTGATAAATGTATTTATATATACAAATGGCTGTATCAGTCTTTTCAAAATTTAACTGATTTTTATTGATAATATTTATAAAACATATTTTATAAGCTTCGGATATCAAGTGTTTATCATATCTGGCATTGTCAGCACATTGTCTCTTTTCGAAACATAATTTTAATTGATTATATCTGAATAAACATATTAAGCTACCGAAGCATATATAAGCAATATATAAAATGTCACTTCCGACTGTTAGGATATGAGTATTAGTCATATAATATTATAATTGATATTCATGTAATTGTTAATATTATTCTATAACAGATTGTCTGGAATATTTAATGATCTTATTCAGCCGTCGATATGGCGAAAATCTAACATAAAATTACAGGTTTTTTGCAATCGATGACGAAGCAAAACCTATTTTATAATATTCTATTTTATATAAAGGTTCAAACTCTATTAACTTTATGTTACTTAATGACCAGTCATGACGGAAATTTTATGCCAACCATAAATAAAATAAGTTAAATATATATGTTGCATTTATTATCATTTGTTCCTTTAAAGTGACTATGTTGGTAAAATAAATTGTATTGCAAACCAAGTTCACGTAAAACTTCGATATATTCCGTATGCTGAATCGTAAGGGGAGCGGTGGCCTAGTGGTTAAGGTGTCTGCCTCTCAACCCAGAGATCATGGGTTCGAGCCCTACTCTGGTCAAGACCATGTTTCTCCACATGACACCAGTACTGGTTGGTTCCAGGAAGCGGACTCAAAGTGATTAACGACTCGAAAGTGATTAATATAAGTTGCAAGAACTTGTTTCGCAATCGAGCTTAAATAAATATGTTTAAACCAATCGTAATATTAGCCAAGGCGCACACTTTGTCGCAATCGGAACGTCCTCGGCTATTATCTATAATATCCGAAGACTGACGGAAAGGGCCGAAAAATTCCGACTGACTTTGTCGCTATCATTTCACTCTCATCAACATTAAGATGCTTGGAGCTGTCATAAATCATGCGGAACGCGCAATAAATAAAACAAAAGATATGCGTTTATTTATAGATGTTGTTTAAACAGTAGACAAATATTTGTATGTAGAAAGGAATGTTACAACAATTGTTTTCGGACATTATTATTTGAGGTAATTTCATTATCATAAATTATGAATACATTTATAACGCAATTCATCATGATTATTATACTTACATATTTTGGAATATTTTAAACAAAATGTTTAAAGATGCACAGACACTTGGGGTGTGGATCTCAAAATGGCTTACAATCCCAATAAATTGTAAATACATGTATCAATAAAACTTAACTTAAGCTGGTTTGAAACCACGGATTTATATTACATTATATATATATATATATATATATATATATATATATATATATATATATATATATATATATATATATATATATATATATATATATATATTTTATATATAATATAAATCCGTGTTTGAAACATATGACGAGTATCTGTGCTAGGCCCGGATTGATAAATATACAATTTATTTGGGTTTTAATGCATTTTGAGATCCACACCCCAAGTGTTTGTGGTAAAATGTTACAGTCGGCAACAAAAATGAAAATAGTTGCAACTATAAAACGGTATATATTTTGTTATATATAGTGAACGAAAAAAATAAGAAACTAGATTTTCCTCTCATGATTCATAAATAACAAAATAGAAGAACTCTAATTTACTAAGATTGCTTATTTTTCCTTTACAATTACCTAAAGTATATATGTTAACTGCAGAATGTGACATGACACGGATATTTATTTGCCTTTTAATGTAGAACCTGGCCAATAGCTTCTGCTCATTTGCTCATTCTGTTTTCCGGAATAATCGATTTAATTGTGCAAAATGACCAAAAATTAAAAACGTTTTACGCTTTTAAGTCAAATTGTGCTGAGAATCGCACAAAATCTAACTTCAGCTGTTCTTTTTTATCTTTTGCACATTTGCCCGTTTTTAGGACTCAAGTTGATTCATTTAAAAATTTCAAAATCATTTTGTTACCTAAGTGGAGCTTCTTCAAAATGCTTGGATGCACCCACAAATTAGAGAACATGGTACAATTTAGATAAATACGCAACAGGTCTATTCTACAGATTTATAACGTTACAGTTTTATTAAACGGAGACAGGCGTTTACGTAATTCACGTGTGTAATTTATGTATGTAAATATGTACTTGACAGGGTCATTGCGGTACAGAAAATATGCTAACTTACGTTTAACTGCATGGTGTGAATATTTAGTTGTCATAATAATGAAATAGCTGTCAAAAGGAATTAGGAACATATAAGGGAAACGCATTCACCTGCTAAGGACACCAACAACATCTTTAACAGAAAAAAACTCGATCTTGAGTACAAATTGCCGAGAGGACAAAATATGAAGGTTTTCTTTTTAATAAAATGGCTGAAATTCAGTCCTCTTTCTTGTGTGTATACGTGTATATATTTAGATATACGTATGATCTATTAAAAATATTAGCATTTTGTATAAAGGTGTTTCTCCATTTCAAATTGTGCATTTTTCATATTTATAATGAGGATTTAAATAGAAAATATTTTCTAAAATTAACTGAATATGTAGCATAAATGAGCACGACATAACCAATTTTATGGGTTTGCGACCAGCCTGCACATCCGCGCATTCTGATCAGGATCCATGCTGTTCGCTTACAAACCTTATTACAAGTAGTGAAACTGATAGCGAACAGCATGGATCCTGATCAGACTATGTTGCTATTCTCGTGACGCGGCTCATATATAGCATCAAAATATCTATTAGAATGCTGCTGGCTATGAAACAGGAATGTTTGACAAACCCCACATGTCAAAACCCCTCACCACAAAATTTTATAGAGTGGGCAAAACCCCATAAAATTCATATGCGGTGTTTTGTCCACTCTATAACATTTTGAGGTGTGGGGTTTTGTCCGTCCGTCCGTCTTCCATGTAACAGACGAAATAAACTATTTAGACAGCTCAAAAGGTAATCTCTCCCTGTCAAAGGAGGCAACTACTGTGAGGAGTTTTTCTCAGAAGGAGCGACTGTAGTTATTATATAAGAGCAATGCTTAGGGATTATCCTGATAGTAGTTACATGAATGGTGACATGTTCGGGGTCCGTACTCTCAGTGCCTGAAAAGGGGATGGACCCTCATTAAGCCGAGAATATACATGTATACATATCCTGATAGACGCAACCGTTTATTTAAATGTTTAAATTAACCCTTATGAGGAAATTTCATGCGGACTGGACCGTCAGAATTTAGGTAGTCTGATTAAACAGTAGGGCATAGCTATAGACTAAATTTTGTACTAATCAAAATATAAAGTCATCGCCTCTCCCTGTTTTATCGTTACAGTCATCTGTGTTTATTTTTACGGTACATTTTTCTACGGTATGATGAATAATACAATATTATGTTTCATTGACAGAATGTCCTAAAGCTAGACATGTGTTTACCTCTTTTTCACGGATCTTGACAACACCGCCTTAGTACATTTTCGCGTTTTGTTAAATGTAACAAAATCGGGCCAACAGAAAAAATACAACGATTATAAAAAGCGTTTACTTTTTTTGTGAAATAAAGAAGGTCTTATTACATTACATTATATTACGTAACATAACGATGTTTTCTGTATTTCAATAAAGCTAAATAAAATATTAAATTTTAAGAGAAAAAATATCCGCCCATGCTATAACTACAACATATTTGCTCGTTATTCATTTAAGCTACTGTCCATACTAGAATAATTTGATCAAAATTAAGAGGTTTGATGACTTGATATGGAAATGATTTATATCATCAGAAAATATGCCACCTAAGACTAAGCGCGCACAGTATAGCACCGGAAATAGCACACCTGGCGAAGCACCGATGGTGTTGAGCATGCGTGTTGCTGCGTCTCACTTCAGGGCACTGTGAATGTTGTATGGTGTAAACGATAATAAAATAGTCCATTCCGGGAGGAACAGCGGATTCTTTAACGCGCAAAATAAAATGCATAAATAGTTAGGATCTCAAGTTTCGCCCGAAAACATTGCTTGTTCAATGGAGTAGCAGGTGAGCGATTTCGAGATCCCTGGGTTTGTAGAGTATGTGAAGCAGAAACAGCAGTAATACTGCAATAAGAATTTGGTTTACCACATAAGGACTCTGCCTAATCAAAGTCCATACTCAGTTCTATGTTAAATCAGTCACATTTGAGGCTTAAGTTCTGGATTTTACTATCCTTGATGAATTATATACTGTCTTTCACTTTAAAAATCAACACTATCCACGTCAAATGATGTCCGAATATATAATATATGTTTGCCATCTACCTTTTCCAGAAATCTTCATTCTATAGCGACCATGCTTAAATTGTCCACTTTAAAAAATGTGTGCTGGGAGTTAGTACATCTTTAATTCTTCCGCCGAGAAGGTTCTGGAGTACACAAAAACAACTAGAAATCACCATAAAACACACACTCAAAACAGAATCAATAAATACAATTTAAATATGACCACTCACACTAGAGATGAGTTAAACTGGTGCACTTCAAAAATGTTCAAGAATTACAAACTTTATTTGTTAATAAACTTTATTTATGCCGTACATCGTGTGCCTATACCACGTGACATTTTATGATCTGGGTGTGTCATAGACTGCGGTTAGATACTCACACGGTTTCTCTTTAAGAATAAAAGATTTTTTCCATGTAATATTCTTTGTAAGAGTTCATCACTAGAATGAGCGGGCTCTACACTTTCCTTATAATAAAAAACGTAAAAAAATAATAAAAAAATAACATGGCAGAAAATAAACCGCCTTTCCAGCAAATAACAAAAAGTCACGTGGTATGGGCACCGTAAACATAGTCTTATGTGGATTGTTTTCTCTTTAAAACAACACATCGGCCATTAGAACCACGAATGTATTTTTGAAGTTTTCAAACCATTCAATACTTATTTGTACTTACTAGTTTATGTATACTTAAATGTTGTAACTGCCTATATTAACCACCAGCACAACAGTATTACTGCAGTTACTACCCCGCATCCCCTTAATCAATGAATTTGAAATTAAGATGCTCGAACTACTACTTAAAAGTAATATAATATATTTATTTATTTATTTATTTATTTGCAAGGTTCATTCCTCGACGTCAGAAATGAGATGTCGCGCCAGAACAGCATATTCTCTAACTATAACGTCATTCCTATTGATACTGGTGGGCTGGTTGATCCCATTTTGGTTCGGGCGATTTTATGAAAGTCGCCATTCGAAGAAACAATGGGGCCTGTTCTACGTCATCATGTGTGAGATCGGAAACTGCACGAGTATCTCGCAAGTTCTCAACAAAGATCATGTTGATTTCGGAGGTGCTGAGCCGCCAAGTTAGTATTTTATACTGTCTATTTATCAAAATAGTCATTCTCAGTTAAACGGAATATGCTGTTCCTCTGTTTGTTTGTTTGTTTGTTTGTTTGTTCGTTCGTTCGTTCGTTCGTTCGTTCGTTCGTTTGTTTGTTTGTTTTACACCTGGCACGTTAATGCTTGTTGATGTTTGTTTTATTCCGTTGATCATTTTGACTAATATTCTAAAAATGATTTCATTGTAGACATGAGTTTGATTTACTTGTATGTATGATACGTTCTTCAATCTTGTATACTGGTATACGTTATATTTTACACATAGATAGGAAAACTATAACGAATTATGATTAATCAGATTATCTCATTTAGTTTCAATACATTTTAGAGTCCATATTCTGAAAACAAAAATTACTTGCTCATAGTGAGAAAACGTGTTCGCGACTAGAATAGGGATCAACACATGTTTTACTTATTCTAAAAAAAACAACAACATATATTGTACATGAAAAAATAGCATGATATATAATCTATCGAAAACTCAAGGTTAAACATATGAGCCGCGTCACTACAAAACCAACATAGTGTGTTTGCGACCAGCGTGGATCCAGACCAGCCTGCGCATCCGCGCAGTCTGATCAGGATCCATGCTGTTCGCTTACCAACTATATTACAAGTAGATAAACTGATAGCGAACAGCATGGATCCTGATCAGACTGCGCAGATGCGCAGGCTGGTCTGGATCCATGCTGGTCGCAAAGCCATTATGTTGGTTTTGTCATGGCGCGGCTCATATAATTGTGATGTTGTGATGTTATACATGTTCAAACCAGTTGTTTTTTTTAACTTATCAAATGTTCGTATATTTTCAGTTGTTTTAGAGTCGATATCAATTCTAGCAACTATAGCACTGGCTTTATGTTTCCTCAGCCTCGTTATAGTTCTAATATTTCACTGCCATGTCTGCGGGAGGAAATTCAGTTATCATAATTATGTGACTGGTGCAGCTATCGTACAGTTTATAGCTGGTAAGTACAGTCAAAATAAATCATACCAACTTTACTGACTGTGTAGATTATAGCTAGTTTTTTTTAATTGCTGTATTTTACATAAATCAAACCTTAAACAGATTTTTAAAGTTACTTTCGTGTTTAACAAATTTGGGAAAGTCATCATTACTTATTGAAATGATTAATTATTCATCATAACGATTATAATAGTTACATGTGCGTCAATTTAAGACACACCCAAAGCATTTAACATATCTTCATAGCCTAATCTATTAAAATTCAAATGTACAAGACAAAGTTTATGATTTAAGTATAAAATAAGGACGTGTTACGTTATCTAGACAAAACAAATTGCTAGTTTCCTTTTGTCGTTCAAAAAATAATAGCCAACATTTAGTTTGGACGTACTATGGCGTTTTCTTAGACATAATAATAATAATAATCGATATACAAAAATGTATTCGCATGAGCTTTGTTGGGGTTAATTCATAGTCTAAAAATTTGCTAGGTACTTTGGCGTCCCTGGCCAAGTGGTTAAAGTCGTTGTCTTCAAATTACTTTCCCCTCACCGCTGTTGGTTCGAATTCCGCCTGGGACTCTGGTTCTTTCATCTGAGGAAGCTAGCAAGATAGCTTACGGAATATCGGTGATTCTACTGAATAAAATGCACGGAGGGGCACTTGAGGTCTTCTTCCACCAATAAAACACACACAAAGTAATTAAAAAATCAACAGCAAATATTAGTACGTATGATTAAAGCACCCAATATAATCAATATAGACGATGAAGTCCTGCAAATTGTATACATGTACTTCATAAAAATCATAATTAACTACTGATTCAAATTCCAGTGTAAACAATATAAATTATAGCGTTCAACATACAGTATAGTATATCTTGTATTTAACGGAGTAAGACTTTTACTATAAATGATTAACTTATTATTCTTTTTTTTTTTATTTGAAAAATGTTTTTTATATTTCAGCTGCTTTCGTGTTCCTGACGATAATTCTGTCAGCCATATCTACAGGTGGGTTCTTCTCAAAGGTACCGATGAATGACGTCATTGAATTTCCATGGTCTTTATTAATCTTCTGCATCGCAGAAGTTCCATTGATTTCATCGGCTGTTATATATTTGCTTATAACGTTCCAATGGAAAAAGTACAGACACATCTATGCAAAGACGCGATACATCCATGATGCACTAACCGGAAACGGAAGTGGACTGCATAGAAATAACGAACCTCTTTTGGATTACACATTAGACCGTAAATCCCGTTACAAACCATTCAATCGTGACTCATTTATAGGATATTATCGCGGAAGTCGAGATGATGACTCGACCGGAAGTACACTCAAAAGAGAATACTACTTTCCAAGCAGGAGTCCGTGGGAAAAGAGCAGATATTATTATACATATCCGTATAAACAAGCTCACATAAACAGTTCACTGAAGAAACAGACACAAAATGCAACAAGCAATACGATAAGCTCCGAAAATAGGAGATCACTACCTAGGAGTTCTATCAACCAGTACTCGGGAAATCCAAGGGTGTGGCACACTGTCGGAAACTTCGAATCGTCTTTGGAAAGAAGGATGAACCCACATAGGGATATTTATATGTAGTATATATGTATACAAATAAACATGTCAATATATGTTGTAGTGGTGATGTTGATTTATTATTTCAGCAGTCGTGGCAACTAACAGTTACAGTACATTTATAAGAAAGGGGCCGCGCAACCTTTCTGCGACCGATTTCTTAGTAATTGTAGACATATAATAGACCAAATGAGGCCGAGAAATAACTAATTCTTATAATTGTCCATGTATATACAATGTTTATATTGTAATAATAGTAAACAGCTGTAGACTTCTTTGTCTCGCTTTATTTTACAAGTAGTAATTCTAATTCATACTTTAATATTCATTCAATTTACAACTGATAAAAACAACTTAATTCTTGTGTTTCATAAGGAGTGTCGACTTTGAATGCATAGATAGAACAACCCACCCCATAATAGAAGAAATAAAGCTTTCTATTATGTATCCTTTATACCATATAAACAACAAAGTGTAATCAATGCCACGCCATGACAAAACCAACATAATGCGTTTGCGACCAGCATGGATCCAGACCAGCTTTCAATATTGACAAATCTTAATTTGAAATAAAACCATGAAAAAAATGTGTTACAGGATCTTTAAATCAGTATTTGATTGTTTATCAGTCCGTTTCAATGTGTCGTTCTCGTAGTCACTCAAAATACTGGGAATCAAAACATACAAACCTCTTGTGCTTGCTCTTAAAATATCCTTATTTTACAAACTCATTAAAATCAGATCATCGTTTTCGCTCCGATACTCTTCGCTATGAGCGTAGGCTAGAGAAGCGACAGTTATGATATGATTTTAATAAGATTGAGCTGCTACCGTCCGATTGTAACGGTGGCCGGACGTACATCGGCCGATATTACGATCTTTTGAAATAGACACCGCCCGACGGCCGTTTGTCATTTGTGACTTAGTCATAATTAATAGCGCACATGTCCTATATTTACTTGACCAACGAACAAAATGCATGTGTTTTAACAAGAAACGGATTTAGTGTGACGTAGCTTATTCTAAATAATGACAGGAAAAGCATTGATGCAAAGCATCAAAGGGCGTCCAAGCAAGAAAAGCAGCAAGTAAAGATGAACTAGTAGACATCTGATGACCAGATATTCTTATAAACTTTTCAATGGTTAATTGGTTTTAACAAGTATTGTATATCATTTATGAATGGGCGGACGAAATACATTATTCATCATGAACTTTGGTAGGCATCCTAGAGATTTGAATATTAAAAGTTTTTTCCCACAGGAACTTTAATTCTATCTATGTTAACGATAATATCCAAAATATACAGGTTTATAATATCCAAAATATACCCCCTATATGGTATAAGTTTATTTATACTAAATATATGTATTATCATTTATATTGGTTATTTGATAGAATTTCAAGTTCATGTGGTATTTTCTTTGGAACATACAACATAATAGTCAAAATGAACAAAGTCTGTAAATTGATTTATTTGGGAGGTCAATCTACTATTTTAATGACCTAGTCTGACCCACCAGTGTGTTTACATGCTTATCAATAAAACCATAACAACTCATGTTAGAATTGCAGACGAAATAGATTTTCGGATTTTCACAATGTTCAGGTCATCATTTTATTTATAGGTAAAGCAATAACACACATAATAACCCACTGTGTACAACAAAATGATTAATAAAAATACCGAAGAGCGCGATTAATTGACGGATAAGATAATTTCATTTGAATATGTTTACATTGCGAAATTATCCAGTTCGCTATTCATTTTACATATCGCGACAATTCAATTTTGATAATCAAACACTCATACCAATCGGAATGTTCGGCTATTATCGTCGACGAAAAGGCTCGAGAAGTTGCAATTGCCCTTTCTCATTTCATAAGGGCGTCGCGCTTCGGCGCGGACGCCAATAATGTCGCTCTGACAATGAATAAGTTGTGTATCTGCTCAATAAAATATTGTCATCCTTTTAAAATTTTTACTGTTTACATAAGTTAATGTCTTAAATATAATTCGAGACATCTACATCTCTGATATATAATGTCAATGAATTAAATGATATTTTTTAAAAAGGGTCTCTTACAGAACAGTGTATCAACAGTGTATCTGTCATGTGACATAAGCGGGTGTGTCATAAATTTTAAAGTAGAAATGGATAATCTTTATAGGAATCGTAACAATTTTTTTGCTCCACGCCTGGATGATTTTTGTCGATTCAATGCTTTCGCTTAATATCCCAAATTTAACTACTGCACTGTGTTTGTAATTTATATACACAGTAGATATATCTGTTGTTTTTTTTTAAAAAAAAGACCCTTTGTCGGTAGACTTTTAGTGTGTGTATTATAGATTTTTTTTTATAAAAATCACGGCGGGTAGTCGGTCACAAAGGGTAGTCAATAAAATCATTTTTTTTTGCCATCAAGTGCCTATGATCTCGAATGCAACAAATTTCGTGAAAATTCTTCAAATGTTTAAAACAATCTTGGTGCTGTTAATTATTTAAATGCAGTTAGTCTGTATTATACGTGGTTGTCCCAAAAGTCCGTGATAAATTTTATAGACGGTTCGTTTTTAACGCCTTTAGTAAATAGTTCACACATGTAACCGTTAAGTTTATTATTTAATATTACAACAAATCATTTACAAAATATTTACTCTAGTTATCTAGAAATTTACAATTACAGTATTAACGACATATTTGTTTGAGTTGCCGGCGTACGTCAAATAATTTGCATTTTGTTATGAATAGGCTAAAATTGATTACATATATTTCAAATATCTGATGATGTGTTTGCACAATGTCACGTTGAATTCCTCTGCTGCTATGCTTACATCATTTCAGAAAATTTTAGTCAAATAACTTAAGCAACGACCAAGATACGGATAAATGAAAATATCTCATAGAAAATAGGAAAGTTAAAATGGCGAAATTCGAAAGAATTTGCGGCGCAGTGAACAGGTCGACTATTTCGAGATGATTTATGTTACGATTTTCAACAAATATACAAAAAATAACAGTTAAGGTGATTCCGCTTTGTCAGCCATGTTTGTTTTCACTCAAGTCTGTTCAAAGTGAAAGTAGGCCAAAATTCATATAACAACAAAGTTCTTATTGTAAAATGATGAACCATTTGAAAGTACTCTTCCAGGTTTATATTTTAAGGACAATTATAAACAAAAATAAAAATGATAACAATAAGAATATTTACCTTGAATGTGCTACTTTTCTGAAGACCAAAAACATTCTGTTGCAAAGTTTTAAGCACATTTCATGAATAGCAAAATCCTTTTTAAAGTCTGTTTTTAGTGCCTACAAAAGCTATTTTTTGCAGCAAATACAAAAATCTTTCAAAACTTAACTCCAAATAAATCCTTATCTCATGTCCTTCTTAGCACATGGCCTCCATTATTTTTTGTAAAAAAAGTAGTGCAAGAAAACAATCATCATTTATACCTTATGAATTTCAATTAAAATGAAAACACAATCGAACTTTAAAATCTAACCTTTTTTATGTGTAACAGTGAAGTGTGTCTGTTTGTCATGTACACAAGAAATAGGTAAATGATGTTTATTTTCATGGTACTACTTTTTTACACATGTCATGGTGGCCATGTTTTTTCAAGGTCAGAAAAACTACTTTCCTAAGATTTATGTTTTTTAAAGTTTTTTGTATTTTCTGCAAAAAATAGCTTTTGTAGGCACTAAAACAGACGTTAAAAAGCATTTTGCCATTCATGAAATGTGCATAAAAATTTGCAACAGAATGTGTTTGGTCTTCAGAAATTTAGCCCATTCAAGGTAAATTTTCTTATTGTTATCATTTTTATTTTTGTTGAAAATAGTCTTTAAAACATAGAACTGGAAGTGTACTTGCAAATGGCTCATCATATAACAATGTGAGCTTTTTTGTTATAAGAATTTTGGCCTACTTTCACTTTGGACAGACTTTGTGAAAACAAACATGGCTGACAAAGCGGAATCACCTCAAGCAACATATCCTGAGCATTTATGTACAAAGGCATAAATGAAACCAGAGTTCTGCGCTTCAAAAAGCGAAAATAAGGAAAACACGAATAGGAAGATCGATCTCCGTCGCCTATGTACAGCTAAGAGCAGGTGCAACCAGACAGGATGTTCGCGTAAAGCAAAAATTAATGTATGCCATCCAAACATTCAACAGACATAACAGCCACATGATTTAAGTCTGTAATTGACGATTTATGGGTAAAGCTGCACCATGACTGCGTTGAAAGCCATAAAGGCGCCTTATATAGATTTGACGTTTGACGTGCTCCGCGATTCAGATATATGCCATGGTGTTTATGGCATATTTTTGTTGTTTGTTGATATTTTTCTATGTAAATTTGTGAAAATGTTTCAATTATATGGGTTTATAACATAACAAAACATCAAATTCGTACCTATTTTATTAAGCCTTTAAACAATATTGTCACAGAATATCGGGACAACCCACGTATTTAGACGTGATACATCCTTATACGAAAACTGACGGGAAAGGTCCGAAAAGTTGCGAAAGCCGATTGACAATTAGCTTACACATGTTACATGTATGTATACACATACAAGTTAAACATGCGTGTACCGTAATACTGAACTGTAATCGTGTGAACAAAAAGTTACAAAAATCAATAATTCTCTTTATAATGTTTATCAACAATTTATTTTGAAATGAGTTAATATCATACGCAGATTAACATTTGTGATAACAATTTTACATTGTTAAAGATAACAAGTTTACTAAAAACATTTTTTTCAAAAAATGGGCGTTACTTTTTATCCTAACTGTAAATCTGCGTTAAAAAGTGGACCAGGAAGATAAACACACGAACTTTCCGAAAATAGCATGCGTAGTAATTTTTTACGTGTATTGATTACAAATGACATGTCACAATAAACAGATAAAAACTGAGTTACTAATGGAGTTACGTATATGTTACAGGTAAATATATCTTTTCATTTAAACTTGATTTTGTAAGGAATTGAATTGAAATAAAAATATACTTAAATTTGTATCAAATTTAAATCTATAAATTTATATTTATTTAAATAAACCTTTTTGATTAAAAGACTACACATTGTCATTATCAGGTCTTTCACCTATATTATTTTGATCACTAGTTTCACTTTGCTTTCATATAAACCTACTTATGGTTTAGAAGGAAACAACAATTTTCAAAAACTTTTTAAACATTTTTTTTCTTCCTTTAAGCGCGTTTTAAATCATTACAGATGTGAAATGCTTATATTAGAACTACTTCCCTGGCCTCATATTTGCTGATCTCATATTTGAATTACTAAATTACCACAGGCCTACTTTCGTTTTCAGCATAGTTAACACAAAGGGAGGTTATATAAAAGCATTTTAATTATTTTAAAGACAATCTTTTAGAAATAATCATTTTAAAAGGAATCTTTTAAAAATAATCATAAAATGTTTATCTTTCGTTAAGTTATTCTTCAGACCACGCCATTGATTAGGGCGGCTGTAAACTTGGCTGAGTACCAGTTTTTTGAGTTATGATTATTGATCGATTTTCTCACGGTGTCTATTTTACGTGACTGTGATCTGCGCGGGACAAAATATTAAAAAAATGACTGTCAATGTAGTGTTTTTATGTCCCCCTTCGAAGAAGAGGGGGTTTATTGTTTTGCTAATGTCTGTCTGTCTGCCGGTCTGTCCGTCGGTAGACCACATGGTTTCCGCTGATTATCTTGAAAACTATTTTTCTATCACAAAGTTTTCATATTTCACATAGTGATTGGTCATAACTAGTAGATGACCCCTATTGATTTTGGGGTAACTAGGTCAAAGGCCAAGGTCACAGGGGCCTTAAATGTCAGAATGGTTACCTTCAGCTCATTATCTTGGTTACTATTTATCACAAAGTCTTCATATTTCACATATTGATTGGTCATAACTAAAATTACCCATATTGATTTTGAGGTCACTAGGTCAAAGGTCAAGGTCACAGGGGCTTTAAATGTCAGAATGGCTTCTGCTCATTATCTTGGTTACTATTTATCACAAAGTCTTTATATTTCACATATTGATTTGTCATAACTAGTAGATGACCCTTTTGATTTTGGGGTCACTAGGTCAAATGTCAAGGTCACAGGGGCCTTGAATGTTAGTATGATTTCCGCTCATTATCTTGGTTACTATTTATCACAAAGTATTCATATTTCTAAGATTGATTGGTCATAACTAGTAGATGACCCCTATTGATTTTGGGGTCACTAGCTCAAAGGTCGAGGTCGCAGGGGCCTTGAATGGTTGTATGATTTCTGCTTATTATCTTGGGTTCTTTTTATCATTTCACATATTGATTAGTGATAACTAGTAGATGACCCCTATTGATTTTGGGGTCACCAGGTCAAGGTCACGTGCCATAAATGTTAGAATGGTTTCCGCTCATTATCTTGGTTACTATTAATCACAAAGTCTTCACAATTCATATATTGATAGGTCATAACTAGTAGATGACCCCTATAGATGTTTGGGTCACCAGGTCAAAGGTTAAGGTCGCAAGGTCCTTGAATGGTAGTATGATTTCAGCGCATTATCTGGAAAGGAAGGTCAAGGTGACAGGGACCCTAAATGTCAGAATGGATTCCGCTTATTTTCTTGAAAACTATTTACCACAAAGTCTTCATATTTCCTATACTGATTGGTCATAACTAGTAACTGACCCCTATTGATTTTGGGGGTACTAGGTCAAATGTCAAGGTCACAGGGTCCTTGAATGTTAGTATGGTTTTCGCTCATTATCTTGACAGCTATTTATCACAAAATCTTCATATTTCTAAAATTGATTGGTCATAACTATTAGATGACCCCTATTGATTTTAGGTTACTAGTTCAAAGTTCAAGTTCACAGGGGCCTTAAATGTCAGAACGGTTTCCGCTCATTATCTTGAAAACTATTTATCACAAAGTCTTCATTATTTTTTTCCATAAGTGAACACTTGCATGTACTCATTTATAGCAAATTTCTATAACAAAATTTCCAATAATTCGAGTCAGAGCTGGTAAGGTGGGGGGGGGGGTTCATATGGGTCGTTCGACATTTCTTGTCTTTCAATACTTTCTGAATTTTCAGACATGCGTTATCGCCTAATAAGTTACAAGTTATTGCGAACTAACATTTTTGTGTCGCCTCTACGGAGTAGTGGCGACATATAGGGATCACTTCTCCGTCGTCTGTCTGTCCGTCTGTCTGTCTGTCCGTCCGTCCGTCACAAAACTTGTCCGGACTACCCCTTATAAACTACTGGTGCAATTTCATCCAACTTTACAGGAATGATCAGTATCAAGTCTTGTTGTGCATATTGTCAGCATTTTCCGGTTCAATGATTTTTGTCAGAGTTATTGCCCTTTAATAATTTTTAATTTTAAAGTTTGTCCGGACTACTTCTCTTATACCACTAATGCAATTTCAATGAACTTTACAGGATTGATCTGTAGCTCAAGTCCTTGCGCATATTGCAAGGTTTTTCGGTTGAATGATTTTTTGGCCGAGTTATGGCCTTTGATAAAAAGGTGTTTTTTTCTGTGTGTTGCCAGATACACAATAGCTTGTCTGGACTACTCCTCATAAACTACTGGTGCAATTTCATCAAAACTTTACATGATTGATCAGTACCAAGTCTAGTTGTGCACTGTCCGTCTGTCTGTCCGTCTGTCACAAAATTTGTCCCAACATGAAATTGGCCATTATGAGGCGACACATGTGATTACTGATCGCTCTTGTTATTATTTATGATACCAGGGTTTAACCTAGGAATTAATGACAGAGATCCGTATCTAGTAACCCAAAGTACTTATAGTATTTCTCCTTGTGATAACTTTTTCTGTTATTTTTTTATTTGAAACGAGCCATACGTCAAGTAAGAATGTCAAGTTCTAAACTTCACGGACATAATACTGAGTTAAGGAAAGTTGATATATTAAACCCATTTTTAGCTTGAGAATTATTCATTTCTGTCATGAATTTTGACAAAATTATCAAATTCGTCCTAAAATTTCTGTTAAGTTTTTCGTACCACCCCACTTTTTCTATACCATTGAATCTTGCGATAGTTGCATAAAAAAATTATGAACGTCATTAATAAATCCATGTATAGTATGGGGAAATAACTCTATCATAGATTATAATCCCTTTCCATTTAAACTTTGGATACTTTCCGGGACATAAATATGCCAAGAATTTTTTTTATAAAATCATGCCTCTTTTATGGTTTAATTTACAGTTACAACTTAGAATTTCGGTTAAGTATTTTGTAAACGAGTTACGTAACGTAAAAGTTCTAAACTTCACAGATATAAATAGTATTATACTGTAAAAGGTTACGTAAAGTAATAAGTAAAGTATTACACTTCACAGGAACTATTACTGTAAACAGGCTACGCTAAAATAAGAGATGATGTACTAAACTTAACAGTCATCTTTTTCTGTTGAAAAACTATATTTTTATATATACCTGTTGACAATCAGACTACGCAAATTCATAACTAAACTTCAAAACTTCACCGGTTTTATTATTGTGAATAAATTACGCTTAACTTTGACAAAACTTTTAAATATGTTTATATCAATTTTAACTGTAGGCAATCTATGCAAAGTCCGCATATTTTAATATTGTAGACAGACCTGGCGAAGAAGATAGATTGACTCTTTACGACCACAGGTCGGTAGCAAGATGGCGGGTTTTCAAAGATTTCCATACCGTAAGTAGTACATTATTTACTTAAAGTTTGGTTTAATCACTTTGGTAATTCATACACTAACAAGAACTGATATTAAGTATTGAAATATACAGTCGTGTAAATAAGACTAGGTCACCTGATCCATTAGTCACTACTCCCACGCACGAATACGATGATGCTCGATCACTGATACGGTAATTACACGGACTGACAAGGAAATGATGCACCGTGCAAATTACACAGTGACATAACGATTGCATACAATTATAACAATACACTGATGCAAAGCTATATGTTCCGCTATTTTATTATCACATGCAAATTAGATTGTATTAATTATTTAGACAGGTTTATCACTCTTTAAAAATTACTTAATAGATCTATTAACATTTTTATTGTTTATTATTTCACAGATACATAATACTTAAAAATAAGGGCAAAGTTATAATTTCCGCTAAATAATCTTATAATATCACGTGTCAAGAAGTCCAATTACGATTCACTTAACAGTAAGATAGTGTTATCACCATTAAAAAGTACTTGTTTACATTTCTTTTGTTAATTTTATCACTTACTTTGTATATACACTCTACATTATGATAGGTGTTTTCTTCAATATATATGAGTCATTTAAATACAGAAATTGGTCTCTTAGTATGGAAAACCCCATTTTAAGCTTGAGTTTTTTTGAGTATTATTTATTTTTAAAATAGGGAGAGCACTCCTCAATCATAGGCGTCTGAATTTTACGGTGTTGCTTAAAAACTTTGAATGATATTAATAGTCCCACTTTTAGGCAAGAGTACATTTCTGTCAAGATATCAAATTCAACCTAAAATTTCTGTTAAGTTTTTCGTACCACCCCACTTTTTCTATACCCTTGAAACTTGGAATAGTTGCATATGAGCGTCATTAATAAATCCATGCATTGTATAGTGGAAATAACTCTATTATAGATTCTGATAATATTAGTTCTGTCAAGATTATTTACATAATTATGCCCTTACAGTAATGTGTAGAAAAGGGGTCATGATTATGTTAACAATTTATTTTAAAAAAAGGCTTATACAGAAAATGAGTTTTAGTAGCCAGAACTAATACGACATCAACAAGTAAATGCTGTCATCAACAAGTTAATGCTGTCGTACCTAATATCAAGCTAAATTACGGTGTCCTCCTAAAGTCTGGAGACAGTCAGGAAATTTAATAAAATTTGGAATAAAATTCATTTTATGTATTGAAAACTAAACAAAAATGTATACTTTTCTTTATTAACATGCACAAAATGTCAAGGTATTCTAAAACATAAAAGTTCCTTTCACATACTTCGTTACTTCATGCACTATTACCACCACCATGAAACTTGACAGTTGGCACTTGTCAAGAAAAGACTCTCCTTATCGCAACCTATAAAAAACTGATCCATATCCCTGGAACATGTTGACTTTGCTCTTATCACCAAGTAATACTGCATACCACACGACCCAGGTCCCGTATGCATGCGCCTGCCATTCGTTTTAGTCGGCGCATAATAGTCAAGCGTGGTTTCTTGGTGGCTTGAGTAAGGCATTTAGTTTGCGGCAAATTGGTGTTGCAAGCACGAATATGTAGTAAATTAAGTCTTTCATCTTGTAGCTACTCCATGATTATCAGCATCTCTTGCCATTCTTAAGAAGCACTCCGTTGACCAGATCTTGGTCTGTCCTGTGACTAGCTTATTGGACAATCTTGTACCGTGTAAATCTAAAACAGAAATAAGAAACAAATGAGTGTAGTAAACATTTAAAATTATATTGTATTACATAACATAAAAAAATGATTTTGAACATTTACTATAAATGTAGGAATGCGTAAAAATTTTAATCTTGCAATGCCGAGGATGCTGGCGATTTCAACTGCTGAGTTAACAAATTTTTCGTAAATATATGAATGACTCGCATGTCTAAATATAGATCGTCAACAGTTATTTTATCTTGAAAATAGATGTCAATTATTCGCACGGCGCATATCCATATCGGCACCCTTTTTGCTAAATCTACTTAAACGGTACCGTCTTTGCACATCATGTGCATGCACAGACCATTCTTTGTCTGCTGAAGACAAGAAGGTATCATAAACCAATCAAGTAAATGTTCACTCTTATAATAAAAGGTTGCATGTCTAGTGGACAAGAAGTATGCCACTGAAAACTTGAATGTATTACTAAGGAATTTAATTATTTTTCAATTACTGCAACTCAAAAATAAGCTTCACAAAATCTTAATGTTTCGCCACACCAACAGCCTCGGCATGTTCTTTGGGCAGATTTATGTACACATGATACATTTTACATGTACTCATTTGACAAATATAAATGAATAGTCAAAAATGCATTTTAAATTCCAATACATATATAACACTGTGACTTTTTGTGTCGCCTCTACGGAGTAGTGGCGACATAGCGGGATCACTTCCCCGTCGTCTGTCTGTCTGTCCGTCTGTCAAAAAAACTTATCCGGATTAGTCCTCATAAACTACTGGGCTGCGTTTCATGGAGAGTCCTAAGTCTTAAGTTTGTCTTAAGATAAAAATTGTGACAATTTTGCGTTTCAAAGAAAGTCTTAAAAAAGGTCCTAACTTATGACTCCTATACTTATGACAAAAACAGTCCTAAGTCTAGGAGTGTTTAAAAGGTATCTTAAGATTGTCTTAAGTCAAAACCACTCCAAAATCAAACAATTTTTTGTTGTATTTTGTTTTGAAAACTATCTAGAATGATAGATAATGGTCTAATTAAGAAAATAAATCCGAACACCAATATTTTTAATTCAGTCATTAACGCTGTACAGACGTTTAAAGAGTTGTTTACATGACGTCACAATGTAGCGCCAAATATCGCGTGCAAAACATAATAATATTACTGCGCGCTGTACAATTGCAGTTGCGTAGCAAGCAAGGGGGTTCGTAACCATTTTTGTACGATGAAATTAAATAAAACGGTTATTTTATCGTTTTTCATGAAATATGGTATATATTTTCGCTCAACATGATAAGAGGGCAATACATTACTTTTTATTCTTCCTATAATCAATTACATAGTAAATCCAATCTGGGATTATGCGAGTGCCATTGTATTTTGTAACATTTTTCAGGAGAGCGAATATGTCGTAAGTCTTAAGTTTAGGACAAAAGATAGGACAGTTACTTGAAACGGTCTTAAGTGCAAAAACTTTTTCTTCTAAAGTTGGTCATAAGTCCTAGGATTTAGGATTAACTTAGGACTCTCCATGAAACGCAGCCCAGGTGTTTATTCCATCCAAAACAGAGTTATGGCCCATGATTAGTTGTGCAGTGCGCATATATATATATATATATATATATATATATATATATATATATATATATAGCAATAGTGCTATTTATTTTCAACTGCTAGATTGATTTCAAGAAGTCTTTATGGGACCCAACAATATGAAAAGGGAAATTTGAATGCCATGATAAATTTATGTAAAAAAAGCCTCCAGTTGTTGCGTTAGTAATAATCAGTACTCGGAGGGGGATATAAATTCAACGAATTTGCTTGTTGATTTTTGTCAGAGTTATTTCCCTTTCATGATTTTAGATTTGAAATTTGTCCAGACTACTCCTGTTATACTACTTATGCAATGACACAGAATTGATCGTTAGCTCAAATTCTTGTGCATATTGCACATGGTTTTATTTAGGTTGGATGATTTTTGCCGAGTTATGGCTGTCACGAGGCGACAATGGCATCACTGATGACCTTTGTTTCTTTGAAAATTGGTGAACACATCTCATGAAATTTACTTTCAACACATTAATTTATTTCTGGGAGCAACAATACATGAAATACAATGGAAATGTATGTGTTCTACTTATGTTTATGCAATAGTTATTGTCAAAGGTATTTCTGAAGAGCTTATTAATATTGAAAAATGTTTGTTTGTTACTCAGTAGATTAGCATAATATATACATTTACATAGATTCTGAATAATTTTCCGGTTAGTTCAACTTAAAAAGTTTTTTTTAATTTTTGTAAGGTAGGCCAGGTATAATAATAACGTTTAAAATATTTTCTACGTAGTTCTCCAAATTTTGGACATATTAGTAAAAAATGACATTCGTTTTCGATCATATAAGAATTACAATTTAAACAAATTCCTTCCGTCCTAGGAATATTAATGTAGCGTCCGCGTTCTATTGTCAAATCATGTGAAGATGTACGAAATTTCGTTTAAGATATTCTGAATTTTGCTTTCTGTATAAAGTCGAGATAACTTTCTAATTTACATTCATGTTTAAATAAACAATATGTTTCGAGACGAGGATATTTATTAGCACCATCGTTAATAATATACATCTAATATCCGTTGCTTAATCATATTTACATAAATTTGGATGTTAAATTGGCTTTGCCATAAATACATTAAACCGTAATTATAAAGTATTTCTTTAATCTGGCTAGCCCAGTTATAACCATTCTATGTATTTCCTTATTCAACATCTCTCAATAACATATTATAAGTTTTAAATAGTAGTGATTGATTATCTTAAGTAATTAATATAACCCAGTACTTTATCAATATAATTTTTTGGTACACATTTATTGGTGCCCCCCCCCCCCAATTCGCTGTATAGAGCATCTTTGTTTGTGGAGCGTTTTACACATAGAACTCTCTTACAAAATTTCGTATGTTCAATCTCAATATCTGGTCCAGCGTGATGACCCCATACCACTGCACAATAATTAAGAGTAGACATTACAAAAGAATCAAAAATATATATCTTTTGGGATACATGTAATTCTAATTGGTTGTAAACAATGAATGAATTTTGAAGAGAAAACTGAGCATGTTGAGCAATTCTCTGTTGCGTGCGATTCCAGTCCCCGTTTTTAAATAATCGAGCACCTTTTTACATTGGAATTATGTGGTATTTGTGTGGTAAAGCTTTTGTTTCATAATTGTAAGGGGTTTCATTAACAATACTTTGACAACTTTATTTTGCAGCGGATCTCATGGGACAGCTGCGCATGTTCAAAGAATTCAAGGACAAAGCAAAGCAAGCACTTTTACGGAATAGTCTGGCTGAGGCCCATCAATGGTACAATGCTGCATTAAGCTTCTTTGAACAGCCTTTTCTACCCCAGCCAATTGTGAATGAACATCATGTTATTTTGTGTAACAGGTCACAAGTTTGTTATAGACAAGGTCTATATAAACAATCTGAGGAAGATGCAGTTACAGCTATAAATATTTGTCCAACATATGCGAAGGTGAATAATTAGTTAATATTATAACATTATGTTAATATCCACGATTTAAAAATTCACGGACTAAGCCGCTTCGCTTTACTATTTCGCTGCTCAAAGTAAGTTATAATTTTGTTTAATAAGAAATGTTAAACATAAATTGAAAGTAAAATTGTATTATTTCAATGTCACTTGAAAAACATTTGAAGATAAAGGTGAAATTTGCTAAAATTTCAAATACGATTAAGGATTCAAACAGTTGATAAACAATGTCATAGTCTGTGTGACATACATGTGCACTATTAACAACATCTGAAGAATGAACTCAGTGCACTTTTGAAGCAAATTATAATGACGTAACCAATATTATGTTTTCATTTTTAAAGGCATATTGGAGAGCATCTCAGGCTGTGTTAGCTGGACCTGGAAATAGACAAGAGCTAGCTGTGAAGTTCCTGGCTGATGCACTTTTATTGGGTCTTGATGAACTAGATCAAAGACATTTTTTAACAGAAATCTGCAAACTTGCAATTAATACTCAACTCACGGGTATTGTTTGTTTATAGATAGTTATGACCATTATTTTAATTGTTGTACTAGGGTTTTTCTAGTATTTGACATATTCAATGTTCAGGACTGTGAAAGCTGTAAAATAACGTTATATCAAGTTTTTACTTGTCCTGGTCGGAGAAAAATTAAGGCTATTGCTACGGTCAATATGTTGTTGAATAAAATCTGACTCTGACCTTTATTTGTCTTTGTAAATTTAGGTCAAATGATATGTAATGTTTTCATTTTCATATGCGTAATGTTTACATTTTCATATGCATAATGTTTTTCATACCCTAATTTTAATGAGCTTGTATATGCAATAACTACAAGGAATTATTGAACTGTACTACATTTGAATGTATTATGTTAGAAATATTTGTTCTTAGCTGCTAAATCTATTCTTCTGATTTTAACGCTTTGACATTCCTTAGGTTTGATGCTGTCGACCTTGTGCAGCCTTTATCTACCAGACGCCCGGGACAAAATTTGGTTGTCAGTTATTAAGAAGCTTTGTGACCAGAATGAATGGGATGGCATGGCGATGCTTTTGATACATTATGAACCAAGGTTTAGTTTGACGTTTTGATGTTTTCAAGCTAATCATTTTGTAGAATAAATAAGCTTTATTAGTCCCCTACCGGTTTAACCGGAGGGGACTTTAGGTTTACCCTCCGTCCGTCTGTCTGTCTGTCTGTCCGTCCGTCTGTCTGTCTGTCTGTCAGTCCGTCAGTCCGTCCGTCCACAAAACTGGATCCCGCGATAACGCAAAAAGTACTTAAAATATTTTTATGAAACTTGATATATGGGTAAATGGCAGTCTGCAGATTATGCACATCTTTTTCTTTTCTTCCTATGTTGAAAATTCTGGTTGCTATGGCAACAAATAGCCTTGATTTCAAGATTTCTGATTTAATTTTTTCAGCTTTTTCACTATAAGTTCTTTATTTCTTAAGGTGTTTACTTCAAACTTTAAATATAAATTTCTGGTCATCAACCACATCATATGTGACAAGGTTTATAACTCTAGCACAAAAATTATCAGTATTACCTCCCTTGAACTTAGAATTTTTATGGAAAAAAATGTTGTCTTTTTTAAATAACTTCTTTATTTCCTAATGTATCTACTTCAAACTTCATATATATGTTTCTTATTATCACTCAACATTTTTGAGAAGGTTAAATACTCTAGCAAGACTATTTCCAGAATTATGTCCCCCTTGAACTTAGATTTTTTTCGAGAAATTGGTATTTTTTACTCCAACTTCTTCATTCCTTATAAGATTTACTTTAAAATCCCACATCGTAATAATATGACAAGGTTGTATAAACATAATTGCCTTACTAGGCAGGGAAACTTAACACATTACTGTGAAATAGACAAACTTAGAACTCAAAAGATTTAAGTTCATTCATGTCATTCATTCACTCGTGAAATTGAAATCAGAATGTTGCTGGGGTTCTAACCGGTAGGGGACTTATGGATTGCTTGCAATACTATGATAATTGCTTGTTTTATTTAAAACACACTCAAGTGCGGTTCTTGGAACTAACCAGTACTAGATTAAACATGGCTGTAGGAGAGGGTCCTAGAAAATGACTATGTTATAACTTTTGGTCCAGCCCTTTGTATATTAACATTATTGTATTTATGTATTATTGTGAAATTTTATTAAACACAATATGATTAGATAAAAAAAGAAACGGAAATTAAAACGGCAATGACGCCAGCAGGGCCATCAATTCACGATCCCTGGGTTGAGCAAAAGATATCGTTAGTTTTTGCTTCTTAATTTTTATTGTTTATGTAAAAAAGAAGTGTTGTATTGCATAAAATAAAATCATTTGTTACAACAGTGTTATAAAGCAGAAGAGTAAAAAGTTATTTTTTAACATGAACAGTCTTATTTTAATTCAACGGAGTCTGGCATTTTAGTTTTTCAATTTTCATTATTGTCAAGTGATCACCCTTTTCCGAAAATGTGTGGATATCTCTTCGTTTCTGTCTAATTACATCTCCTCAAATATTCTTTCTCCAGGAGTGTTCAGCATTCTTTGAATACACTAGACGTTTCAGAATGGAAGTGTGGTGACATTATTGTTGGTAAACTTCTGAAGACTTTGCCAGATGACAAAATGGCAATATTTGGGGAGAGATTAGCAATTTGTCTTCTTCAGAAAGGCGCTTCAATTGAAACTATTGAAGTGTATACAATGACGAATTCCTTACACTTTCTCGTAGACTTGTCATTGAGAATTCGTGAGTATCATCTTTCGTGAAAATATTCAGTTGTATTCATTAATAAGTTTTGTATCTGAGTGGACAATTTTACTACTGTATTTTAGAGTATATACATTGTCTTTAGATATACTTTACACTATTTAGGCAAACATTACTCGGGGAAGTTCATTTAGTAAGCATCATAAAGTACTTCTTGCGAAGTACTTGTGTATAATATGATGATAATTGATGAATTAAATGATAGAACTCTTGATTTTTCCATCGACCGAATTCCACTTCTGAAAAATATATTACTTATAATAAGGAGCGTCCGAGGCAGAGTGGTTTAGGTCTGTGACTTCAAATAAATTGCCCCTGACATCGGCGGATCTACTCAGGTGCCTGTTCGTGCCTGGAATTATGAACGGAGGGAGCTGAGGTCGTCCTCTTCTACCAGTAAAGCTGGTAAGTCGCCATATGATCTTGTACTGTGTTGATGTGCCGTTAAGCCCAACAGAAAAACCGTGACGAAATATATATATATATATATAACGCTGTATAATGATAAAAAACTGTTGTATAATTTCAGGATCAGTAACATTGTTAAGATTTGTCCTTGACAATTACGAGTGTGTCCGAGTAAAGATAAATTACCAAGATAACGAAGGGAACACAGCATTTCATTTGGTTGTTAAAGCAAGTGTAGACAACGTTGATATATGTGAGAATGTAGTCGTCTTATTGTTGAAGAATAAATGTGATATGTCTTTGAGAGACTGTACAAATAAAATACCAGCCGACTATGTGAACAAAGACAGCAAGTTATTTCAGTTGCTTCAACAGGTTTCAAATCCAGGTATGTCAATATAAGGTAACGATCACACTTTAAAACTTTAGAATATAATATTTTAACTTGTATGCATTTTCAAATCAATAGTATACTTTCTTGGATCTAAGTACATGTATATGTGAGTGCGTTAAACGTAATAGTTTACATGTTGTTTATATCCTTGCAACGAACTGTAAAATAAAGTAAAATGTGTATACTCAGACGTTAGATATATTGCTTACATTTTAGGTTGTACAAATCATCGCTTTACAAATAATGTCTCATACATGTACATTATTTTACAGTTGAAGAGCTACGTAAAAAGTTGGAACAACTGAAGACTGAAGGAAACACGGCATTTGTAAATAAGGACTATACAAGGGCTGTGCATTTTTATAATGAAGCTCTCGTGGTCGCACAGCAGTCACCAGATCTGTATAAAGAAGCTGCAATACTTTACAGCAACAAGTCAAATGTTCGATACCAAACGGGTGATACAGAAAATGCTCTGATAAATGCAATTGCTGCAATCAATTCTGACCCCGAGTACTCTAAAGTAAGTCGATTGATATGTTCTAGTCAGTTGCAAAACTTTTTGACTTTAATTATCTTAACACTAAAGACTCTTGCTTTATAATCCCGAATTCTTTAAGATAAGCCATTTGTTTTGTACTGGTCGATCAGTTGCAAAACTTTGACTTTAATTATTCAAAAATTACAGACGTTTGCTTTTGCTTTTTGATCCTCAATACTCTATAGTAGGTCATTTGATGTGTTGTGGTCAATGGCAAAAATTCAGTTCAATTAGAAATTTAAGACTTTTTCTGTGCTCAAGCAGCTTGCTATGTATTTGTACTTTGACGTTTTGTACATCATATAATGTGAGATAAAAATTTTTGTTTGCAGGGGTACTTTCGGCATAGCAAGGCCCTGTTTCGTTTAGGATCTGCTATTGAAGCATTCAAAACTCTTGTTGATGGTTACTCTAAATCAAAACAAATAAACAATAAAGTTGATCTTCTTACAGAGGCAGCAGTTATTTTGAACAGTTTTGAAGGTAAAGTATGAGCTGTTCCTATCAATACATCATCTGTTAAAATGAGCTGAAAGTAATCATTTTGTTTTTTAACTATATCATTCAGAATAAATTCCATGAAAAATAAGATATTCATTTAAAGTTGTAAAAGTCATTGATATATCCTTGTCATAAGACTTTTTTGTGTTAAATGAGGATTTTTTATCACATTTAATTTGTAGAGGTAATATATTAGAAGTTGTAAGTACCAGGTTTAAACACTAATGACGAAATCTTTGATACATTTTATGTTTATGCAAGGTGCCAAATACTTTCGGTGGGTTTTGAGTAGTATTACAGCTGACAGAGTTGTTTATTGTTATTTTCCTCAATGATGAAAAACTTAATAACCTTATAACATTTTATGGTGTTTTATATTGATTGTTGGAATATGATAAATACAGCTATACATACATCTACTATGGTTTAGTTTACAGTTTTATTAGCTCACCTTGCACAAAGTGCAGGTGAGCTTTTAGGATGGCCAACCAAATGGCGTCCGTCGTCTGTCGTCCGTCCACATTTTAAATATTCTAAGGACATCTTCTATGATACCGCAAAGCCAATGTTAATGAAACTTGGCAGGAATACTCTTTGTATGAAGCTCTATCAAGATTGTTCAAAGAATTCCATTTCATGCAGAACTCTGGTTGCCATGGTAACCGAAAGAAAAATCTTTAAATATCTTCTTTTAAAAAACCGTAAGAGCTAGAGCTTAGATATTTGGCATGAAACATCTTCTAATGAGTGTCTACCAAGTTTGTTCAAATAAAAGCCCTAGGGTCAAAATTGGCCCCGCCCCAGGGGGTCATTGATTTTCCCTATATGCATATAGTAAAAACTTTAAAAATCTTCCTTTAAAGAACCCAAAGAGCTAGAGCTAAGATATTTGGCATGAAACATCTTCTAGTGAGTGTCTACCAAGTTTGTTCAAATAAAAGCTCTGGGGTCAAAATTGGCCCCAGCCCGGGGGGTCATTGATTTTCCCTATATGCATATAGTAAAAACTTAAAAAATCTTCTTTTAAAGAACTGTTAAAGCTAGAGCTTAGATATTTGGCATGAAACATCTTCTAGTGAATGTCTACCAAGTTTGTTCAGATAAAAGCCCTGGGGTCAAAATTGGTCCTGCCCCAGGGGTCATTGATTTTCCCTATATGCATATAGTAAAAACTTAAAAAATCTTCTTTTAAAGAACCCAAAGAGCTAGAGCTAAGATATTTGACATGAAATATCTTCTAGTGAGTGTCTACCAAGTTTGTTCAAATAAAAGCCCTGGGGTCAAAATTGGCCCCGCCCGGGGGGTCATTGATTTTCCCTATATGCATATAGTAAAAACTTAAAAAATCTTCTTTTAAAGAACCTTAAGAGCTAGAGCTTAGATATTTGGCATGAAACATCTTCTAGTGAATGTCTACCAAGTTTGTTCAAATAAAAGCCCTGGGGTCAAAATTGGCCCCGTCCCAGGGGGTCATAGATTTTCCCTATATGCATATAGTAAAAACTTAAAAAATCTTCTTTTAAAGAACCCAAAGAGCTAGAGCTAAGATATTTGACATGAAATATCTTCTAGTGAGAGTCTACCAAGTTTGTTCAAATAAAAGCCCTGGGGTCAAAATTGGCCCCGCCCCAGGGGGTCATTGATTTTCCCTATATGCATATAGTAAAAACTTAAAAAATCTTCTTTTAAAGAACTCAAAGAGCTAGAGCTAAGATATTTAGCATGAAACATGTTCTTATGGGTGTCTACCAAGTATGTTCAAATAAAAGCCCTGGGGTCAAAACTGGCCCTGCCCCGGGGGTCATTGATTTTCCTTATATGTGTATAGCAAAAACTTAAAAATCTTCTTTGAAAAAACCCAAATAGCTTGAGTTTAGATATTATACATGAACATCTTTAAGTAAATATCTACAAAGTTTGTTCAAATAAAAGCCCGGGGGTCAAAACTGGCCCTGCCCCAGGGGTGTCATTGTTTTTAACTATATGTGTATAGTAAAAACTTAAAAATCTTCTTTTAAAAAACCCAATGAGCTAGAACTTAGATGTTTAGCATGAAACATCTTCTTATGGGTGTCTACCAAGTCTGTTCAAATAAAAGCCCTTGGGTAAAAATTGGCCCGGAGGGGGCTATATATAGGTGAGCGACCTCAGGGCCATCATGGCCCTCTCGTTGTGAAAGTATATTATAGAAATTAATATTTGATAATATCTATAGGCGAGGAGCTCGTGCAATGCTACCAAATGTTGGACAACCAAAACCCTGACATTTGGCAAAACGTCTTAACTCAACTTAGTAAAAAGTCAGAGTGGAAATCTATTGCATATTTAATGCTTGGACCAAATCTAGAAACGTGTACATCAGACAGATTGAATTCGGGTATTCTTTATAAAATATATCTATTTTAAATTCGATTTCTAGGATTTAAATAAAAGGGGTATTAAATGGAGAGGCATTGCTTAATTTACCTCAATCCTTTTACCTTAAACTACAATTATTGACGCAGTGTTATTTACGCAGTGTTTACGCAATATAAGTTGTCAGTTATACAATTAATACAAAACATATTTACCTTTTCTAATGTTTTCTTTCAAGCCAAAACAAGGGTATTAATTTTGTTTTTATTATGAAATGTATACAATTTTATTTATGTTATCATATTTTAAATTACTTATGTTACAGGCGAGCACATAGCTACTTTCTGTACTGGCGTTGCTGGAAAATGTTCTACTGCTGATATGGAGACAAAAACTGTTTTGAATTTCCTGAGAGGATCAGACGAGATCCCATCTTGGTTGAACGTTGTAATGTGTGTGGTGCATGCACATGGGGGTGATCAAACATTACGGGGTTTTGCTGTAGTTGAGAATGACTGTCCGCTTCATGCCGTATTACGATTTGTGATGAAAACTGGTAATTAAATATTCCTGTTGCTATGCAAATTATTCCTCAATTTAATTTTTATTGAATTTTATTAACTCATTTACTTGTATTTATTACTAGTTAGGCTTTATATTTGTCTTGGAAATATACCTATATTTTATTGAATTGTTTTTTTCGTAAAACTGTCGTATTTTGTACATTACTATTAACTGAGGATTCTTTTGCGTCACATGCACATTTTCATGGGCATTGAATGTACTTCTTTCACAATGTGTTTGGTTGTATATTCTGTTTTCAAAGTTTTGAATACGTATTTGACATTCAAAGTACAATTTTCAGTTTCCTTTTTTAGACGTAAATTCAATTTAAAATACATTGTGTGTTCACAAAACATCCTCAAATTTTCATATAATGCTGAAGGTTGTCGTGTTTAAATTAAGTTATTTCAGTTTATACAAATGAAATTTAGTCTGAAACATTATTTGTAATACTTACTTAACTGTCTGTTTTTGTACTTTTTTGTACTTGTAGGTTCGACATTACTTCTTGAAAAGTTTCCACAAAGTGGGTCAGGTTGGTGTGATAAAAGTGGAGCAGAGGAATCAGGATTTCACATTCTAGCTAAAAACAAACTTGCGGCCGATTGCCTTTACAAATTGGCGAGAACGCTCTTGATGAAAGGATACAAGTAAGGTCTTCATATGAAATACAACGAAAAAATTTTATTAGATCATTGCTATCAGCCTACATTTCAGTGTAATGTAAAATTCTAACAGTTGACAAAAGGCCTTGTTGGTTGAATAAGACAGACAAATATTTAATTGCATATATCAGAATTGTAGTATTATCTAAGATAAACGTATCGTAAACATATAATGATATGTATTAATTGACTTCCATGAACATGCCATTTTAACAATGTATAGGTACATGTTTGACATGATTTGCCAAGTAAGTTGCTTACATTGCTTTCCTGACACACACCAACCAACACACACCCACCCACCCCCCCCCCCCCCACACACACCCACCACCCCCCACACACACCACCCACCCACCCACCCCCCCCACACACACACCACCCACCCCCCCCACACACCCCCCCCCACACACCACCCCCACACCAATCCACCCACCCCCACACATCCCCACCCGCCCACACACACCCACACACACACCCCACCCCCCACACCCATCTTTGTTATATTATAAATTCCTATTCAAATCCAATTCCATTTTGATTAAAATCAAATAATGTAAGTAATATTGTTTAAATCTAAGATGACAATTAATGGAGAAAAAAATTGCGGATAAACTGAAGTAAAACTATTCAGGACGAATAAAGTGTTCTGTTTGCGTTCAGCATGGTTAGTAGTAACTTATCCTATGCAAGTTAACAAGTTAGACTTCGACCGAGTATCTTTTTAAAGATACTTCTTGTTTTGCAGTATAAATGTCGCTATATCATCATCTGATGATGTCTTAGGGAGTACAACAAAACTCAGAAAAAATACTGTTATATAAAGAATAATCTGGATGAAACATTTTATTTGAAATGTGATAGCGAAATATATACAAGCTTGTCCATACCTTTTTCCCGACATCTCGTTCTACCAATACATTTTAAATTTAGTGTTACCTTAAGAATATATGTTTCATTTTTAAAATAGAACAAGCAAATACTTTCCTTTATTTAATTCTTTTTCGTTTTGCAGTTACTTGATTTGCATGATTAGAATGCTTTTTGTATCAGTAACTGCATGTTGGTAATTGCCAAAAGAATTTGAAATTGTGTAATTCAGTGATGTGTTACGGAAGGATAAGAAGGGGAAGATTCCATACGATTATCTCCACGATGATTATCCATGTCGTGTATACGACTTGTTTCTTCCAGACAACAAAAGTAAGCTGAATTTCATAGCTTAGATAGGGTGTAACATTGCCTAACGGTCATATACAAAAATTGGACAAAGCATGCTTCCGTCCTAGTTCAATTTAATTAAAATGTTTTGTGAATGTAAATGAAATTCAATTTTCCTTCAGAAACAGAAATATCACACTTAGATATTTATGTAAATTGTAGCTGTACCTTGTGCTCATGAACAAAGATTGTATAAAAATCTTTATCCTGGGTTAAAAATACGCCACACCCTATATATGGTCCCTCAAGATATTTAAATTTTGATTACCAAAATACTTAATAGACATGTCCTTATTTTAATCATATTTGCTTAGAATTTTGATTACTTAAAAGTTAGTAAATGTATGACATTTCTACAACCGTGTGTATTTGTCTTCATACTTATACTTTGTAATCATATTGTACTTACTTTGTGCTGCAGTTTAACAAACATTTAAATTAGTAGTATACTATAGACATTTTAATTGCTGTATAATTAATTAATATATTAATCATATAATTATAATATTTTGATGTTTTGTAGCTATAGAACCTGTGCACGCTCGTAGACTTTGCAACATCGGGAAACTAAAGAATAATAACAACAAACATGAAACTGCAATTAACATATTTAACAAAGTCCTTCGTCTTAGAATTAAAAAGGATCACTTCATGGTAATTTGAATTCTTGTTACTCTTTCATTTATATCATTCAATTTTACATTGCATTACTGTGTGGACTGTAAAGGTATTCTTTGATGATCTACCTGATTTCAGTGAAATAAAGATAATCTTTTCTCACCAGAATCATTGAAGCATTACAGGACATGTTTACACCATCTGCAAATTCATTTCTTTTTGTTTTTATTGTTTTCATATTTATTGACACAATTATTTAATAGCAATAAGGTGTTCAATATTTTAAAACATATAGATACAACTTAAATTCAAATTGCTGACAAAAAACGTGGTGTTTGAACATGGTATGCACTTTTTAATACTTTTCTGAAAAACAAATGGTACCCCAGGGCTAAGCTTGTAACATTTTCAAATTGCATTTCTTATTTGGGCGTCCTTTAGGGTTTTCTTTTTCTTCTATCAGATTATGTTCACAATGCAGAAATAGTTGCATGTTGTTATTGTTGTGATATAATTTCGTAGTTACCAATGATGTAAGATGATTGTAATCTATTTTCTGATTTATTTAAGAGGCATGAGGACATTCATGCATATGCACTGAAAAACAAAGCTGAAAGTTATCTAAAGATCGGAGACCTTAACAAGGCACTGAAGGAAGCAGATAAAAGTAAAGAGATTGTGCCAAGTTATGATGTACGTATTTTCGCTACTATGTCATATCATATCATGAACTTCCGCTTGTATTATCCTTTCAAGAAATTACAATTACTTAATTGTTGATTTAAATTTATTTCAAAGTTGCTCTTTTTAAAATGAACTAATGAATTATAATGTAAAATCAGCATTTTAATTTGACCGACAGGTTTATCTGATATGTGCTAAGGCAAGAGCAGATTTGAGAAGTTATGACCAAGCATTTGGAGACTTTATCAATGCATTTGATTATGCTGGTGATGGTGGAACATCACAAGTACTTGAAGTATGTGAGGAAATAGTAAAGTTTTTGTCCCAGCTGCCAAACCAGCGAAGTAAGTGTCATATGGATAATTTTATTATGCCCCCCCCCCCCCATAGGGGGAATTTATGTTTACCCTTGTCCGTCCGTCCATCAATCCGTCCATCCATCCGTCCGTTCTCATTTTGTGGTGTCGCACATAGCTCAATAAGTATTTGACTTAAGAGTCATGAAATTTACAAGGAATGTTGCTCAGCATGTGTAGTTGTGCACCTGGGGTTTTTTTTGTAGATTTATTTAGTACTTGTAGAGTTATTGCCCTTGACTTAGTAAAAATTTGCAAATTTCAACTTGCGTCACACATAGCTCAAAAAATATTTGCCCTAGAGTCATGAATCTTTACAAGAATGTTGATCAGCATGTGAAATGGTGCGCCTGGGGGTTCGCTTGTGGAGTTTTTCTGTTTTGTCAGAGTTATTGCCCTTGACTTAGTGAAAATTTGCATTTTTCAATTTGTGTCGTACATAGCTCAAAAAGTATTTTACCTAGAGTCATGAAACTTAATAGGAATGTTTGTAAGCATATGTAGTTGTGCACCTCGGGTTTCGCTTGTGGATTTATCCAATATTTCTAGAGTTATTGACCTTGACTTAGTGTTCATTTTGTTGTGTTATTTGTTCGAATTAGACCCAACTTTACAGGAGTAATGATCAATATCAATGTGAATCTATGTATCTGGGGTTTTGCATGTGAATTTGCTTTAGTTGTCCCTTGACTTAGTATAATTTTGCAATTTTTTAACTTGTTCATGTATAGCTCAAAAAGTATTTGACCTGTAGGCCAATGAAAGTTTACAAGAATGTTGGTCAGCATGTGCACTGATTATTCAGTATTTCTAAAGTTCTTGCCCTTTACTTAGTAAAAGATTTTAGTTTTCAACTTGTGGCAATTGTAGACCAAAACTATTTGATGTAGATTTATAAGATTGAAAAAAACAGTGGAGTGTGGGGTCACCCGTGTCCTACGGACACAATTTTAGGTTTTTCATTTAATTTTATTCATAATTTAATTATTTCATCAATAAAGATTTGTCTAAGAGAGTGAGTTAACATGGTGATAGATGAAACATGCAGTTAGTAAGAAATTTGAAGTACAGGTTCTTGATACACTTTACAGTTTTGTATTCTGTACCGATGTATTACGGTTATGTAATTGTTGTTAATATGGTTTATCAGGTTGTTTTCTCCCTCTCTTGGATCAATTTTATCTTCTGTAAATGTTGAACACCCTTCATGATAATATTTCACACAATTCAAGTTTTTACTTTGCCAGAATTTGTTCTGGGGACAAATGTTTCTCTGGATAAAAGCATTTACTGGGAATTGAAAGAATTAATATATATTTAGAAATGAGTTTTCGAGTATACATCAAAGGACATGTGAATATTTAATATTAGTCGATAATGACTATGCCATGACGTTATTCTACTGCATTTCGCCCTAATAAAGTTAAAAGATGTAATAAATGAAAACGGTGAATGCTATTATATACAAATGAGTATGGTTGTGAAACAGATCATGTTTTTTTTATACCTTCTTATATGTCACAATACATCTCTGATATTTTAGGTAAGTCTATGACTCAAAGAATATCAAGAACTCGGCCTGGAAATGGACCTTTATGGGCTAGGATCTGTCATAAATTTGTGCTCCATAACGAATGGAAAACTGGAGAAATAGCACACAACCTGTTCAAATATGATCAGGAAGCACATATTCTACCTATACAAATTAATGTAGCGTGTTTTTGTAGTTTAAATGATATCAGGGTAAAATATTTTATATTTTATTATTGTATTAGTATTTGTTACTGTTTTGTAAGAATGTTTGAAATAATACAATGTAAAGTAAATGGAAAATGGATAGATAGATTATCGTTCAGATTTTTTAAGAATAAATGAAACAAATTAGTAACATTGTTTTGTTTTTTTGTACATTGTCTTTTAAAGTATTCATGAAAGTAGGTAGCTGCTGCGTCTTGACATATGTTTTAAAGAATTCATTCAATAAAGTTTAGAATTAATTCCAACAAATAATCAAATAATGCATAAGAATAGGCATACGCGGTTCAAGACATCTAAATTTTGTCTGTCATTATATAATGCACTATTTCAAAAGAGTAATTGTTTGCAGTCTGTACGATACATGGGCTGATTAAAATAATGTAGTATGGAAACTCTATATGTCTTATGATTTTAATGTCCTGTTGAAACTTATAATCTTGTAACTTTATTTCCAAACAGAGTCATCCATGGTCTGCTAATATGATGCTCTATTTCTTACATTGTGGATCAGATAGAAAAGCTATATCACTAGAACAAGGTGACACATACCTGCATGCTTCAGTGAGGATATCGTTAGTCGGTATGCTTTACTCTTGTTTTGAAATAAAACGAAATTTGCTTTAATCGCTATTTTAACACAAAGAGGTGGTGAAGCCAGAAGGTCTGACAAGCTTTGGGGTTTTGTTGCAGCATTAGATAAAAAATTATTTTATCTGGCATTTGTAAAAAACAACTTTTGTCAGATTATCACATCTGATTCAAACACTCATTTATTTTCATACACGATGGAAAAAAATGAAATCTACATTTTTAGAACTAAATACGTATTTCTTTGTGGACCTCTTAAACAGCTACACAAATAATGCTGAATTGGTCAAAAATGACCAGGACAAATGCAGACTTCTGCATTGTAGAAATAATCATTTTTAGCAAATGTTGCAGATAAGCGATCTAAGATAGAGAAAAACAGAAAGGCCACAAAAGCCTTCTTGTTTTCAAATCAGAAACATACATGTATGTGTAATGGAACTTATTGAAATATATTTTTTCAGCTAGTTTTCCAGACTTATTAACATATGTGATAAAGAATACAAATGCCAATGAACTACACTTATGTGACCAGGATGGCAATACATTGCTTCATATAGCAACGAAGGAAAGAAAAGTAGATAGGCATGCAAGGTGAATAATGACATTACCATTCTTTCAAGCAATAACATTAATTAATTCTGTATTCTGAAAATTTATTGTTACTGTATAAGTTGAAAATATGTTTTGAATCAAGAATGGGTTAGTTTTACATGTATCTCGTAGTTATATAGTACTTTTCAACTGGTACTTCAATATTTCCATCTTTTGTTGTAATAATATGACATTTTATTTAAAACGAAGGTTTGTCGTGATAAAAATACTACTAAAATGTGGTATAGATGCACAGAAACTGAATA